AACAAAGAAACTAAGGAGGGGTTCTTGCGCGTACCGAGCTTTAGTAATCTTTTAGGGGTTTGATTTGATCAAACGAAGGAAAAAGAACTGGGTCGTGTCAACAATGGGAATGCGAATGCTGCATTTGTGTTGCCTTTCTTGGACCATATCCATACCCCAGCTAAATTTAAAATAAATAATAATAATTCTGATATGGAATATTTTAAAATGTTCAATTCATATGACTAAATTATCATTAAAATTGGGGATTTAAAAATGATTCATATGCTGGGCCTAGCCACCCGGATCCCGGTGTTATGTGATTTTAATGAATTTTCACATATAGTAACTGGAATGGTGTTAGCTGAAGGTGGCCGGTGCGAGAAGAAGGGGCCTCTCTCGGCAAAATGGGATCCCACCAAAGTTAATTATGATCAATCCAATGGGGTGAACTCTAATTGGAAAATCTTTTGGATCTACGAAATTAAACCAAACAAAGAAAAGGGTTGAGTGGACACGTTAGATAACTTTATTCACAAGTCAACTGGGGAGCAGATTAAGCATGTTGAAAATGCTTGGAGCTTTGTTAATTATTATCTACTCTAAGTCCCCACGCCAGATTGCAAGTAACCTATTAATGGAGTGTGAATGAGGCCAGCCACAAGTAAAAGAGAGATATGCAGAATAAAATAAAAGTGAGATGCAATAAATCGTGTAACATGATAAGAAGAAAATAAATAAGATAAATATTACGCTTTGTTGGTGAAAAAATTATTATATATTTGATATTAACACCACACTCTTTAATATATTATTTAATGTATTTTCAATTTCATTTGATGCTAATGGTAATTGTCTAATTTAACTAGCGCCAGTTAATATTATGTTCGCAGCTGGCACTGCATTTTGTTTTCCTCGTGAAGCTTCAAAATAAGCAGAACAAGATGGCAGAATTTGAACCACAAAATGAAAAGATCTTTTTAAACTCCAAACTTAGGTATAGTGTTACCATATCGTAGTCGTCTTGAATCATGATTGAACCGTACATTCACTTAAATCATAGTCACATTGTCTTCTTACACATTTTATTTGGTCAAAACCACACAAATTGTAGAATACTCGATCAACTGTGATTAGAAAGTCGAAAGCACGACAAAAATGTAGGACATGTATACCGATCAATCAAACTAGCCATCATGACAAAAACACTAGTCTTTTTCAGGCTGTTCACAAATAATTTTCAAACAATATTACGTACGGTTTTCTTGCTGGAATCGATTAGGGTTCTTAAAGCTACTGAATTAATCTATATGTGGTTCACAAGCTTTTGTAAATTGAGGTGGATGTTTCCTATGCTTATCGCATTGGATAGATTGTGGATCGGTTTTCGGCCGAAGATGTTAGAATTATGTGCGTTCACGATTTGGACATTTTGCATGGTTGGCTACTGTACTTAAGATTAATTTGTGGTGTTTAACGGTGGATTTATGATAATGATGGTTTCAAGTATGGTCTTAAATAAAGTATATATAGAGTCTTGTTATCCATGCATGTGCTTCTAGATGGAGAAGTGTATTTTCTGAAGATGTTGAAGCCTATTTTATTCTAGTCTTCCTCATTCTTTTTTGTCATGGTATTGCAAAACAAGTGTTCAATTGGACAGTATCAATTTTACAAACTATTATAATTGGTTAAATAGAAAAAGGAAATAGTCTCTGTCTAACTAGTAATATATTTAATTAATTTATAATTCCTTCGATCAAAATAGAAATATTAACTAGTCTGGTTTTAGTTTATAACATTTTTTAATATAACTTGAAATAATATTTATTTAATAACTTTTTTATCTTTAATTTTTAATAAAATATCTCCTTTATATCCTTTTAATTATTATACTAGTTTAATTTCAGAGCTCGTTCGTACTCTAGTAAAAAATTGAAATATCATCCCTTAAAATATAAAAAATAATAAGGCAAAAGTTATGATTGTTGATTTAATCCAAACCATAAAATACTATGAATAAATATCAGTTTGAACTACTTGTTGCGAAAGATAATTATGGTTTAAAAAAATATAAAATATTAATTTAAATTCGTTTAATTTTGATAATATTCTCAAATAAATTTAAAATTTATTTGATCAGTTCAATTACATTTTTTGTGTCAAAACCAATTCAAATCAAACCATAAATACCTCTACGCTTTAAATGATTATGATAGAAAAGTACACGGTAAGAAAAAAAATTATAGAAATATATATCCATTGAACTCTACATATAATCACTAGTTTTAGTTTAAAAAGATATTATTTTTAAAATTCATTTTAAATGACAAGATTTTTAAGTGTTGATTCTGTTTCTGTTTTATCAAATATTAATATTAATATTATTTTTAGTTTAAACATTTTAATATCTTTAACTTAGTATTATTTAACATGGTATAATATTTATTACTGATGATCAAATATATTTCTTAATTTTCATATCAAAGATACTTACACAAAATATTTAAACTTTTAATTAAATATTTGATTTTAATTTAATAATACCTATAAAATTGTGTAATAATAAATAAGTTTTATTTACAGAATTTTGTAGAAGAGAGAACATAGTCATGTACAAAATTCTGTTTCTTAAGTTATCCTTGGAATACGCGTGTAGTGACTACTACGCGGAATGGAAAACGAAGATGGTAGTTGTGCTTTTGCACCTCAAAATTCAATCATTTACGTATACATATATTTTGATGAGAATGAATATAAACTAATTAATTTGATGAGTAGAATAATATACTTTGACATTTCAGAAAAACAATTCTATTACCATTTTCGTATTAAATTTATTGTATTTGTATATGAAAATAATCAAAATATATTAGTGAACTTCGCTCAGGGATAGTTTATAGTCTGAATGCATATACAATTAATTGACTTAACAACTCTCTTCAACCACCGTATATGCATAAATAGAAATGTTCCACTTTTGAAATTTATTTCTCTTATGATATTTAACGTTCAGTGTTTTTTCTTTTTTAAAGAAAGATTCTTTGAAATGATTGTTTTCAAAATATTTACACAAAAGAAGAGGTTAAAAATATAATTGTTGTTAGTCATTATGAATGCCTTTAATTATGCAATTTAATGTAGTATCTATTTGATAATTTTTTATGAAAATTTGTCATAAATTTAAACATGAATTGCATTAAAAACAGTTTTAAAATTATTTATAAAAAATATAAATTATTTTTTATAAAATCGAACAAACTTTCATAAGTTTTTCAAAACGTTACTTGTGTATCATGTTGAATTGAATAAAGATTTAGAAGAGCTCCATAGACAATGACTTTTTTTTTTTCCTTCAAAAGGACTCAAATGGTCAAATGCTCGTTTGATTTATCCGGTTTTTTTTTTGTATTTCTAAAATAAAAAACATGCATTTCAATTAAATAAACTATAACTACAATTAATTTTGATGCATATTTGCATTATGTTTATTAATGTAAATTTAATTATATTAAAATAAATTTCATTTAACTTAAAAATAAACAATTCCAAAATATTTTAAGGTGAATAATGGGACCAATGCTAGAAGTTTTAGGCAACTCCACATCCTTTTAGATTAAGAGAACCTATTTATTAAATAAATTGTTTAATATTATTCAAAAACACATTTAAGTCTAACAAATTTATTTAAATAAGAACAATAGTGTTTAGTAGCATATATATAAATTTAGAGTCATTAGTGGAAACAACAGTAAATATGTTAATTAATGAGCATTAAAATAATAAAATTTGACGTATTATTTTTACAACAAAATTTTACACTAATAAATTTCTCTCCGTCTCTCTTCACTACATCGCTTATATAAAAAATTATTATATAACTTTAATTAGTGATATTTTTATCTTTAAATTACTCAACTAGGATAAATATTTCATTTGTTATATTTTTATTGTATTTTTTAAATTTTTTATATGAAAAAACATTTTAAAAATAGAACTTCTGCGTACATAGATGAATTAAAATATATTATTTAAAACAAATAAATAAGAATAGAAATAGTATTAGATAACAATTTGGTTCTCTAGTGATTCCAAACCGTGTCTAACAAATAACGGCCGCTGAGTCGCACTATTTTTGTTTATGCATTGAACAAATGTCCAGAAACTTGTTTCTCAACAACTGCAGAATTTGTTTTGGCTGCACCTTGTATAGCGACATCTCTGTCTAGCTATTGGTCAATCGCTTCCACAACGCTAGTTTGGGCCGGAAGTCAAATTCTAGTACATCATCTAAAACTCGAAAAATAAAACCAAAAGAAAAATACAAAGAAAAGGAAAAGGGCAATTTGTATTCATTAATATAGTCTCTGTAACTGCTACTTATATGAACATTCACTTCGTATCACCTTCTCCATTTCGTTTGTTTCTGCCCTCTAATGTCTTGGTTGCCATGTTCAGATAACATTTGGTTCTAAATAATGCTGAAAACATTAGTTTATTTCATTTGACTGAAAATATGGGTATCATGTGGTCAAATTTGGTGGTTTTTCTTGAAGCAAATGACTTTGGTAATTTGTTTGGACGGAACCAAAAAATGAATGAAGGGGAACCAAAAATTAGACACAAGTCTAGATCGACATCATATTTTTACATACGCATGTCATTTGAGTCACCGTTGCGTGTAATAAAAACTTATCTTACCAGTTGTGTAAATGTAAAAATAAGCGCGCGCTATAAAGATTTGAAATCAAATACGTGACATATTTGCATTGTAGTTTCATGATAAGATTTTTTCAGTTTGGTGCTCTGGTTCTCAGACAGTGTTTCCTCAAGGCGGGCAGCCTCAATAGGCATCCCAGCCTTCAAAAAACATGAACTCAAAAGTTCTAATAGTTATGTCATCTGGGGAACAACCAGCTGCCAACATTTTGTAAAAGATATTGCTTCGACCATTCTTCCTTTCATACAATGCCCAATAATAAGAATGGTAAATGTCAACTTATCAGGTTTGCACTTCTCTTTCATTTCGCAACAATTGCATTAGCCTCATCAATGTTACCAGATTTGCAATATCCATCATTGACAGGATTGTAGACAAAACACACGGGAACAATGTCACTCTGTTTCAATAGTCTCAAAAGGTCACGAGCTTCTTGCAGTCTATTGCTCTTGCACAAAGCACTGATAAGAACAGAGAAAGTATATAAGTTCGCAGGGATATTTCTCGCATTCATTTCATGCCATAGGTCCAAGCCATGGTTCACCCAGCCATCTCGGCAATAGCCGTCAATTAGGGAAGTTAAATTAACAACACTAGGAGGATAACCATGCAAGAGCATCTTCTTGTGCATGCCCAGCGCAAAAGCCATGCCACCTGCCTTAACAAAAGCCATCAACAAGGGCACTAAAGGTAAATGCATTAGGGTTAGTTCCAGATGTAACCATTTCATCCAAAAGAGAGGAAGCCTCTTTCAACTTACCCAATCTGCAATAACCCGAGATTACTGTTGTATAGCTAATGACATTTAAACAAACCTCTTTCAGTAAATCACATGCTCTATCAACCTTGTGAATTCTACATAAACCATGTAATAGAGTATTATACAAAACTACGTCAGGGGAACAGCCAAAACTTCTCATATCAGTGACAAGCTCAAAAGCTTCATTAATTTCTCTAGCTCTGCACAAACCTCGGATTAAAATGTTGAAAGTAAAGGTTTCTATACAAGGGTCTGATCTCATAAGCTCCCTAAATAGATAAATGGCATCATCTAATTTATTAAGTTTTCTCAAGATGTTAAAAAAGTTATAAACAATCGGAGTTACTTGAACCTTATTCCAGTGAGCTTCAACCAGTAATTCCTTTGAAACATCAAGCCTATCGGCCAGTGCAAAAGAACAAACCAAAATCCCAAAAGCCTACTATCATGTAACTGCCCATCGCACCTCATACAATCATATAACAGTTTCGCTGAATTGTGGAGACCTGCTTCGCAAGGGGACCTCAAGCATATTATAAGTCCAGAATGAATGAGGCACATTCAACCTTTCGCTAGTGAACTGAGAGAACTTGAAACCCAAGCTCGGATTGTTAAGCCTTTTAACCACCTCCAACACAAGTGAAGGGGTCAAGTGCTTATGGAAATAGCCCAAAAATCTATCATCCAAAGGGTTAGGGCAAAGAAAGAAAGTAGAAACAATCTTGACAAACCAGGAATCAGGAGTTATGAGTAACCCTTTGTCAGAAGCTCTTACCTGAGTAAGTGTATGGTAGTGAGAAGCTCGAATAGTGGTGAATAATGAGAAAATCATCTGCTTGGGCACACCACATGGAAATTTAAACATGACCCACTTCAAAATCAAAAGCCCTTTCACCCAAAGTCATGCTATTTAAGTTGTAACCACCGGTAACCCAGTCTAGGACACAAATTAAATTTGGGTTAGTGTTTTTTTTTAAAACAAACATTTTTAAACATATTTAAATGTAGATGAAAAAGGGAAAGAGATTTAAAAAATTTCATTGTACAAATATGGTAATAAATTCAGACTTAAGGATAAAGAAAAAATATATTTTTTTGAAAGCTTTGTAATGTTTAATATAATTTTGTTAAAAGATTATTTCAAATGCAAAATAAGTTTTCTAAAATTAAGTTCATAAATAATACATTAATTATTTTCATTTTTAAATTTTGAAATTATTTAAAATATCAATTATATTTATTAATTATGCAAGATTTTATTTAAATAATATCAAGTGATTTCTCATCTGAACTAACTTTCCTTAGTGTTTTAATTTTTTTTTAAAAAATGAAATACAAAGTTATATTATTTAGCCTTAGTATATTTAGTCTTGAATTTTTTTGAGTAGATAAATTATTTTAATTCTTAAAATTATTAATATTAGTTGATTTAATTTTGAAATTTAAAAAAGTATTTTAATTTTTAATGTTTGAAAAATAATTTATTTTTATGTTTTTTTATTAAAAATAAATGTTATGTTGTAAAGTCGATAATTAAAATGAGATTTTTATAAAATAAAAAAAATGAAATGATTGACTTTTACGATTTAAGAGATTAAAACAAATATCTATTCTATTATGGGGCTTTGAAATTTAATCTTTTGACTGTTTTGATTCTATCTGTGTGCTTTTTATTTATTTATTTTAGGTCTTTTAAAGTTTAAACATTACAAAAAGAAAATTTCTATTTTTCTATTGCAAATAAATATGGTACAAATTTTAAAAAATAAAATAAATATTATATTTTTAAATATAGAACATACTTATACCTGCTGTTCTATATAATTTGTTTAGAAAAAAAGTGATTATTAGAAGGTATTAAAAAAAAGGTTTATTCTATTTACATGGTCTGTTCTTTTATGAATTAAAAGAAAAAAAAGTACTATTTATGTGACCCAGTTAATATTTTCTTTGCTCGTGAGAGATACAAATCTTTCATTAATTGAGACTAAAAGATGCAATTCCTATATTCCCCTTTGTTATTATTTTGTTAGGAAAATAATTTAAAACACATTATAATAAAAAAATATTTTTTATATATACTATAATAAAAAAATCTAAAACAAATAATAATAATAATATTTTAAATATTTAATTATATTATATTTTTTTAAATTAAATAGAAAAGCTCCAAATCAAAACATCTCACTAAAAAAATATAAAAGAATACGTAATTTTTTTTTAATTTTTTCATTAATTTGAATATTTTTTATTTATCTGGACAATACATCATTTTTTATTCTATTTTTATTTTATTTATTTCGGTCTTATTTCATATCTACATCCAAAGAAGACACGAGTTAGATTATCAAGATCACCATATGTACTCATATATACGTGTACCTATTGAAATCCATGCATGTATGACAAGCAGCGTTTGTACAATTGTCATTTGACGTTGACCAATATCAAACTCGTTAGATATTTATTAGATAACCTTTTTTTACAAGTTTTTTTTTATAAAACACTTAACATCGTTTTTGTTTTTGTTGGGAGAACTTAAGATAAACTCTACTACAAGTCATTTAGAAATAAGTAACTATTACATCATTTGTTTTAAGATTAAAGTTATCAATACAAAATATTAAAAAATATTTGAATTTTGTTAAGCTTGCTTAAAGAGTAGTGAGTAGTGACAATCAATCATGAGTTAAAGAAAATATCGATATATTTTAGGCGAAAAAAAAAGTCAGGTTAGTCAACATTTATTAGCAAAATGTAATTTTTAAAAACACAATTTTTTCTAGAGATATTTTTATTTGAATTTAAAATATTTACAATATAATAAAATTTCTTTTAAAAAATTTGTGCGCACAACTAAAATATAAAATTTTATTTAAGAAATTAAATACATATCATGACTTTATTTTAATTAAAGGACAACAAAATTATAAAATATGTCAACGTCAGTCTTTAGATTGATTTTAAACGACCTTCGAACAATTTTTTTATTAAAAAGAATACTTACAAGCATGAAAAGAATGATTTGCGACGATGACCCATAGGCATCGTCATCTACATAAGCAGCGAATCAATAGCAATCGAAAACCCACAGTTGTGGAGTGAGACTGAGACTGAGATGAAGCGCTTGTCATTGCTCATTTTGTTCTTCTGCGTCGCCACCGTAGCAGCTTCCATCTTCGATGACTCCAACCCTATCCGTTTGGTGTCGGACTTGGAATCGCATTTCCTCCACGTGATCGGACAAAGCCGCCACGCGCTCTCCTTCGCACGCTTCGCTTGCAAGTACGGCAAGCGCTACCACTCCGACGACGAGATCAAGCACCGATTTCAGATCTTCTCCGATAATCTCCTACTCATCAGATCCATCAACAAGAAGCCACTCACTTACACTCTCGCCGTTAATCGTATGCGAGCCCTCGCTCTTCCATTCTCTTTCCTTTTTTCACTTTAAGGTTTTAATATTCTAATGTGGATTCGCGTTTCAGATTTCGCTGACTGGACTTGGGAGGAGTTCACCAGACACAGACTCGGCGCGGCTCAAAATTGCTCTGCCACCCGTAAAGGTAGCCACAAGCTTACCGATGCTGTTCTTCCTCAGGAGGTTTGTCACCAACTGTAACTGTTGCTGCTTTTTTCATTGCTCCATGCTGTGCAATAAATGAACGAATCAATCATATGAATTTCACTTTTGTCAACCAAATATAATAGTACTATATTCAACCTTTCAGTGCATTTATTATGACTTATTCATCCAGTTAGTTCCAAACATGAACGTTTTGAATTGAATGTTCACTGTTCTGTTCCGCATTTATTGGGAACTAGGACACGGGGGTTGTGAGGGGAATAAGTTGGTTCTATGTGGTGTGAATATCTGATCATGTAACTGAACAGACACAGGATCTGTGCATAGAAGGATAATTTAACTAACAAAACGCGCGCGCGCATATAATTGCATACATTATAGGCGTCAATAATTTTAATTTTATTAAAACTTTGCTTCAGTCCTAATTTTTTGAAAAAGTTATTCATATTAGACCCATTAGTGATTTAGTGAGAAAGGAAATGTAGACCATGATAGGACTAACGTGAATAATGTTCTTCAAAGTCAAGACTGAAATGACGTTTTGGTAATGTTAGGGATTGAAATAACTGATCCGTTAATATCAGAGACTCAAGTGTGAGAGTTTATTTTTTTATATCCCTTTCCCTAATCCTTGTTAGAATGTAACTGGGCCATTGTCCTTGTTTGTTTGTGGAAAAAAAAAATAATTGCCCTCTGAGGAGCCTTGTATGTATGAATTTGTCAGAAAGACTGGAGGAAAGAAGGTATAGTCAGCGAAGTTAAGGATCAAGGGCACTGTGGATCTTGCTGGTCATTCAGGTTTCTTTTCTAGCCCCAAGAAATGTTTGGAATGAATAAAGCATTCTTCTTTGTATTGCTTCTTACAGTAACAATTGTCATCTGCAGCACAACTGGAGCATTGGAGGCAGCGTACGCGCAAGCTTTTGGAAAGAATATCTCTCTCTCTGAGCAGCAGTTAGTGGATTGTGCTGGTGCTTTCAATAACTTTGGTTGTAATGGTGGGTTGCCGTCCCAAGCCTTTGAATACATTAAATACAATGGTGGCCTTGAGACAGAGGATGCATATCCATATACTGGAAAAGATGGTGTCTGCAAATTTGCTGGTGAAAACGTTGCTGCTCAAGTCATTGACTCTGTCAACATTACCTTGGTAATAAACGGATAGATAGTTTTCTGCTTGATTATGTGGATAATTGTAACATTGCCGTTGACTCTGGAGCTTGGCAGAATCAGATTATTCATACCTCAACTACATCTATATGAGATTTCTAAAATTTTTAATTTTGTATCGGGCGTAGGGTTCTGAGGATGAATTGAAACATGCAGTTGCTTTTGTTCGGCCAGTTAGTGTGGCATTTGAGGTGGTGAGTGGCTTCCAATTCTACAAGAAAGGAGTGTACACTAGTAACACTTGTGGCAGCAAGCCCATGGTGAGTATTCTGCTAGAGAATATCTGATCCTTCTCAATCTAGTGTTCAATGATATTTTCGGTATCTCGACCATAGTGGCTGTTTTCAGTGCATGTTTATGACTGTTAGCATCAAGAATTCTAAATATTTGCCTCTTGACGAGATCTGTTATACAAGTATTATGCTATGTGTGTTGGTAATTCTAAACTAGTGCTAGGGGCCTAAGACAGTCATTCATGGGACCTTAACAAAATTTGAATTTGCGTATCAGGATGTGAATCATGCTGTTCTTGCTGTTGGGTATGGAGTTGAAGATGGTATTCCATACTGGCTCATTAAAAATTCATGGGGAAATGACTGGGGTGACAATGGCTACTTCAAGATGGAATTGGGGAAGAATATGTGCGGTAAGCATCCGCGGGACCTTAATTCTTGGGAACTAATTGATTAGTTTGTATGCATTTCAAAAGTTTCAAAGGGAACTTTTTCCATGTTAATGAGGGATAATTTTTTTTTTTCAATTAGAAAATTTATCTTGTCGAAAATTTGTGTTTGATGATTTTTTACTTGGTTAAATCCTTATCTGTTACAATGGAGTATAGATCACTACTTTTTTTGAAGCATTATTCTTCCTCTCTTCGTCTGACATACTTACTTTTCACTTGTTTTCTGTTCTTTATACCTGTAATTATTCTCAGAAGAGCTATTAAATCTTGGAAGATTTTCACATTATTAAATTCAGTTTTATAACAAAATAATACGTCTCAGGCTACCAATTTTATCCAAAATTTTCAACAGAAGTAACCTCACCCAATTGTTCCTTTCTGTCTTGATGAGTGACGTAGTGGGGCGAAGGCTTTTAGATTGTGTTACTGAGGAGCAGTTAAAAAAATTTCGAGCCCTTAATGTATTCGTGAACATTTGGCCTTGCTAGAAAGTTTTAGTTATGAATTTATAAAGCTGAGATTAGTCATTTTCCTTTATTGGTTTTTGCTAATCCCATTGGTGTAATTTCAGGTGTTGCAACTTGTGCGTCTTATCCTATTCTGGTTTAAATTGTACGAGATGTGGTGCCCGACAGGATGCGCTTGTACCTTCCACCTTGCACGTCATGCTTTCGTGTTGCCGTCTTAGAAGGTGAAATGTTGTAATGTGATAGATAATTGCAAGTAGATGTCGATGTTATCTGTAAAATAAGTTTGGACTAGGGATGCCCCATCCTCATTGATGCCGAACCACTTTACAAAATCAGTGTAAATCGTGTGTCGCATAGAGTGTTAGAGAATATAAACTCTTCAGCAATTTAAACATACAGTGTGCGGGGTGCAAACCTGTGAACACGAAGTTATCTTCTGTACCGATGAAATAAACTTTGCTTGGTTACTTCATGTCGACGTTACTATTTTTATGCTTATACAATTTAGTACTGGCCACATCAAAGTTGGTCCTAAGATGCCGCTATTTTTGGAGAGATACAGAATTACTTGAAAATGAAAGAGTGACCATTTCGTGAAACGTTAAATTCCCTTGCATAGTTGGATTTTAATTCCATGTTAAACAGACGGCCCCTGCTGAGAATGGGCTGATTCCTGAGCGTTATGGATTATCATGACAAGCGATCCCACGAGCCACCCACGTGCCTCGGAAAAAATTAAATAAAGTTTGTCGTATACTCAGGATCATAAATAAAAATTTATATATAATCACTTTTTATTAAGAATTACATAATATTATAAAATCTAATACATCTATAATATTATATACTGTAATTTTTAATATAGTTTATTATTCATGAATTTCTTATGATGCATTTTTAGGGGGAAAAAATAAAATTAATACTGTTCTCTACCCTTGGCGGCAACAATGGCAAGTTCTTCGGCTCACTAACACCTAGACACTTTTAAGGCACGAAATTGGAGACTTTTTATCTAAACTGATTTGTAATGTATAAAGCAAACATAAGACCTTTTAAATTGAAAAAAAAAAAAAGGAAATACAAAATTAATGCAAAATCGAATTCCTGTAAAAAGAAGAATTTAAAACCAGCGGTTTGTCAATTGACAAGCTGAACTTCAAGTGTGAAATTTCATTCAACAAGACAAATCTTTTCTCATTGCTTTTAGTGATATCCGGCAAGCTTTAAGCTTGTTCACAACCAGGTAAACATTATCTACATTTGTGTTATGATCAGAATTGTGAATCATAACACCTGCCACTCCAGGTACTACCAAACACAGAGATCTGAAAGGCCATAAAATCAAATAAGCAATAAAATCAACTCAATCTGCATTCTAAAGAAATTTAGGAAAACAAGGCCAAAAGTTTAAATTTAGTTGAAAAACCAGCTCAGAGAAAAGTAACAAGAGGAGGTCTTACTTCCTGGAAGTTCCCAAATAAGAAAAGCAGAATCTTCGAGGGATTGGCAATTCAAATTCCTTTGTTGATAATCTCTAGAAAATAGTGACACACCCTGTTGAATGTTTCCTCAAATGAAAACAGCAGAAGGCAGTGTCCAAGTCAGAACATTGATTAGTAGTAGCACTTTAATAAACAGAAATAAACTTATCTGCATTTCTACTTTCATGATAAGTTTTACTCAGTTAAGTGCCTTGATTTTCAAAAAGGGTTTCCTTAATGCGCGCAGCCTCACTAGGCATCCCAGCCTTCAAAAGACAGGAACTTAATGTTCTAATAGTGATTTCATCTGGGGAACAACCAGCTCCCAACATCTTGTAAAAGATACCAATTGCTTCGACCATTCTTCCTTTCATACAATGCCCAATAATAAGAATGGTAAATGTCAACTTATCAAGCTTGCATTTCTCTTCCATTTCTACTACAATAGCATTAGCCTCATCAATGTTCCCGGATTTGCAGTATCCGTCAATGACAGGATTGTAGACAAAAGACTTTGGAACAATGTTACTCTGCTTCAATAGTCTCAAAAGGTCACGAGCTTCTTGCAGTCTATTACTCTTGCACAAAGCACTGATAAGAACAGAGAAAGTATACAAGCTTGCAGGGATATTTCTTGCATTCATTTCATGCCATAGATCTAAGCCATGGTTCACCAATCCAACTCGGCAATAGCCATCTATTAGGGAAGTTAAAGTAACAACATTTGGAGAACAGCCATACAAGAGCATCTTCTTGTGCATGCCCAGTGCAGAAGCCATGTCACCTGCCTTAACAAAGCCATCAACAAGGGCACTAAAGGTAAATGCATTAGGCTTGGTTCCCGATCTAACCATTTCATCAAAGAGAGAGGAGGCCTCCTTCATCTTATACAATCTGCAATAACCTGATATCACTGTTGTATAGCTTACAACATTGGGGGCAAACTCACACTTTAAACAAACGACTTTTAGCAAATCGTGTGCTCTATCAATCTCATCAATTCTACATAAACCATGTAATAGAGTGTTATACGTAACTATATCCGGGAAACAACCAAAACTTCTCATATCACTGAAAAGCTCAAAAGCTTCATTAATTTCTCCAGCTCTGCACAAACCATCAATTAAAATGTTGAAAGTTAAGGTTTCTAGAGGAGAGTGTGATCTCATAAGCTCCCTAAATAAACAAATGGCATAATCTAATTGATTAAGTTTTATCAAGATGTTAAAAAAGTTATTATAAACAATCACATTTACTTGAACCTTATTGCATTGAGCTTGAGCAAGTAATTCCCTTGAAACATCAAGCCTATGAGCCAGTGCAAAAGAACAAACCAAAAATCCCAAAAGCTTACTGTCAGGTAATTTCCCATCACACCTCATACTATCATATAACAATTTTGCTGAATTGTGGAGACCTGCTTGACAAAATGACCTCAAAAGCATATTATAAGTCCAGAATGAAGTAGGCACATTCAACCTTTCCCTAGTTAACTGAAAGAACTTGAAACCCAAGTTGGGATTGTTAAGCCTTTTGACAACCTCTAACACAAGAGAAGGAGTCAAGTGCTTGCGAAAATAACCCAAAATGATATCATCCAAAGAGCTAGAACGAAGAAATAGAGTAGAAACAACCTTCACAAACCAAGGATCAGGTGTTATGAGTAACCCTTTGTTAGAAGTTCTTACCTGAGTAAGAGCACGGTAATGGAATGCTCGAAAAGTGGTCAAGAATGAGAAAGTTATGTGCTTGGAACGCCATATGGAAAGCATGACCCTTTTCTGAGATTAGTGGAAAGTGCTGTGTGAAGAAGAGATTCATGAACTTTGGCCTTAGGCATGAAGCCAAATTGATGGTTGGTCAGAACCGGGAGTATATGTTTCTCAAAATCAAAACCCTTTCACCCTAAATTTAGAAAAGATGCCATCTTTAATGTTGTCTAGTGAAATTCCCAAGTGAAAATAACGATTCGCAAGGAAAGGATTGGATGCTGTGTGTATAGTTGCTGCGTTTGATGGAGATACTGGGAAATGGAGTTCTACGGGTAATATTAAATTGACAGAGAAATAGAGTTTGGTTATTTTTCTTCTGTCACGTTTTATTTCCCATCTAAATATGTTAGATAAATTTTGTGGCATCGTAAAAAGTTTTTAGGATATTTTCAGCTAACAATTCTTAATATTTAAATATATGTTTAAGTGTTAATATTATTTAATAATAAATTATATATCATAATATATTTTTTATAATTTATTATATTTTTTTATTGATATAAATTTTTAGTATAGTACTCCAAAAAAAATTTTGAAGTACCACAACGCAAATCAATATGTTATTGGTATTTCTAACATAATCATAATCAATTGAAATTTAATGTTGACAATAATAATAATAATAATGATAATCATAACTTATTTATAGATGAGGTTGGTTAAATGAAGTTTTATCAACAATCAAATTTTAGTAAAATCCTTTAGAGCAAGGTTCGGATTCAATGATTTTCTTTCTAAGTTTTCTTATTCAAAGAATATGGTATTAACTTGTAAGCTGATTCTTCCAAGGGACAAATTTTTCATAATTTTTTTATACGGAAACAGATCTACTGTACGTATAATTTCTAATGGTTTGTTTGATTGCAACTTAATGATACAAATGGTCATCATCAACTTCTTAATGTATAGTATGTTTAATTCCTTTTGGTATATTTCTTTAGTACATGGCTGGAAAATAATGTTCAATTCTGCAGGACTATTATGCTAGCAGAAGCAGCACGTGTGGAATCACTAGTCTTGACGAGGAGATGAAACTGAAGTAATCTGCCATCCCATGTTTGATATTATAAGTATATGGAATTTTTTGCACTAACATGGTATACAAATTATACAAAAACCTTAGGCTAAGTCCCCCTTTACACAAAAGTCTCCACTTTACTCATTGATTGTCCCCGTTTTGAATGTCCCTTGGTTATACCTACTGTCCTGTTTGGGATGGCCCTCTTTGGATGTAACAGCATTGGTGAGTTCTATGCTGATTATGCTCACTTTGTCTTTTTGATATGGTCATCCTCTAATCCCAATATTACGGTGAAAGGATAATATGCTTCCAGCACGAAGATGAAACAAAGAGAATATATTTGATCGATAATATAATACACATGTATTCTGAATTTATGTACTGTTCGGATTCTATTATTATACCCATTAATTTTTAAATGCACCGTTTTTACAATTACAAGACCTCTTCTTTTATTCAATCAGCGGTAGGAGTAATGGTAGCAGAGAAGTATCTCTTTTATTCACCAACTCTTATCTTATTTTCATATGGTAATCTTTTTTATGTCTTCTCAAAATTACATGTCATGTTTATTCCAATGACTTATCACCTACTTCTATCTTAGTTTGACCTTGCCCATTCTTAAAATTTCAAATGAAATGTCAGATATCCATGCTTTGGCTTGATGATCTGTTACTTGTGCATCATCCTTTTGGTAAAAATTTCTGATTAGTAATCATGTAATCTAGCAGTGTTATTTTTATCTTGCTATTTCATTTCCCATTTCCCCTCTAAATGAATTTAGAGTATACACTAAATTTTATGTATTAAATTGAGATTATAATATAGTAAGTATGAAAGATCGTTCAACTCCACCTTCTCAAACTTGAATTGAGGATCCTCACTCCAAATTTTATACTGCAGATGAATCAAGTGCATCTGGTCTTTGATTGCGGAGAGGAACTAAGAAATCCAGCATGTTTGCGTAATCATAGGTCAACTAAGTACATTTCTATAGGAGTATGGAGCATGCAGGCTGTAAAGGCATTGTTCATAATTGATGCATGAACCAAGTACATTTCTATAGCTGTTCTGAACTCATTTTGGCCATTTTCTTTTTCTTTTATTTTTTAACATGTGTTGTGTTGATAACTCACCTTATTTATGGTTCACGACGAATACTTATATTTTAGATTTATTACAAAAGCTTTAACTGTTTATAATATGTTTTCTTTTAATGTTTTTTTTTTCAGTTTTGACCAACTAGTATTATAAAGATGTTATTCACTAAAATTTTATCACTCAATTGAAAATTTAACATATTTTAAACCTCAATTATAAATAATAAAATTATAATTGTAGGTATAAGATGGGTTAAGAACTATATTACCAACTTTGCATCAATATTTGTAATTTTTTATGAATACATCCAAATGTAAAATTTTTAAGAGTAACGTTGTCTTTATAATACTTTTTAATGAAAATTTATTATTAATCATTCATTCCAAAGGTAAACCATCTTATCTATTATTAAAATAATCTTTATAAATATGTACTAAATCCCACTCAAACTCTTTGTGTAACGAGTCCAAACCAAAGCATAAAAAAGAGAATGTTTGATTAAGAATTTCTGTGAGGAGATATGGGCCGAAGTTGGGTAAAAGCCCAGAGAAAATGTGGGACCAGAAAATGTTGGGCCTTGCCGCCATGAGCACTGAGCAGATAACAGTCAACGTCAAACTATCATCAGCGTCAGATAACAGACAAAGATGTTATTGCAGGCCTTATCTGGATTGAATTTTAAGACACGTGGCTCCATCACCTGTTCCTCTGTGACACGTGCCTTAATCCTTATGTTTATAGTCTACGGACAATTCTCGCCGGCCACTCCCTGTCAGCAACGTGCCACCCTCCTCGTTGTTGATGTTTTTCCATTATAAATATAAAAATTAATCACAATATAATTACTCCATTCCACACCCCCGCATAGATTAATCTATAAAATTTGTACATTTCAAGTATATGATAAATATGGTGGTGTTAATATTAACTTTATGAAAGTGATAATTTTTATTAAAATATTTTTTATATAATAAATTATTACTTTTTTTAATAAAATTTTAGTACTATTATGTTAAATTTTAAAGAACAAACTAAAACAGAACTTCCTTTTATAAACTTTTGTTTTCGTCTTCCATCTATAACATTATTTTCTTTTGAAAAAATGTTATAAAATAATTAATGATAAAAATAAACAGTTAAAATTGTTTACATTTTCAAAATTAAAATGGCTTATTTTTAATGAATTATTATAAATACCGGGTGTAAGAAGAAATACAACTTTTGTTTGAATGAGTTGTTTTCCTATCATTTAAATTAGACGAAATGTATTGATTTCATGGGGAAGCCAATTAAAATCAGTGAGTAGGGGTCAAATGGCTTAAGAGAATATATTCTATAATTATTCATCATTAATTAAACATTTAAGAAAAAAAGGTAAAGTAGAGGAAGGAATAAACAAGAAATGGTGGGTGAGAAGTGTGGGATCCACTTGATCCATTTCGAAGATCATATCTAATCCCTAATCAAACGGTCCAGAGTGAGCACTTTCTCGGTCCTCCCTAGAAACATCCATTTTCAAAAAGAAACAGCGAAAATTGAGCACACGTTATTATTTTCCAAACAGATAATCTCCTGTCTTTAAAACAGTAATATCAATACAAAAAAAAAATATTAGTTAAATAATATTCAATATAATTTTAAATAATTTAAAACAAAACAAATTATTTTCTATATAGTCTGAAGAGACCGGTTATCATTATTCATTGAATAAATATTATATTATTTAATTCAATAAGGATAAGATGTGACCTTCCTTCTGCTTTATTCTTTATTTATTTTCTAAGACAATAGTTATAAGATTAATGAACACTTTTGATTAAAGAATTGATTTATCAATCACTGTTCACTTTGTGCGTGATCGGCAATGGCGAAAAAAATCTGATACCCATGTGCACCACACCATACCACATATTTATACCCCCCAACTCATCCCACACTTCTCTGTTGTTCCGTCTTTCATTTCATTTCACACTGTACTATTCTTCTCTCACTGCCATCAGAACGATGCCGTTTGCTCTTGAAACCAATGGAGGAGTTCCCATCCGAAGGTCCACCTTCGCTCACTGCGTCTCGATCTGCGATCGGGATTTTCCGGCGGATGATTCTGACTCCAGTGGCTCCTCCTCCATCGGAAGGAACAGTACCTCGTCGGAAGATTCCTCCGACCGGGAAGACTCCGGCGAAGTTGAGGTTCAGAGCTCCTTCAAAGGCCCTTTGGATACCATAAACGATCTAGAGGAGGATTTGCCCGTCAAGTGAGTTTTTCTTTACTGGGTTTTCTTCAAGCTTCAAACTTTTCGTCTTGGTAGTAATTTATCGTGGATTTGGGTATTAGGTTCTGTTGTTCGTTTTCTGTACCTCCTTGGAAGTTGCAAGTGAGGAGCACAGAACATGTTTTTCTTTTAGCGGATTTAGAAATTTACTGTTTTACCCCTGTGGAGCTCAATCTGGCACAAGTTGTGGACATGGCAACCGATTATTCGCTTCGCTGTTTGTTCAATCAAGTAAATTGTGGTGGTTATGTTAAGTGTTAGTGTAACCACTATTGGAAGGAGCATTTAGGTTATGGCTCTGTGGCTATGTAAGAAAAATTCCTTACAGCTGGATACCATTTTCTTTCGCTTAAGATAATCCATTAATTAATTTCGTGATCTACTTTTTTAGTTGGGGTTAAGTGGTTTACAGAATATATCTAGTTCCAGACGTTTACCTAAAGGGGTACTGTAATTGATGGGCATGATGGTTCTCCACCGTCAAAAGATTAGTGAGTTGAGAATTTGAGATAAAGCATCTTTCAATATTGTTCGTGGATTAGGGAGAGAGAAAAGAAGTCATACTTCGTGTATAACTATTATAGTGCATCATTATCTCTAATCTAGCTGTAGGGTGGGCTTATTTCTTTAAGAAGACCAAAAATAAACAACATAATGATGCATTAGTAGATTAGATCATGAAATTTCAACATAATATATTGGCTTAGCAAATGGGTGGACTCCATGAATTTAGATTGAAATAAAATAGATGGATAAAAATAAACTATTAATACTTTTAGATATTATTAAAAAAATTACATTTAACCCATTCATTACCTATTTTGATAAATAGGATGGATGGATATCCGACTTCTCTATTTAAAATCATATTTTGTTTACTGAATAACTATTTTCTTTCATAAATTAAGGTTTCTAAATAGATGCATTTAAAGTTTCCTTGATCAAAAGATATCCGATTCTTCCGAATTTTACTCCTCTGAAATAGATGCATCTCAACATTTCTTTGAAAACATTTCATTCCTCACCTTCGTAGCTCTCTAATAAAGGCATCTAAACTCCGCCCATGTTCAAATGCATTTCATTCTTTGCAGCTTGTGGGGATACACAATTAATATTTTGGTTGGTTCATTAACTATCCGTTTACAGAGTCTAAAACTAATACAATCCATTAATCTATTATATTATAGTTGGATTTTGATATGATGGATGGGGGATATAGATAATGGATTAAAGGATCCAATTGCTGCCCTTAGAGAGATTTCTTAAAGTTGTATATATTGGGTCAAATTAAGTAGTGACATGTTCTAGGTGTTAAAAGTTCTTAGTTATTACTAGGAAAATTATTGTTGTCCAAATAGCTATGCAAAGCGATGAATAAAGTGTAACCTTAATTTGATCTTTCTTTTAGCTATTTGTTTCATATCAAGTTAAGAGTTTTTTTTGTCAAGATTTAGGTTATTTATATGCATGGAAGTGAAAAAGAAATAAAATAGAAAACCATGTGATAGGACATTTAAACTAAACAGGAGTAGCTTTTTATTGCTTGCATATATATGTCCCGAGCAAGAATGGTTGTATTTTACTAACTGTAGGAATAGCAAAAGGAGTAGTTCACAGTTGAATTTGCCCCTATAAACGGCACTACACATGCTCCTGTCGTGGTTGCAACTTTAGCCATTGTCTTCTACTCAAAGCCAGAACATTTTGATTCAATAATTGAAGATGGCCAAATTACTGAGCACTGGATATGTTATAGTGGTTAGGTGATGTGAAATTTTTTTGATTTTAGATTTAGACAGTTTTATTAACTAGTGTAATTTTGTTTGCGTATTTCAGGAAAGGAATATCCAAGTTTTATAGTGGCAAATCAAAGTCCTTCACAAGCTTAGCAGATGCTGCAGCTGCAACTTGCATGGAAGACATAGTAAAGCCTGAGGATCCTTATGCCAAAAAACGCAAAAATTTACTAGCTCGCAACATTTTAATTGAGAGGAGTCACAGTTGCTCAGATAATGTTGGTGGAATATCGAAGCGACCCGCGAACATAAGTCGAGGAGCATCTTGTCTTGTTTTGAGCAGCAGTGGCAGCAGTGAAGAGGGGAGAAACTCCACTTCAATATCTCCTCCTTGCCCTCTTCCTCCTCTTCATCCTCATCCTACTAGGTCATCAAATAGGTCATCTGCAAATGCATCACTGCCTCAACCTTCAACCACGCCGTGGAGGTCATACTCTTGGTCTGATCTGCAGTCTGTAGCTGGTGAGGCTCATGATTTATCTGGCTTGGCAATTTGTAGTGGAAACAAAGGCAACAAAGTACACTGAAATTTTGACTAAAATTTAACCTTTTAGTTGATAGCAAGCGAGTTTAGCTCACATTGGAGTGAATTTGGAATGGCAGAGTACTTTGTGAACTCGTCTTATGTTTTATATGTATTGAACTGACTAAGAGTGTTGTATATTACATCTCATCTTTTGGTTATTTATCACTATGACTCTTGCAAGCCTACTTAAGTTGAGATTAATCACAATTAAAGATAATCTTAGCATTTCATAATTGGATTTGGTTGCAATTGAATTGAAGACCAATCTCAGCTCATATGAAAGAAATGGAATCTAAGGATGATAGAGAATTTGTTTGCGTTATTGCTGAGACATTCTCAATGTGATGAAAATTTCGTACTGTTTAGATATCTTACGCTTCTGTAGGTAGCACGACAACGCCGCTCTAATGCTTTGTTTGACTTTGGAGAGAGAACGAGAACAGAATCTATATATAGGGGAGAGAGAGAGAGATGTCGCTACATTCTTGTAACATTTTTTTTAATGTTTTGTTTTTTTATAAGGTTAAAATAATATAATTTATTTAATAAATTTGTCAATTACAGAGAGTTTATTAAAGATATTAAAAAAATGGGTTATTAGCTTTTTAAAAAAAATAAACATTATACTAGATGACATTTAAAGTAATATGATGCAACAATATAGTTTACAATCTTCTCCTTTTGCCATTTCTTTTTTGATCAGGTGTGGATTTTTTTTCATGTGAATTCATATTTCTTTCTTTTTTTCCTTTTTTGTTTGGTCTCCATTCTAAGATAATAATAATAATAATAATAATAATAATAAATATCTTGGAAAATATATGATCTATCATCAAATTTTAAATATATATTATTTAATTATTTTTAAGTAACATTTTAAAAATATTGATTACATTTTCCTTATTTAAAATAAATGTTATTTTTTATGTAAAATATATTTTTAATTTTAATTTTTTATTATGTTCTTAATCAATGCTTTTAGAATACTGGCTGACATTTGTTTAATACATTTTAACAAATTGTCTTTAATTTTTTTAGTTTAGAACTATAGGTATTATCTATGAAAAGCAATTAAATTGTCTTAAGGTTTGTTCAACAATAAATGATTAGAGAAAGAATAATACTAATAATGCTCTCTTGTAAACACATTATTTAATATTTTTCCAGGATTAGTCAAATTCTAAAATTTTAAATAGTTATTAAAAAAATTAATGACATCATATATATTATTTTAATGTCGCCTACTAAATGAATCTCTTAATGAGTAACTTAAGAGTATTAAATAAAAAAAAGTAATGCACATTCAAATACTTTGAATCAACCTCTATATATTAAAATTATATTATTTTTTTATTTTTTTTATAATTTCAATACATACTATTTATAGTTATAGAGTTTAATCACAATTATTTTTTAAAAAGTTATTGTTCAAAATAATTGTATTATATATAATTATTTATAAAAACTTAAAATTTATTTTTTAATTATTAAATTATTTATGTATATATTCTTAAATTAAATATATGTAAATTTTATCTACTACTAAACTAGTTTATTTTAAAAATAATTTTAAATTTTAAAATATAAATGTTTTTTTTAACAATTCCATTTATTTTGTTGGTCAACTCAAGTTGGCCCACACACTCAGTTAGACATAATAATAATTTAATCAACAAATGTTTTTTAAATTACTGATTTAAAATCACCTTAATTAAAGCTTTTCTCTATCGTCCCTTAACAAATCTATAAGAACGTTATTAAAAGATTAATAATAAGTGCATTGTTCAATTGAATAATTTTTTTAATAAAAATATTAAAATACACTGAATATTATATGACCAAAACTAGTAAATTTTATCATATTGGTGTTATTATACGGTGCATAAAATAAGAATAATAATAATTTAAAAAATTATAATTTAAGAGAGATGAAATAATAATAATAATAATAATAGTAGTAACAACAACAACAATAATAATAATAATGAGTGGTGTAACAAAGAAAGTAATAAATTATTATAAAAAATGTTAAAAATTTTATTATATGTGTATTATTGCATATAAAATATATAAATTTCTTTTTTTATGTATTTAAATTATTGTTACACACTATTGTTTTAGAGCTTGTTTGTAAAGAAAAAGAAACTGATTTTTCAAAATAAAAAATAATCTCTTACCATTCAACGTTCATTACAAATTGTGTATTATAATTTAGGACCGTTGATTATGTTAAATGCTACAATTTTTCATATAATTGATTTTATTTCATGTCATTATAGCAAAAATAAAATTTATATATTTGTATAACATTTTTCAAATCCTTTTTATGTGTATCATAGTTTTTATTTTCTCCCTTTTATTTTATTTTCGTTTGATTTTTCTCTTCCTTCAACCTTTTATGCCAAAAATAGAATGTACACCAATTTCTATAACGAGATACTGCGACCGCATTACTTAATACGGTTGGCGATTTTAAACCATTGTCATAGCCTAATTGTTTATGCTGCCAATCACAGTTTTAAATTGCAATTTTCAACCAGTTTTGTTCAAAATGTATAGGTTATGAAATTGCAATTTAAAACATTAAGTGGCAAGACATGTTTTGGACTTGAACTATAATATCATTGCTATGGATTAAAAAAATAAAATAAAATAACTCCTTAACCAATGCATTGACCAACCTAGTTTTCTGCTTCTCAAGATAACCTTGAAATCATCGAAGACGATATCTGTAACTCATATTCTGAGCTTGCATATCTGGAATCTGACACTTACCATTTAAAAATATTATTCACTACAAAAGTATATATCACTGCCACTCTGTATCCTCTTGACACTATCTGCTGTGTTTTTGCACTCTCAACTATCAGTTTCTGACTCTCATATTCCTCACATTCTTCTCGTTTACCACTAGAAAATCTGAGTTGGCAAACCTTCATGCATTCTTCTTGAGACTGATGACTGAAACAGAAACAAGTTTACGTGTCATAACTCAGCAAACATGCACGCCTTGTGTCCAATGGGTGTACCTTTTCATTTGTATTTATACATGTGGGGTTGCCCAAGTAATTGCTATGAACTAAAACCATTGAGTGAGGGAGTATCATACTGTTTGAACTCATCAAATGGATTCTGTGCCTTCTCTCTCTGTCTCCCAAGAGGAGTTCCACCAGTTCCATAGAATTGACAGAGAACTCTACAAGATCCTTGTGATCAACCTCTACCGTGAACCAGCTGAGTCCATGCAAGTCCTTGCCACGTGGCTCTGGTTGGAGAGGGTGGGATTTCGTAACGTGGTGAAGAGGGTGTTGTCTTTGCCCAACATTTTGATCAATGAAGTTGCAGATGAAACGGTTTTGTGCTTGAACTGCATTAACAACACCGTAAAAATTTTACCTTCCTCTTCGGAAGGTAGTGACATACCCCTTCTGCAAAGCCTTGTGGACAAGGAAATCTCTCTCCAGTTCTTGTTTGATAACCGTGTAAAAGTACTTCAAGGGGTTGCAAAAGTGGTGCAAGAGGTGTGTGTGAAAGCATTCACTGACATCATGCAACAAGCTATGGTAAGGAACACAAATGAGAGAATGATGGAAACCCAAAAGGGGGTGACACCAAGCCCAGAGAACCATTTCTGGTTTGGGTCAATTGGGCCTTCAAATCTGAGGCTTGGCAAGGTTGGTTCTGAGGTAATGGTGCAGAACAATGAAGTGCCAGCTGATGATAGGACCTTGTTTGTGACCTTCTCTAAGGGCTATCGTGTGCAAGAATGGGAAGTGAGAGAGTTCTTTACAATGGCATATGGGGATTGTATAGAGGCCTTGTACATGCAGGAAGTGCAGCCAAATGAACAACCACTCTTTGCTCGCATTGTTTTTCACAAGATTTCCATCATTGACATGATTCTTAGAGGGGCTAACAAAGCAAAATTTACCATCAATGGGAAGCATGTTTGGGCAAGAAAGTTTGTGCCTAAACGCACAGCTACAAGGAGTGAGTTGTCAACACTTACTAACATGCCCGGAGAATCATCTGGGTCTGGGTTATAGACAAGTTGTTGTTTGGTTATTTTCGTCGAGTGGTCGTTTATTTTCATTTTCCCGTGTTTGTTTTTGTTTTGTCCTGTAAAAGGTTGTTTCAAAAATGTTGAGTCTATTTTATTTTGATAAGTTTTTGTCAAATTACTCAACCTTTTGGTTGAAGTTATTGAAATCTATTTCATCTCCAGAGATTTTCAATGGCGAACAAATCTTGTTCTCTAAAAATTTACATACAAATATTGTTAAATTGGGTTTTTGTGAGGATTGAAACAAAATTCTTTTGCTAAGAAAAAAATTACGGTTTTTTTTTTTCGAAAAGTCATGTCCTAATTTCAGATCTCGCATACCGTTTGATGCTACATTTAATGCAAAGAGTATTTGCTATTGGGTTTAATTTGTTTTTGGTGTGTGTTCCGATATCCTGAAAATTTTTTATAGGTACTGTACCCAAAAAATTAGATTAATAAAAAATACATGATAAATTATAAAAAATATATATTATTATAAATAATTTATTTAAAATTATATTATTTATTATTTAATTCTTACATATATTTAAAATTAAATTTTTTTAATATAAGACAATTTTTGTCCATCACTGCTATGTATGTGCAATCGCCTGATCGTTTCTTCTCTAACTATGTAAGCTCGTCTCATTTCTAGTTTTAAAATAAGATTAATCTTAAATAGAAGATATGTCTTTTTCAGTCCTTTCCAGCATGAGGAACCTTATAGCAATTGAAAAAATACAGTTCTGGATCTGTCATCAAGCACTGATTCCAGCATCAGAGAAGTGGATTTAAAGCTGAGTCAAAAACTAATGGCTATTGTTGAAAGATGGAATTGTTTACTTGACCATCTCTTTTTTCCTCGCCCTAACATGTCATGAACTAAGAAAAACTCCATTTCTAACTCCGCAATGTAAGATCGGCTCATTGTTGTTCCCGTGTATAAGATTGCTTTGTCGTTAGCGGATTATGATCTAAGAATTTATTAGTTATATCCATGTTTAAATATTATTGATTAAAATTTGTTTTGTATGGTACTTTAAAATTTTTTAAAGATACTACAAAATTTACCCAAAAAAAATATTAAAATATTATTTATAAAATTTAGGAATTTTTTTAATTGAATTAACTTTTAAAAGCAAATTAAGAAACTTACATATATTTACTATTTAATCTTGCAAAATTTATATAATATTATTTTATCTTCAACTTAAAGGGGCATATGCAATAATGTAATTTTTTATTATAGCTAAAAATTCCTTTTTTAATTAGTTTTTTAAAGTGGATTTGACACATAGCAAAAATTAATTGTAAATCAAATATAAATTAGGTAATTATTAAGATATGCCCACATGGAGATATAAGGAATATGAGTTACATATCATAGGAGTTGGAGAGATAAGTACAGATGATGTAAGATACAAACAAGGCGTTTCCTCGTTATTATTTGATGTATTTAATTTCAGGCATGGGTTAGATATTAGCACAGAAGCACTCATTGTATTAGCGCACACAAAAATTTAAAACATGATCATTTGAAAAAAGGATTTATTATGAAAATAAATCATCATTATTATTTAAAATTTTAATTAATTAACCTTTCAATATTATGTTTTTATGCAGATTTATCAAATAAAAACATTTATACAATTATATTTAAACTTTTTGTATTACTTAAACAAGCTATAGTGTCACACTTCTATGAAATTGTATATGATATTCGAATAGTTTAGTATCATTGTATGATTATCTAAAAATTTACATAAGATATTATTGAGTATGTATGAAATTTGATGCGAAAAAAAAAGTTGTAATTGTATAATTTACAATAATATAAATAATTTAACTTTATCGAAATAATATTATATTCAATAATAATGTATTAAATATAAGTAAAATATTTGATTCTATTAAGTATCGTTTTTTGGAAGTAGTTGAAAAAACTTTTGAATAGTTCAATTATATATGTGAATTAGATTAAATTAATCCCTTAACATATATTATTAATTTCTTTTAGAGATGTAATAGGTTAAAGTACTTCTTATATTCATATTTTATTTTATTTTATTGTTAATATTCATATTTTATTTTTAACAAAATATTGATATATTTTTTTTAACTAATACTCATATTTCATCTTTAATAAAATATTAATGCTTAAAAATAACGTGATATATCAATTATTTTATATTTGAATCATGTTAAGAAAAAGAAACAGCTAAGACAATTCACTTAAAGAAAAATCTTTAATTTCAGATATAATTTTATTAATTTTTATTTTAACATTAAATCCATTTGACTTCAAACTAAATATAATATAATTCTACCCGATCTAAAATAAAATCTAAACAACTGATTAGACTTACACCTGAAGATACAAACAATCCACTGTAACACCTATAACTGTGACGTCTCTGGCTTGAAAGTAATTTACTATCTTATGCCTTGAAAGTAATTTACTATTTTCTGCCAATGGTTATTTATAGTTGTACTGAGAGAGATAACTTGATTGTTGAGGACTTCTCCAATATCGTGGAAGACTTGTTGAATATCTTGAAGGGACAACAGCGCAGCTACGATCCAAAATAGAGCCCATATCACGAAGACGAACATACCAAATCCTGGCTTTAAGATCAACGTGTGCATAACTACAGTGAGGGCTCCCAATAGAGGAGTAAACGTCTTCAGTAACTTCAGTATTGAAGGTGTCGCTATGTTTCGAAATTCCACCACCAATGCCAGCCAGTATATGACAAGGGTAATATAAGTCGCCAATAGGATCCCTTCGTGTTTGTGATACAGAGTTTCTCCCATGATTTGAAGATGGGCAGTGAAAATTCCCACTATAGTTAAATTAAGACAGTGCACTGGGAAATTCTCCATAACTGTCAAGCATTAGAATTTAATTAGCCAAAAGTTTATTGTAAAATGTAAACGAATTTTATATCAACAGACCCAATAAAAAAAACCCTGTAGTTTTTTTGTTCAGTATTTTTTAGGTTCCATTTAACCCATTCCAAGAATAGGTTGCTATTTTTTAATGTTGACCCGTTTTATTTACGGGTTCAAAACCGGAGCCTATTACCCTTGCGAAACCTAACGGTTAATTAGTCAGCAACTACTTCAAACATCAATTGAAAACAGAGGAAGAGGAAGGATGTGGTAACGAAAAACCCTTTCTTATTTAAAATAAATCATTCAATTAAATATTTTTTTAAACATACAAGATTAGACTCTGTATTTTAATTTAACAATGTATTTTCCATACCTGTCGGAATTTAATTAGCCAAAATTTTACTGAAAAATGTATTTTAATTTAACGATGTCCTACATTTTAAGGAATAATCTCATGGCTGTTCTTTTAAGCACGTGACCTTGACCTTTCCGTATACTATGTAATAGTCAGACAAGTAAAATTTGAACTATAAAATTAGAAATTTAAAAAATTATTTATGTGACTAAAAGAGTCGTGAGTGTTTTGTCATGTTCTCCCTCAGAACTTCAATGATTTCAAATCTAGATTATTTTTTTTTTGAATTTGGTGGTCTATCTTATTTAAGTATCCTATATATGCTTCTGTTTTTGTTGAAAAAATTACGGCAGCTATTGGACTGCTCTCAAACTCAAAAGTAAGGGATTACTCTTAACTAACTCGGTTTCAACCTTTACGATTGTTACTTCATTAAAAGGCAAGACTAATAAAGACTACATCAAGAGATAGAAGGACTTCTTCTCCCAAGTCCGTCGGCCAACCACAACTCGCGGCAATAATACCAGGAAGAACAAGATTTCTCCCTCCCTCATTTTTTGACGCCAAAAACCTGTCAGTCCCGTCGGGGCACAAGAGTGTGTCAGCCAATGTTCAACTACTCCAAACACGTTTTTTTAATAGGTTTTCGTTTCACATGTTTATAAAAAGCACTTGTAACAAATAAGATAGGAGATTTTGCCACAATAACATCGCTAGACTTGATTGGGTTTTTAAAATTCAAGCTGAGCTATTTTGAACATACATGATGAAAAGCATCAATTGAAACACACACATATAAAATAAATCATTTAATATACATGGAATATTTGTATTGAAAAATAAGTTCAAGCATACCTTCTAGTAGACTTGGATTGATTTCTCAGTTTTTCTTTATCCATGGACAATGAGTTTCGATGTATTAAGAGTATCCGTATTTATAGAAGCTTTCATATTGGTGCTTATCCTGATTGTTGGTTCAGTTTATGCATGGCAAAAGCGGGCATTAGAATGGTCTTAATTCTTGACTATTTAGACAATAAAAAAAACATTGAGACAGTCCATTGAGTTTCCCTTACTTGATGTAACAATAAAAATTCAGTTATTTCAACTGCATTAAATAATCTTTTAAATTGGTCAAGACTATCCAATCTATAGCCGCATCATTATGGTACCAGTTGTTGTTTCATTAAATTTGCTCCAGATATAGTGTTCTTTTCCGAGCAACAATGAGTTCTCTTCCGACAAATTCAGAGAATAAAAATAAAAGCCTGTTGATTTACTTAACTAAATGCAGCATGTTTTTTCTTTTCCACATACGAAGACGTTAGGATCTGATGGATGGACGTTTGATTAAGACTGAATTGTCAAATGAAAAATAATTAACATTTTTATATAAAAAAATGCAAAATATTTTTTTCAACGACTAAGTCAATTATGGTTGTTGTCAAATCAGAAATAATTGATACGGTTGTGTTAGCCAAAATCGATCGTTAGCCAAAATGGGTCATAATCGGCCCCAATACATTACAAAATAGGACAGATCTAATTGAAATTCTTGTATTAATTTTTTCATAACATTAGAAATGAATTTTGGGCATATTTAACTCCGCAGCACTGAAAGATTGAAAAATAATCCAAAAAGTGAAAATTTCAATTTTCTTTATTATGATTGGAAGTTATACTATTTAAGAATCAAAAGTCACCTTTAGCTGTTGTATGATTATTTAATATAAATTATACATTTGTTTAAAACTATTTTATATTTATTAATTTGATTTTTAACCTTCTTAAATTTTAATCCAAAAAAATATTTCTTTTAAATATTTAAGCAACTAAGTTAATTCTTTAAATATCTAATGGCTTATTATTTTAAATTTTATTGTATTGTTAAAAAAAATTTATTTTACCATCAATTTAGATTTGTAGGAAAATTTTTAGTCAATAATGTATACTTTTTTTAAATATAAATAAAAAAGCTACGTATAGTTATATTGTGATTTTGTCACTGCACTAGTCATATTGTCACACATTAAGGATTATTTTAATTTTTATAAGATTAAATTTATCATTAAATTAAACTCTCATATGTCTGACTAATTTGGTGAAGAACTAACCTACTAATAATTAAAAAATGAAGGGGACTAATTTATTAGATAATTTTGGCCTAAAATTAATTATTGAATTGATTTTTTAATCACATAATTATATTTATAAAATTTTAAATTAATTAAAATCATATAATTAAAATTATTTACCATCGTAATATAAATAGTTTTATTTTAAAAAATTCAGCATTAAAAAAAATTTAATCAGGTGGTATTTAGAATAAATTAAACAACTAAATTTTCTTATTCAACAAATATTTTTTTAACTTTTATAACTTAATAAACATGTTAACAGAAGTTAAATTTGTTATTATGCATATAAAATACATTTTAGCATAAAATAGGTTAGATTTTATAACTTATTCCCATAACATTACTTTAGTTTAAAATGGTACGTGATTAATTCAATTATAAAATTGTGAATAGCTATTAATTTAATTAATATATAATAATTTATATTTTTTATTTTTAGTTATTTTTTATATAACTCAATAATTAAAAAAAATAAGTGAAAAAAAATCAAATTCAATATTAGATAAACAAATTTGTGACTTTATTTTGATAGTTTGTAAAATATAAAAAATTAAAATTAAAAAAATAAATAAATAAATAAATATGAAAAAATTATCTGTCTATATATATATTCAGTCTATCAACTAAAGATAAAAAAAACGGATAGTGATTGAATTAATGGATCAATTTACTTAAAAATAACATAAAATAAAAAATTATAAAAAATATTTTTATGCTAATTAAATTTAACATTAAACTCATAAATAAATAATTTTATTTTTAAAATAAAAAATAACATGTCACAATACAGATGTGAAATATTCATTTGATCCAGTCCATACATTTTTATCCAACCCAATTTAATATATCGAGTGATATTATCTCAACATAATTCTCTGCTACTTTTTCTGTTGTTGTTAATAAACATGTTAGTTGTATACAAAATTATAAAATATATATGAACTTTAAATTAAATAATTAATACTTGATAAATTAAATATATATTATAATTTTTATTTCAAGAACATGTTTTTTATAAGACATAAATTTAAATTATATGTATTATTATAAATTATAAATTTATTTATTTAAGTTTTTTTAACTATAAGTATATATTTTTTTTAAAAATATATTGTTTATATTAAATATGATAATTATAGGCGATGAAACTTTTTTTTTCTGATATTTAATATAATTATATTTACTGATTTGAATTCAAGACTATGGGTTATTTATTTGAGTATTTAAAAGTTTCCTAAAACTAAGAATTACAAAGAAGGTATGAACAAATAGCATAGACAATTGATATAAACACTTACTGATACTCTGAATTAGTTACACCTTGAAACATAAATGTCAAATTATCTAAGAATAGTTAATTAAACCAAGTTGTGTTTACTCATTTGATTTTCAAAAATGTCAGCTTTGATTCAAAATATTTTTTTAAAGCATTTTATTTGATCTTATACAAATAAAAACATCAATAAGTAAGTTTTTATAAATATTCAAGCCACGGAATTAAATTTAAAAGATTTATTGACTTATTTGTCTAAAGTTCAAAACTTAATTACTTAAAATTTATTTATTTATTTATTCTCAGATGTATTTAAACAGAATCAAATGCATTGTATAACCTGTTTATCTTTTTATTTTTTCTAAATTTTTTTAACTTGTTTTAAAGATTAATTTTATAACAAAACATTTTGAAGAATTAATATAGCAACGTTTTAAATTTCTGAATTATTAATTTATTAGATAATTTATGCTAAAATAAATTTATTTAAATTATTAAGTATTTTTTTCACGTATATAAAAAACAGTGTAATATATATTTTTAAAATATTAATATATATTCTTATAATCATTTAATTTTAAGATAATTTAATACAGGTAATTAATATAATGTATTATTATAAATTAATAATTGAATAAAAATAACATTTTAATCAAATTTATTATGATATACAGATTTATATAATTTATATAAAAATAATAATTTAATTATATTTATATAGCTGTTTAAACAAAATTTAACATGTGATAAATATACTGTATAAGAAGGCAATAGTTGAATCGGCAAGTCATACTCTATACGAGCGACATATCAAATGATAATAACTTTTATATTATTAATAATTTTATAAAATGTAATTTGATAAAGCGGGGGAGAAAGTTTGTGTTTTTTCGGTGATGATCGCTTCAGATTTTTTTTCTTAATTTCTGTAACTTGTTTTAAAGATTAATTTGATAAAAAAACATTTGAAGAATTAATATAGCAACATCTTAAATTTCTGAATGATTAATTTCTTGGATAATTTATGCTAAAATAAATTTATTTAAATTATTAAATTATTTTTTTCATGTATATCAAAATTAATATATATATATATATATATTACAATTTAATATATATATTCTTATAATCATTTAATTTCAAAATGATTTAATACAAATAATTAATATAATGTAAAAAAAAAAATTGTTTCATGAAAAAAACAATAGATGTACTGTTCGATTTGACTGGGCTCCAAATTTAACAAACTTCATTCCTATTTCGCTAACTGGCTTCCTTGGGCTCTTTTTTAGCCCACTGAAAGTGCCAACACGGACCTTGTTCTCCTTGAGGTGTAACTACACTATACTTTAATTCCAATGGACCATTTACATATAAGACAAACTACTAAGGAAATGAGAGTATTATTATGCTTAAATGATATTATTTATATACTATTTTTATAATAAAATTTTTATTTATTTCTTTTAATTATATTATTTACATTATTTCATATTTTATTTTTAATTTTTGTTTATATATAAACTATAAATTATTGCAAATATTTATTGTATAAAATAACATTTTTTTCTGATGTTTCGATGATCCTCATGATAAAATATTTCCTACTTCCTACTTCAGGGGATTAAACGAAACTAACTAAAAGGACAAAAATTTAGGACTGATTCACAAAATTTAAGGATGGAGATTAGCAGCGTAAGAATACTTAGGAGCAATTAGGGCGAGTGAAATTGGGAAAGCAAATATATTTACCAAAGTGCTTTTCTTCCATTTCCTCTCGGGTGCACGCTTCGGTTTTGGATAATCAAAGGTACAAACAAGAGTATTGATAGCAACAATATCAAATACATATTATACATTGAAGTGATTTTTGCAGGTTTGTTCAAAAATGGATTCAGCGTCGAATGGGGAAGAACCCACGACGTGGGATGAATTATACAATATCAACTTGATGCCTTCTGAGTTGTTTCTTAAGTTCCGAAAACAAGTTCAGGGCATTCGAATTGGTCTCAATATGGAGGTACTTCTCTATTCGCTAGTCACTCTTCCCCTACCCATTTGTTATTATTTGACAAATATTTACACTTATTTGTTGCATTTTAGTTTAGGCTTGCATACATATTTACCATGCTTTAAATTAATAAGCAAATAGAGTTAGAGAGATATCATGCTGTCAAGTTATTTTACAGTTAGAGTTTCTTTGGATTGAATTTGGGAAAAGAGGGACTAGGAGAATGCCTACACTTCAATTTCTGCATTCTGATAGCTTTAGATTTAAAAGTTTGTGATGTGGTTTGAGAACAAGCTTAACATTTTATCAGTTTATAATGCATGGTACAGGAACTAGATTATTCTTTGTTCGCGAACCGCTGCATTTGGCTATTATTTTTTTATCCAGTCTACATGGTTAAAATCTGTTCGAGTGCTGCTATGTGAAATTTAACCACTCATATACTTGGATTGAATCTTTTCAGATAATAGGTCAATACTGTGGAGTTTTTGTTTACATTTATTTACATATGATGACTACTTATTTAGGAATCATTTTTTTTTATTGCAGTTCTATAATGCTCCAATCAATGAATATCAAGCAAAGCTTGTATTGAAGCCTTTAACACCTGAATGGAAGTGGAAGTTAATTTATGAGCCCCTTCATCAAGATGTTCGCATTCTCTCAAAAAAGATCCCCATTACCAAATTTCTTAATCTTCAGGTTTGTTGGTGTCTGATTTTTTTTTTTGTGGCAAGATTGTCGTATTTGTTTTTATTGTTGCTGAAAATGTTTAAAAATAGTATTAAATGTGGCATTTTTATGTGCTTGTATGCGTTGATTCCAATTTTGTTATTATTGATGCCATGATAAATTGATTTTCCGTTGTCTATGATTTCATTTGAAATGATTCACACTGAAAGTAAAACAGTGCAGGTGGGTGTAGGACACAATTTTCAAATGCATGCTACTGGCTGGAAATGGAAGCTCACCACATGCTTGGGTGGAGATGGTGTATCCCGGATCCGAAATAAGACATCAGTTGGCTTGTTTCCTGGCTTTGATTTACGGTTTGGATGGAGGGCCGACTATGTTCTTCCTGAAATTACTGGGCAAGTTTTGTAACTTTGTCGTTGGTAAAGAAATAATCAAAATAATAACTTTGATACTAAAATATATTTACCAGTGATTAGAAAGTATACTATATGATTCATTATTTTTGGATGTGCTATTCTGATACATTATGATTTCTTATTTTTTTTCTACTTGTTATTTTAGTTTTTTGTCATGCAACATATGACTGATTAGTTTAAATTTTAAACCTTAACAGGGCTTTGGGTACTGATGAACCATTGTTCAACATGCATTCTGGACGACTACAAGCATCTCTTGATAGAGTTGAGGCCATCTTAACCCACAGTGATACTGATTGACTTTGGTAAAAGAAGATAATGTTAACGAGGTATAATCCCCATTCCCCTTTGAAAGAAGTTCTGCTTAGTGGTTGAAAATAAGAAATCAGCAAGCAGGACATTGGAATTAATATATACCAAAAAATGAAAATATTATTCCTTCTTTCAAGTCAGTTACTCTCTTAATTTATCCAAAAGCATATATTAAAATCATAAATATATAGAATGATGATTTATTTGCACTTGACTGGAGTCTGTCAATAAGTATATTTTTCTAGTAATATGCATTATTTTATTCTGTGGACACTGAATCATAAAACTCTAACTGAGAAAAAAAAAAGAAATGCTTATTATTATTCAGAATTGAATTAAACCACTTTCTCATGATCCTGTTGATGATGCCGTTGTTGTACTCTTTCAAAACACATTTTTGTAAAAATAATTGCGCCAAACACTAATGGGTTTAGGTGACAGCAAAATTATATAGCTTTATGATAAGCTCCCTACCAATTGCTACTTGAAATTAATGGCTTTCCTAATCTAAGCATAGTTTCTGCAGGGTGTAAGTCAAATTTTGAAGTATGTCACTATCAGTTTGAATATACAAGCCTCAAAGTGGAGTCAAGCTGTTACTGCAAAAGATATTCGAAATGTGTGACATGGCCCCCAATTTAAAATAACTATGGAGCGTTTAATGGGGAGAGTAACTACTCATGGTATTTAGAGGGCATTTGTTCTGTGCATGCATTATTTCAACGAGTCAAGCTATAAACTTGCCTTGCTAGTGCGATAATTTGTACATGTGGCTGTAATCCGGATTTTAGATGTTGTTAATTGCTTGATTACTCCACAAAATAACACTGCTTTGCCAGAGAGAGAAGGTAGTGTGTGTGTGTGTGGAAATTCGAGTTCAGAATTTTCAATCTTTGTTTGCTTTCTCACCTAATCTGCAAAAGAACCAGGTCTAATTGACGATTGAATATGGTTATGTTGCGTATAAACCAATTGCCCTGCCTTGCTGCAGAGACCCAGAAGGACTAATCTCTTTTCCTTGGCAATGTTAGTAGGAAACTCACTGAATGGCAAACTAACACACGGATACCATTAAATACTACGTACAATAATGAATACAGTTTTTCTAAATGTGTACTAAAAAATGATAATGAATAATGCCTTTTTCTTTATGCGTTAAAACGTCAAGTGTTTAATTTAGGTATTCTAAAGTAGCAAAATTTATTAAAATTTTGAATATTTATTAAATTAAAAATATAAATATTTATTTTAATAGAAATTTTTTGCTTTTAGATTTTGAAGATTATTCATACGAGCTAGTGTTAAGAAAACTGTTTTTATTTGCTGAAAGTTAACATTTGTGGCCTGCTCGGATTACTCTTCCTTGAATATTGATCTACATCAGCTACCACATTCCAATCATATGAGACCATCAATTTTACTGCAGGAACATGCGTGTCACCACTCATGTAATGAAAAGATTGTCACGTTCATTCTGTACTTTTATAATATTATTCCTAATCATCAGGTGGCAGAGGCAGGCATTTATGCAGTGCAAATTTCTCCTCTTTCGAGACAGTTTGAATGCCTGCGGAGGGAATGAGTAAAACAAAAGTGGGACCTGATCTATGCTAGCCGTTGTACCCATCCTTAACGGCACCATTTCACCACCTTATAAATTCAAATTCTCGACTCTCTTCAATGACCAAAAACATACTATAATCTTACAAATCAACCTCAGATATGTCTTCTTCCAAGCTCAGAAGGGCATGTTCCTTCACCAGCCTACTCCTTAGCTGTTTGAATTTTGCTTTGTTTATCCTTTCTGCTGCTTCATTTGCACCCACTATTCTCCTTAAGATGCCTCCAACTTCATTTGGCATGGCATTCCTTATGGTTTCTGGCTTCTCACTCCTCTCATCTTTTGTGGGCTTCTACTCTCAGCTCACATACTTCTGTTTTCTCACCCACATTTCCCTTCTACTAGCCTCACTGATAGGACAAGTGCTAAGCATATTAGCTTTGTTTACAAAAGAAAAAGCAAGCATCTCCCTTCTAAAGTCACCAAGGGACCCAAAAGAAGCTAAATTTTTGGTAAAGCTGGAATGTGGGGCTTTCATGGCAATGTGCATGTTGCAGTTGGTGGTGTTGATATTGAGTTGTACAGTGCATAGTTGCTGGGTGAAGGATTATGAGGAACTAGAGGCAGAGAAAGAGGCATCAGCAAGGAAAAGGAGTAGAAGGATTGCAGAAGTGCAAGAGGAATGCATGGCAAATGCAACCAAGACTGCAGAAATCAAAGGTAAGGAGTTGGATGAGAAAGTGAAAAGCAAATATGGGCAGTGGGTGAAGACTGATTTTGAACCATGAGGAGGATCCTTAACATCTTGCTCTATGTTCCTTCTACCTTGTATATTAGTGCACATGTTTGCATCGTTGTTTTTATAGTTCCTATTTCAGTGTCCTATTGTTGGTGTTGTTTGTTCAGGTCACTATGGGTGTGGCCATTGCATTTTAGTGTGTAAGCATTCAAGGTAGAAGTAACCTGGGAATTTCTGCTGCTTCAAGAGAATCCATCGTGTTACTGAATAATAATTTGTACGTTATTATTACTACTATTCTTCTATCAGAATTTTCCATTGATAATATGTTAAATATTGACATTAAAAGTTAGTATATGGATATTAAAGGTTGACATACTTATCGAAATAAAATTTTAATTCTGATAAAAAACAATATTAATGATACTATACTTAGTACTGCACTTTTTTTTTTAACCTTGGCACTAATGATCACATCTAGTTTTGAACAAGCAAAATGAAATTGGTGGGTTCACTTGTCCAATAATACGACTACAAGGAATACAACAAACCCTGGGCTTCTAGCACCGGTGGTTTTGGGGAATCCACACAACTTGAATTTTGAGCAAATCATACTTAAAAAAGTTACATCTTGTCAAAATGATTTTAAATTCAATACACATCCAATGTGTCATCCACTCGATCGAACTACAACTCTCTCGGTATAATGCATAACAAAATAACATATTCAAGTAGAATAAACTCTTATAAAGGAAACCTATTATTAAAAAGCAATAATATAAATTTTGATGGAGTGGGTGAAAGATATTTTTTTTCTTTTCATTTAAATAAAATCTATAAAATTTTAAAAATATATAAATTCTGATTGTTTTTAAAAATCAGAAATATTGAATAGTACGAATTCCAGTAGTACTAAAATGAAAGAAAATGTGATAAAACCAAACCCACCTTAAATCTCGTCAAACTTCATACCGTAAATTTTCGTGATGGAATTTGCCATTTTAAAAAGTTTTCCCACCAATGTACCAAAAACTGAATAAATATTGAATTTAGAGCATAATTCTTTTTTATTTATTTTAAAATTGTGTGTGGCGACACGAAATATTGGTACGAAATTATCCGCTTCTTGGATTCTAAACTTTGTCATACCCATGTAAGATCCACAGTCACAGTAACAACAAAAACAGTTTCAAGTTTACCATTTTCTTCTGAACTCGATCCAACTATGCCTTCCATTTCCACAATTCACGTGCCAGAATTTCAGAGCTTGTTCTTCCATGCATGTCCCACACGTTGCAAATACCCAAGAATCGCTGTTTCTTGGACCATGTCAGTTTCAATTTCTTCATTCTTCAAACCATTTTCTTTGCTTTAATATGATCTTGCTTAGCTTCTTTGTGTTAGGACCATGAACAAGTAGAAGAAAGAAGTTTCAGTGCAGCTTTCGAGTTCAAAGCCACCCGTCTCCATTTTAAGGTTCTGTGATCTCCGTTTTGACCGGCTTCAACCTTCGGATCAAGAATTGGAACCACACAGTAGGTTTGAGTTTGGCCGATTCGTTGCACGAGAGGCCCTTCTTGACAAAGAGTATTGGGTAAGCAACCATAATAGAAACACATGCAAAAAAGAAAGAAAAAATATTGGCTTGCTTTCTTGTTTTCTTTAGTTTCTTGTGTCTGTTCTGTATTCATGTATAACTTATGGTACTTGGCACGTATTTCTATATTTATATATTTATTTGTATTAATATTAATGTGGCAGACAGCAGCATGATTAAGGGCATAAAGTCAGTGGAAATATTGAACGCTATGAACGCTGTATGACACGTTAAATCAAGATTAGTTCCGCTTTTCTTAATAGGGATCATTAATAATAATAATAATGATAATTTGATTTATTACAGTGATCGAGTCTAACGTATTGTGCCAATTATTTTTTTAAATAACAGCACGCTAGTATTAAGTAGATAAAGCGTAAAGATTCACAAGAGATGAAATGTAGGGTGCCACTAATTCTCATTATTTTTTATTTAGATATGGTGATCATTACAAAAAGAAATTTGCTGATCAGGTTGCCGATGTTAATTACTTTGTTTGAGTGTTCTTCCAAGAAAAATCTTAACAAAAATTCCTATCTGAATTTAATAAGATAAAAAACAGGAGCAAGATGGCGAGAGTTGCACATGCACTATCACGATAAAAACATTCTTTTTGCATTCAGACACGTAAATCATTTTCAGAGTTCTGATTATAAAACATCATGGTATGTTTCGGCTTATATTGTCTGCTGTCAAGTTTATCGGGTGGAGAAGGAGCAGAAAAACTGCAAAACGCCCAAGCAGCATCAACAGAACACCGTCAAGCAAATATGGCTATATCGCAAACTTGTGTGTTGCCAAAGCAGTTCGTTGCAAGGGTATTGCAATAAACATGTTGTATTTTGCCGTTGAATCTGCAAAATCTATTAGTAACGTGAACATTGAAATGAGAGTAACTTTTACAAATGATATATGAAATAGCACATCAAAGTAAGGCCAAGACCTTACCATATTAATTTGTGGAGTGTGCCACGTCTATACATGCATGTGGACAGAAATAACATGCATGCCCAGACATTCTAAAAAAACATGGGGTTTGAGGTAATACAATTACTGATTGTTCATTTTTAATATCAGAAACAATAGCTCTTAACGAGGAGCAATAATAATTCAGGCAATTTACTCGTCTTTATGATAGTTGAAATGGCAAACACCCTGTTGTTATAAAAGATCAAACATAAATGTAAAGCACGAAAGATAATGCCTCGACTTTTGATAGCTTGTTAATTCCAAATTTCTTTGCTCTGGTGGGGTGAATTGCAGATTGTAAAGTCAATAATTGAGTTTTTTTTACAATTTTACATTTGTTATACACTTGCGTAACCTCCACAGTTGATTTTTCAATCAGTAATCACAAATTTGTACCTAGTAAAATACATTTCTTTAGAAGATTCAATTCAAATTGGTTTTATAACTTATGTAAGTGCGCGCAGATGACCATGTTATATCAATGCATCATTTCAACTCTTCTTCAGTCTCATATTCCTCAGTCTCATGTTAGAGAAAACTATTTTACCAAAAATGCAAAAAAATAAAAAAAGAAGGAATAGCAAATTGGTTAATGCTAGATATCTAGGATCGTTTATCCATGTTACGATAACAAATAAATCGTAATTTTAACTGAATCTGGTATTTAATTTTGCAAACTCGTTTCCACAAAACTAATTTTTAATTAAAATAAATCAAATCTGAAATTAAGTGATTTATACTAAAAAAATTGAATCTCAAAAAGAAACTTATAATAAAATTCAATAAAAAATTTATTAGTCCACCTAAAAGTTAGGTATTTTAACTTTTAGTCTATAAAATGGTTTGCCATATTTTAATATCCAATTATTTAATTTCATAATAATCGGTGCTCTATAATTCAAGGTACATATAAAATTAACAACTATTTTGCAAATCCAGTTTTTTTTTCAATTCTATAATTAAAATGTTGCAAACAGTAATTTTTCAGAAGCAGATTTATTACGAAGAGGGGCAATCGTCAAATGTCCAGCAACTATATTTTCCATTTTAAAAATTTATAGCAGACATACCCGAGTGTTTTATTCCTTCTCTCAAGAAGAAACTTTATTATTATCTAAATCCACTGTACATAATGAATATGAAAATACTCTGCTAAAATATAATAGTCTGTATGTTTGACTTTGAATGCTTGCAACAAGGAAAAATGTTTTCTCCCCTTACAATTAGACTATCACAGTCAATCAACAAATGCACTACTAAAACAAAAGGTATAACCGGCAACAGTGATTTCCTTGCCTCTTCAGTTAGTACCATGTTAGCAGAAAGTTAAGTCTGCTTTTACTAGAAATAACCGCAGATTTTGCCAGATGTCACCGTCGATATATTTCATTTCTGATTCTATTTCATATCAAATCTACTGAGACTGGTAACGCAAAGCACGTTGAGGGGAATCGGGTACTTTGACATGTTGCAATAAAGGAGACATCTTCAATCCAACGATCTGAATCTCTAGGTTTGAGTGCCCGTTCATAAAAACGTCTGTTACCTACAAAATACTTGACATTTAAAAACTTTTTCGTACAAATCAGCTAATTTCTTTATTTAACTAGGTGAATCAGATCATTTTATATATTCTTTCCATGACCACAAGAGATTCATTACATAAATGCCTTTGAGGCGGGTTTAATTATAGATAAATACCTGCGAGCATCCAAAAAGTTTCAGTAACCTCAGCGAGAAGCAGCTATCAACAATCAAACCCAGTTCATTGTCCATCAAATTTCGGCACCAAGATAGATCTAAAGTATGCAACGTTTTTGCATGCCTAGCAAGTGACAACGTTGTGTGGTGGCCAACCTGGATTATAAACCAAATGTGACAAGCATTCAGAAAACAAAACAGTATTAAATAAGATTTAGCTGGCTGCCACAGCTAAAATGCTAGTTGAACACCAAATAGCAGAAAGATACACAATGTCTTCTATTAGTTACGTAATATTCAAGAGTCAGTTGAGTCCACGGTGTGTACCTCCAATAGGAGGGCAGAGCTTTGTTTCACATAGTTCCATAAAAGAACCAGAAAAGTAACACACAAGCATCATAACACAAGACCTTCAATTTTCACAATTTTATTTATATTGCCTATAAGTTATGAATTTGATCCTTGAAGAAAATAATTTGCAGCATACGGTACATGTTGAAGTGTCAGCTTGAGTAAATACAAATCAGAGAATAGATAATAGAGAAGCAGTTGCATTTTGAACACATAATCTACTATTTTTTAGGTTAAGTTGAAAATAATTTAATGAATGCTTTTATCAGCACAGAGAAGCCTTTCCAGCATGTCACAATGTGTAAGGGCCCATGTATTTAAAGGGCGTGTGTACTGTGTAGCACATACATCCACCACAAACCTGCGAGCCCATGGAGAGAAAGCCAGCTAGGAAGTATAGTAGTTTACCTTCTTAATGTTGTTAAGTGAAAGTTCTTTCATGGACTCTCCCTTGATCTCCAAAAAAGCAGCAATTGCTTCATCGCTGTAGTGAAGGAAAATTAGTTTTAAATTTTATTCATCAGTGAGAATTTATAAGAGATCAAGATTACAAGCAGTAAGCAGTGTTAATCACTATCCTAGGACACATCAAGCATATCATGCATGCATATATAACAACAATAACAACCAAGTCTTATCACATAAGATCAATTACGTGAATTACATAACACTATTAAACAGTCAAAAACTAAATTTTTAAAAATATGATTAATTAAAAAGTCTTTTTTAATAACTTCATATGATCTCCCCTGATCTCTTTTTACCAAATTACTTCTTATTGATGTATCTAAAAGTCTTCTTTGCACATGACCGACCTACCTTAACCCATTTTAAATTTTTTTTTTTTACTGTAAGTGTTACTCCAATATTCTCTCGTATATTATCATGTCTTTTCTCATGTATTCACTCATCCACTTTAACATTCTCATTTCTACTAGTCATACTTTTTCTTGTGTTGTTCTTTTTAGGCATATACTTAGTAATAATAAGATAGGTGGAAGGATGTTCTCAATCCCTAAATACAAAGTACATATATGACTATTGCTAGTCCAAGATTTCAAGAAAGGAATGTGTCAATCAGACCCATATGAAGAAATACTCCCTACATGCCAAATGCTACAAAATCTATACCAATTCATACAAGAAATAACAATACTCTACCAGTAGGCTTGGTGGAATGTGATCCCCCCCAGTTACAGAATCTGATGCATCTTAAGGAAGACAAGAACAACAGAAATCTAATTGGAGTCTTGGAAGCCATCAGAGAAATGCTCAAAAAGGATTGGGAATTCATCACAAAGCACTCTTAAAGAGAAGTCACATTGTTACAGAAACAAAGATAACCATCCTATTATAAAGCTATAAACTCCTATAAGCAAGCCATCTCTTGCAAAGAGCAGACAGATTACAGACAAGTGTCTAGCAAAAGCAATATGCACATGTAGAATGAAACAAGATATCCTGAATGGATTGCAGAGGAAATTGCGGAAAACAAGAAAACACCTGAACGAATTGCGGCAGAGCTTCAAAGTGTGAAGTGCTTGACAATTGTTTGTAAGATATCTTACAGATAAATCAGTCAATTTGTGCAAGTTCATAAGATCAAGTGCGCACAACCCAGGACAGTGTTCAGCAATGACTTTTATTGATGCATCAGTCAATTTTCTGTGGATTAAGAAACATAAATTGACAAGATTAGGTGAAAAATAAATTATAGCAATGAAAGATAATGAGGAAATCCCAATTTTTGGAATTCCTAGCAAACATATTCCAAAGAATGATTAATCCATGCTCAAAGAATGATTTGTGGTAAGTCCATGCTCAAAGAGTGGTCAATGGTTAACCAAACTTTAACGGATTAGTCATGCATCTCAGTTTTGGTAAAAATTTCCCCTTTCCTAAACGGGAAGTCTCCCAAGTTTACTTTGACAAAAGCATCTGTTATCAAGGAGATTCCAGGCATAAATTAGACTGTTCACATAGTACTCACATACAGTCCTTTAAAACAAGCTCCTTCATGTTGTGACCACGTGCAGTGATGTAGTCCTTGATAAATTCATCACAGACAGTTTGAATACCAGCCAATGACAATACTTCTAAATGTTCCAATTTCTTCAGTGCTGGCACAATTAGTGCAGCATCAGTGATTTGGCAATCATCAAGATACAACTCTTTCAGAAGTGATCCTAGTGAATTGGCCAAAATATTAAGACTGGCAGATGTGAGAAGGGAGCACTGGCTTAGATTTATCGATCTAAGTACTGGGGCAGAAGAAACTAGTACTTGTAACCCCTTATCTGAAAGACGGCACGCACCACTGAGGGACAGACTAGTTAATCTAGGCAACCACCTTGCTGACCGAGCCAAGGTAGCATGTAATGCATAATCAGGTATACACCGTCCACACTGGTCAAGTTGTAGCACCTACTCCACAAGTAAATAGATAACCTAAATTCAGATTGTGAAGTTTTTTTAAAAATAAAACGTTGAAAGAAGCTACTAATCAAACCTTCAACAAGCAAATAGGGCATGCAAAAGAGAATTAAACAGCAGAACAAGAAAAACAACTTTAAAAATAAAAATAATTAACTGTACGCACATGAAGATTAATAATAAAGGAAAAATGGGTACAAACAAATTGCCCCGTCACAACAACCAAAACATATCCTAAATCAAGATTTTCCAAGACAAAAAGTAAATAAATAAATTATTATGTGAAACCTGCTGTGTTAACAATCATGGTAAACACGGTCACATGTAGAGCAAGTCATCTCAGATCCTAAACGGAATTCAATTCAACAAAAAGTTAAAACTGTGCTGTCTGTAAATAGAAGTATCATAACTGCTCACCAACAAAAATCCATCCACACAAAACCACCGAATAAGATTTGAAACAGAGGATTCAGTTATGGCAAAATTTCAAGAAATACCGACAGCCATAAAAAAAAGTTAATTAAAGAACACACACACCTCCAATCTGCTAGTGTCACACGTTTGAAAACACTTCGTGAACTGTTCCTCCGTCAACCACGAACAATCTTTCAGCCTTATCTCCGTAGGAGACGAAGACCCATCAAGAAGAAGTTCGAAAAAGTGAATGTTCATCTTTCTCGAATCGCACAGCAACTGGCTAAGCCTGTGCCTCAGTTCATCCGGAACACCCTCAAGCGAAACAATTGCATCAGCATTGTCAGCGAGAACTTTAAGGGACAATTCACGCAAAGAGGGAACCCGAAACCTCAACCCTGCACCTTCTTGATTCCTCTTAGAAACCCATGTAACGGAAGAAGCAGGAACACACCCCTTTTGCGAAATTTTCATCTCTCGATCCTTGATAGCTCTCATAGCTATAGCAAAAGGGGTAGAACTTGAACTATCATCAATTCCAATCCCTTCTTCCCCTTCATCTTTAACATCAGTTTCAAAACGTGCAAAGCGTGATGCATTTTCCTTGGCGGTTTGTCGGAAACGTTTTATAATCTGATTCCTTCTGAACTCATGCACTGTTTGGCGGTGGTAGGGTAGAACGTCGATGTCTGTGTCAGTGTCGGAATCCTGGTTTCCGAGTTCTAAGGCCAATACGTCTTCACGAAAAGCATTGGATAAAAAATCAATCTCAACTAGTGGCTCCTTCCTCTCACCGCCACCGTGTAACTCAAAGGCGAATCTAACGGCGTTGGAATCGTCGTTGCCGGCGTTGTCATTAATCCTAGTACGCTTGACGGCGGCAAAATCGTCGGTGGCGAAAAAATCAACGGCGCTATCAAATTCTCTCTTGAGAAATTCTCTGGCCTCTGGTTGATCTCCGTTATCGTTAGACTGATGATGATGATGATGATGATGGAGAGGAGAGGCGTTAGGTTGGTCGAGAAAGTGAGCGATCATTGTAGCAATGTCTAGGTCAGAATCGGCAATCGAAGGAGAATTAGAAATTGGAATCGGAAGTGATTGAGGAATATATGATGATGATGAAGGAGAAGAAGAAGAAGGAGAAGAAGAAGAAGAAGAAGAAGGAGGTTGTTTTCGATTGGGTTTGGTTGGAAGCATTGTGCTGTGTGGTTGGTGGCCACGCGCGAAAGTGAAAGGGATGTGTGGTGCGGAGAAGTGGGGAGTGAAGAAGAGAATATAAAGGGAGAGGTTTGGTGGGCCTTTGAATGAAACGAGACACAGTAACACTCACTGACTCGACTATGGGTGTGGACTGTGGATGGAGCAATCCCAACGGAATTGGAAAACCAAGAACGAAACACAAAATGATGCCCAGAGAGAATTATTCATATTATTATTATTATTATTGAGAGGACAAAGAATAGAATAGAAACTTCTTCCGTACGTCTCACCCACGCTTTGTTTTTCCTTTTCCCGCCATTTGGCTTTTCCTATTTGTCTCTTTCTTGCTTCTTCTACCTTTTCACTTTCATCAAACATAATATTAGTGACACCTTACAATTGAAATTCCTTCAATTTTTGCTAATTCTAATTCTTCAAACACTTAACATCAAAAATGTTTATTTAAGCAATGGGGAAATTCATATTTCTTTAGAGTTTTATATTCGACTCTCATAAAACTATTAAGTAAACGTCCAAAATATGGTAAGTTGGTAACATGTCCTAACAGATATATTCCTTTAATAAGTAAACTTCCATTCTAACATGAAATTATAAGCTTTACTCGTCACGTCATGGTTTGAAATGTTAAAAAAACAACAATTTAGTCATCAAATTTGTAAATATATTGTAATCTTATTTATTTAAACCCTTAACACTAGTAAAAAAAATAGATAATAAAAATCCATTGAAGTAAATGACATTTATAATATTATAAAATTTATAAAAACTAAACTCTTAATTAAACTTATTTTTTTATATGATATATAATTTTTATTATATTGGAGATAGAAAATTTATAAGATCAATTCTATTATATGCATAAATTTGTAAATTTTTTATCACGATATAAGTAATTAATTCTTATATATCAACTTCAAATTTTATTATTTGATCTTTTTATTAATTTCTTTGTCAATTAAATAAGTGAAATATATTTAGACATATCTATTCTTTTTTATTGTATCGACTTAAAAAGATTAGATATGTTTAAATATTTTTTTAACTGCGATAAAAAATGTTTATTATATGTAAATTATTTTTAATATTTTATCAATTATAATAATTATTTTTTGATTGATTTATATATTTATTAAATTAATAAATTTTATCAATAAATGTATACAATTTTAAACAATAAATAATACTTGATTTTAATATACAGATTTCTAGTATTTTTAAAATTTATAATTCTTTAAAAAATATATATTTTAATCTTGTTATAAATATTTTATTATGTTTTAATTTATATTATTATTATCATCGATAAAGATCAAAATATAGATATATATACTAAAATATAATAAAAAAATTTATAAAAATTAAAATTTAATTTTTTAAAATATGCAAATTATTTCATATACAAATATAAAATATAGAACTAAACGTATAATTTAACTAGAAAAATACATCAATTGATACTTAAAAGAATTAGAGCACTTGACTTTCGAGGTACATTCACTGCTAGCTTGGCCCTCGATTGTTTTTAACTTTATTTTCAATAAATAAAAATTGATTTCGCCTTTTCTGAATTTTCAGCCAAAAAGGTTGCTATCGTTGCCGTCTGATCCCCTTATACTTTTGTAATGAAAGTGACTCGTATATATACAAAATAAAATAATATTAAAATTTATTATTTGACCCATTCAAGACATTTCCATGATAAAATGCAAATTTTTTTAATTTTATCTCAATTTAAAGACATGTAGTGGATTATTGAATTATTTCATTTTGCTTGTAATCACGTATCAGGAGTGAAAATATGTTAACTGCTCGTCAAAACCTAAACTTATGTAAATTTTGAGATTATGTCTTTATAAGGTTGATTATTATAATAAATCTCGTTTAATTTTTTAATCATCAAGTAAGGAGATAAATAAAACTATTTTGATTGTTTTTATATTTTTATTTAAATATTATATTTTAAGTTTTTGTATGTAAACTGGTTTAAATAAAGATTAAATTTATTTAATATTTTTTCAATTAATAATAAAGACAACTAAAATTTTAATAAAATAGATGTTATTTAACAAAGATTATCACAATAAGATGAGAAACGTGTTTTTTTAAGACAGACATAATAATTAATACACGTAATGTTAATGAAACTATAGAGCTACAAATTAATAGAATTAATATGGAATACGCTGTTATATTATTCTTTGGTCGACTGAGGAAATATATTATTTTCAACTAAATTTTGAATTATCTAGTGAAATTTACACGAATCTCATTTTTTTTCTTTTTAATTATATAAATATTATTATCATGTTTCATAATGATATTTAGAACACAACTTAGATTTATGTTAGAAGAATGATAATGAGATTAAAAAACATTTCTTAACTTTAAATCTTGATATAAAGTTAAACATGTAAAAGTAATAAAATATTGTTAAAAAGTTATAAAATTATAATAAATATTATTTTTATTTTTTATTTTTTTTTATTTTTATTCTTAAAAGTTAAGATTAACATATTTTATATAAAGGGTCTAAAATAAAGGTAAAATAATGTTTGAGGAAGAAAATAAATGTTAGACACTTGAAGATTTGAGAGTTGATTTTTGGAGAAAATAAAAAAATATTTTTATTATAATTATTAATACTTGAAAGTTTTTAAATAAGAGTAAGAAAGTTTATAAACTCTAAAACTTTTGTAAGCATTTTTTTAATTTAAAAAGTCTCTTTTTTTTCATCCTTTATTTTCTAAATTCTTTATTTTTTTCTTTCTAAACTCTCAGATAAGACTTAAAATGTCACCCAGAAGGACAGCGAAAAATAGTATACATTACACTGATTGATGCTTAAAAATAAAATTGAGACATATTATATTATTCTACACGCTATCACAACTTTCGAGTTTCAAATGTTCACATATTTTAGGTGATAAATTCCCCAAAATAATATTGCTTGGTATAAGACGACACCTTGCCTTTAGATAGATAAGAGTGTGTTTATTATTATTTTAATATAAATATTTTAGATAATTATTACTCTTAAAATAACAATAAATACCTAAAAAAGCAACGTGATTTCGTTCGAGGTGTCATGTTGATGGCATAACAGGTAAGAGAGCATATATTGGCAGCTAAGAATAACACATGCAACGAAAGAACGAACAAAGTTATTGAGTCGCTTTGCTAATTTTGGACACTCAAAACCTCTACGTGTTCATTTGTTAGATAAAGCCACCTTAGAGTGTGTTTCTTTTTCTGGTCGTGTTCTTGTCTTGTAACACTAAATGGAGGTCCACTAACGTGGCCCTGTTCAAGACTGGTAAAACAATTATTATTGTTTTTTAATTTTTTAATCAGTAATTTAAAACTCTGATTAACAGCTTGTTTAATCACTAATAAATACAATTAACTATTCATTAATTTTATTCAATAATCACACATCTATTTTCATGAAAAATAGAAAATAAAACAGACATTGACTTGAGTCTTCAGTTACATATTATTATTATTTATCTTTCAAGTGTATGATCATATGATGTAATGCCAAAGTGTTGGGCCGGAAAAGACATAAGTAGAGCACTTTTTATTTGTCCCATGTGGAGAGTGTTGTTCACTAAGCTAATTATTGTGTTTATTAAATACCCTTTCTACGTATATTTTATAACCAGTGAATATGGAAGCAAGCGATGTGCATAAGCATAATTCTTTGTTCGTTTCACTCTTTTTGTGATGTATCTTGAGAGAAAAAACAAGCAATAAATGAGGTGATGAAAAATTAAAATTAGAATAAATATAAAGCAACTGTAAAAATTAGGTGTAAAAAGGTTCATGGCTCAACGACTTTATGCGAACATGTATTCGGTGGTCAAAATAGATGTCCATTATTCCACGCATCCCATCCTTTGTGTGTGTGTGTGTGTGTGCGCGCGCGTGAAAGCTTTATCCAGCTAACAATGGAACATGATTTAGATTAACAATCCATTAATTGTCAATTATAGGTAGCAAATAGCAATTATAGGTACGTGGGTTCAGGCTTAGCCTTCATGTTCGAAAATACTCCCAGAAAGTTGTCAGGTTTTTTCATATCACTGTTATTCTTAATTTCTTATATTTTTCTCAAAATTTCGCATCCGGTAGAAGTTAGAGTAAAAAATAATTTGTAAATACTCTTATTTTTTATTTTATTGAATTGCTTATTAGATAAAAAAGATGGCAAGACTAAAAGGGACAAAAGAGACAATACTTTCTCCTGTGAAAAAGAATAACGATAAATTTTTAACGTAGACATATTTATGGTATTTTAAAATATTATAGAAAAATAAAATTATTATTAGTATTATTTACATATAAAAAACATACACACAATCTATCTTTTTCTGAATTATAGCAGTAACCGTGTCAATGATCAGAACCCGAATCATTATTGATCACACTCAAATTTGAGATTTTTTTTTTTTAATTTGTTTCCTTAAGGAAAAGAGAAAACAAGAACTAGGAACAATCTGCGAAGCATTGCATATATCTCGAATTTCGGACACGTAATAAAGGAGAGAGAGAAAGAGAGAAGAAAATGGAGAAGTAGAATATACAAGTACAAGCACAAGTGCAGAAGCTTCGGTGTAACTCTAATGGCGATATTCTCTGAATCAAATCATCATCACAACAGTTCCGATGGAGTTTCCCAGCGAGTCAACAGCCCGCGTTACTCGGGTCCAATGACTCGCCGCGCTCACTCCTTCAAACGAAACAATAACAGCAACTCCCACGGCGGCGCCGTCACCGGCCCCGCCGGTGGCGGCGGCGCTCTCAGTTCCCACAATGAGATTGAACTTCAAATCAACTCACCCAGATCGGAAGAAGGGTTTGAACCTGTGCCTGAGAGGAGGCACGTGCACCATCACGTGAGCCAGAGAATGCACGTGAGAGGGTTGTTGAAGAAACCTCTTGAATCCATTGTTGTGGATTTGGGGTTGAGGGAGAGGAAGAAAATTGGGCATTGGATGTTCCTAGTGTTTTGTGGGGTGTGCTTGTTGATGGGTGTTCTTAAGATGTGTGCCACTGGTTGGCTTGGATCTGCTATAGAAAGAGCTCAATCATCTAATCAGGTTAGTATCTTATAAATGGTAGACTCGTGTCAAGGTTTAATTTTGGGAGGAGTTGAGTTTTTAAGTGTGTATCTGTTTGTCCAAAGTGGAAGGTTGATCCATTTCGTTATGCTTATTGTGGATCTGTTTTTGTTACTTCAGGAACTTTGCGTTTGTTCCTTAAACTAGTTCTGTCCGATCTGGACATTTCGTTGCTGTTTTTGTTTTTGTTTTTTTTTTTTTTTTGGGGGGGGGGGGTTGTATTATTTATAGGAAACCTTGCTTTTTTTTCTGGCGCAAAAAAAAAATTGATGTATACAAGGTCGAATTTGCATCTTGAAAAATGTGAAATTTCTTATTCAGGTTTTAATTTTTAAGCGAACGTTCCAGTACTAATGCTGTGTTGGATAATTGTGGCTTTTAGTTGCATCCATTTGTGGGGTCTGGTAATTTATTTTAGTTTTGTTTGGATTTATCTGCTTTGTTTTTGTGAGCATTTGGGTTGTTTGGTACTGGAAATGCTTCAGTTCTAACGGTTGCATAATATTGCATGTCTAAGTGCAACTTTAGTGAGGAGAACTCACAATTGAGAGTCTGTGGTATTGCACCAATTTTTGAAAGTAACTCGTGTAGGGAGCTGGGGTGGATTAACAAGTAAATATATCATGGTCTGATTTATCCTTTTGTGTTACTATATATATTGGCTGTGTGGGAGGTGGGGTGGTGCTTGTGTATCTCATCTTACTTGTTAAATTATTTTACCTTTTTATCAGGAACTGTCTAAATCCATTGCTAGTCTAAAGCTAACGGATCGAAGCTCCCTTGGTTATGCATATAGGGAGGGAGCAGGTGATGTTGAACGAACTCTAAAGACAGTAGCAACAAGAGTAGATGGCGGCCATAGTGCAATATCTGAAGTAAGTCTCGAATATGTACCTCATGTTTATGCACTTAATTTTGTTTGGTTCTCAAATAAAACACGTACTTGGAATAAAAAGAAAATGGTTATTATAGCTTATTTAGTGAAGGCCTTTTCGTTCATAAAAGTTTGCCTTTTATTCAGGACTCGGGTATCTGGTCTAAACCCAACAGTGACAATTTCACCCAATGCATAGATCTGCCAAGTAATCATAAAAGTATGAAGGTTTATTGTCAACTATACACCTTTCTCCTGTCATGCAGTGGGTTATTCCAATATTTTTATCTCACTTTATGCATTTTTTTTGGCAGAGCTAGATGCAAAGACCAATGGATACATTATTGTAAATGCAAATGGTGGCCTGAATCAGATGAGATTTGGGGTCTGGCTATTGATTTCTGATGGTAGATTATAAAGTTAGGCTGCAAGGATAATCTAATGTCGCAATATATTTGATTGCAGATATGTGATATGGTTGCTGTTGCTAAGATTATGAAGGCAACACTTGTTCTTCCTTCTCTTGATCACACCTCCTACTGGGCTGACAACAGGTTCCCCCCTCCCCACCCCCCCACCATGAGATTAGATAATTGAATCACTTAACAAATGTATAAGGCCCTTGTTTCTTGCAAGCCCAAAACATTCTTCAATTTCAACCAGTGCTTATTATTTATCTGAATTGATATAAGATTCACAGTGTTATTGTTGTTCTAATCATGGCATAGCACAGAACTGGAGAAGATTAAATACATGCAAGAGATGTTGTAGGAATATAGCTTTATTCTGTTAGTACTTTGGAACATTTTTCTAGAAGTATGCTGTCAATTAAAATCCCACAATCAACATTTTTTTCTAGACATTTATCACAAATTTTCCTGTAATGGAAATAGCACTGTCAGGGGAAAGATCTAACTGGTTTTCCTAATCTCTCACTTATATATCCTCCCTTTTGCCATCATTTTTTCAAATTATCACTGTCATCAAGTGATGAGTTTCCAGCTTGATAATTCTTCCATTGAATACTTTTTCTGGTCTACAACTTAATTTGTTTCAATTTATTTGCAGTGGCTTCAAGGATTTGTTTGACTGGAAGCATTTTATTGATACACTGAAGGATGATGTCCACATAATTGAGAAATTACCTCCTGCTTATGCTGGAATTGAGCCTTTCTCAAAAACTCCAATATCTTGGTCCAAGGTCAACATATGTAACTTGTCTAGTCAAATTACTTCGATTTCAAATCTGGAAAGATATGTTTGATTAGTTGATTTTTTGCATTCCTGTTGATCTTGGTGATCCATCCATCTGGTCTTTTAGGTAGCTGGTTGAGTTTTTAAGAATATGAGAGTATTACTGTCAATTGATAGCCTTATATGTGCCATCATATTCATTTTGAATTACTTTGTGTCATACTGCCTGAATTTTATGCACGCTGTTTCATTGTGTCTCCTTTTCATAATGTTTCTCATAACCCTCATTGAATACATACATCTTGCTTATTTACAGGTTAATTATTATAAAACTGAGGTTCTCCCTCTCCTAAATCAGCACAAAGTAATCTATTTCACTCATACTGATTCCCGGCTTGCTAACAATGACATCAGAAATTCCATACAGAAACTAAGATGCCGTGTAAATTACAGAGCATTGAAATATTCAGCTCCGATTGAAGAATTTGGAAACACATTGGTATCTAGAATGCAACAGAATGGAAATCCTTATCTTGCTCTTCATTTGAGGCAAGTTATGATTTAGTAATTTAATGAAAATATTAAGGCTGGATCTTTTTTCTTCTTCTCTCTCTTCCTTATTGTTGTTTAGCATACATTTGATTTTCTTGGAGATAAAGTTATCTCATGGTATAAGAGTCCCAAGTATTACCCTATTTTGGACTAGGCTGATTATCTCAGCTCATTAAAAAAGTTTGTATTCTGGTCAAGAAGTTCAAATAAATATTATGCCTCTAATCACCTTGCTTTTTCTCCTCTTTTGTTATAGATATGAGAAGGATATGCTTGCATTTACAGGCTGCAGCCACAATTTGACTGCAGAAGAAGGTGAAGAACTAAGACAAATGCGATATGAAGTCAGTCACTGGAAGGAGAAAGAGATTAATGGGACGGAGAGAAGATTGCTTGGAGGTTGTCCGTTAACTCCAAGGGAAACTTCGCTTTTACTTAAAGCATTGGGTTTTCCATCACACACCAGGATTTATCTGGTAGCTGGAGAAGCATATGGAAGAGGAAGTATGAAATATCTTGAGGATGATTTCCCCAACATTTTTTCTCATTCCTCTCTCTCTTCTGAAGAAGAGTTGATTCCTTTCAAGAATCATCAGAACATGTTGGCTGGTATAGACTATGTTGTTGCCCTTGAGAGTGACGTATTTCTCTACACTTATGATGGAAATATGGCAAAGGCTGTACAAGGTCACAGGCGCTTTGATAACTTTAAGAAAACCATCAGTCCAGACAAGTAATACATTCATAACCCATTTCTTCTTTTTCTTTATTATTTCAAACATGGTGGTTTGGTGATATGCATTTTAGATCCATGTGAAAGTGTTTCTCATTCATTCTCACTATAGCTGGTTTCAAATGGTTGATGCAGGATGAATTTTGTTAAACTTGTTGATCAGTTGGATGAAGGAAAAATTTCTTGGAAAAAGTTCAGCTCCAAGGTAAAAAAGCTTCACAAAGACCGAATTGGTGCTCCTTATCCAAGGGAGCCTGGTGAATTTCCAAAGCTCGAGGAAAGTTTTTATGCAAATCCGCTGCCAGGATGCATTTGTGAAACAAGATAGTACTAGAGACTCCTCTGAAGGCTATCTGTCTTGTGGCGGCATGACAAGACTGCAATCAAAAGACATTGTGGCTGTGCTGTGATATTTTTCAATACTTGTGTCTTGACTCTTGAGGAGATGGCAATGTGAATGTTCAAAAGCTGGGTTATCTGGTTTAGATTGCCTGGCTGTTGGGATAAGATTACAGTTGGCCAAGGTGTGGGGGTAAGAAACTGAGATTCCTAGCTGTACCTTTAGAATTAAGGATCATTCACGGACAGGCCAGAATATACCACTGTCAATACTTGCAATAGAAATTAAACACCATACCATATTAAGCTACCTCATCCCTAAACACACTTGAATGAGGAAGTCTTTCTTTTTTTTTCCTGGATTGTATTTTATTCAATACTTGTATTAGCATCAAGAAAAGGGGATGTGACTGAATAAGTTGTATTCTTATTGTACAATAAGATTAAAAAGGAAGAAATCTAATTTTATGCATCTTAAATGCCGGTTTCTTTATAGGAATAATACTTAACAGTACATTCTTTAATGAACTTTTTTGCAGAACATTTTTTATTACCAGGTGAAATTTTACTTGAAAATTCATTGAATAGACCCCATAAATTAATTTATGCTGGCCGGTATGAGTTCCGATGGTGATAGCAGTTTTGAATAATTGATCGCAGTCAATTATGCTGACTCCAGATCACTATCATTACATGGAAAAACATGTATGAGAAAAGGATATAAATTAAATTAATCTTATATTGCATTTTTCTCAATTTCGAAACCATCTGCTTTCAAATGAATCTTAATAACAAGAAACATTACAACATAAACCAGATAAAACTAAATTTCAACACCTAACCAATAACCACAAAACCTGCTTGAAGAAGTGTCCTACTCTACCAACACATACATGCATACTAAATCCAAAATGCACAATCCACTTGAGCCTAGTCTCTTTCATGGATAATTTCCTATGGTTTAGCCAGTGCCTCCAAGAACACCCTTAAGCTTCTTCACTTGAGCAGCATCACGAAAAGTGGTTTCCGATACCAATTGTGTGGGAAAATCACTTTTGAAAAAGCAAAGTCCGTAATTTGAAGACCAGAATTGGACAATTGCCAGTGCTGAAGAACCACCATCTACATTGATTTGGAAGTGCAGTAAGCCTTGAGGAAATACCATAACATCTCCCTTCTTAAGAGTTTTGAAGTAGACTTTGTTGGCAGATGAAATGAATCCAGCTTTGATCTTTCCATGCACAACATATAGTATTTCTGAAGCTCCAGGCTGAGTGTGAAGTGTTACAACTCCACCTGGTGCCAAGTCCAAACGGGCTCCAAAAATTCCAAGTCCATTTACACCACCAAACTGATCAACAAAATACTGGAGTCACTGCAGCTTTGTAGGCTTCTTGCAAGAGTATCTGCAGGACCAATAAGAGTTGTATAATCTGCAACACAAAAATCTAGGACAGAAGCATGAAAGAAGGAAAAAAGAGAAAAATGAGGAAGATAATAAGAATCATCGCTTATTTTAGATAGATATGCTCTTAACTCTTAAGCAGTGTTGTTGGTAAGGGTTTGGTTGCATTATATATTGTTAAGAGGGGAGGGCATGGACTTTCTTTTACCACTGCCATTGTGTTGCTTCAATATGGTTTGACATGCATGGATAGATTTTTCTCACGTACAACTATAAACGACAGAATTTGAGCTGGGATTGATGCATGTGAACGTCAGCCTTTTCCCTAGATAACAACAAGAACCTACTTTTTGTTTGAATGTAAAACACAAGCATCTTAGGGTATCTTCTTATGCTGTAAAGGATATTATTTCTTCAAGAGAAGCGTTACACTGAAACCCACTTGTATATGAGCCGATACAAGAGAAGCGTTAATGAGCCAAACAAATTGATATCCAAAGGCCTTAAGTTTAGGTAAGTATAAGTTTTTTTAAAATTTATTAAAATAAAATTTAAAAATTATGAAAATGGTAAATATTTTTTTATAAATTATTCATAATTTTTTTAAAACACGTCCTTGCTTGAAAGAGTCTTACAAAAAAAACTTGACGAAGTTGCAGGCATTTCATTAAGAGGGGGAATGACAAGTTTAGACAACACAGCCTCGCAACGCGCAACGCAATAACCTCAAAAGTCATATGCCCCCATTATTCTTTCACAGTTTGGACCTGCCGGAGTGGTCAGTTTCGGACCAGCTTTAATTTAAGGACACAGATCTAACATGACTATTTTATTTTGTTCTTTTCTTTGTCTTTTCTTAATTGATTTTTTGTATATAATAATTTTTTATTGAAAATAATAAAATATCACAAAATTTAATATATTAATAACATCAAATACTATATTCTTAATAGATTTTATTATTTTTTATTTCTTAACATATATTTTATATGAACTTTAAACAAACCGTTTCTTAATAAAACTTCACGAGAGGCTGTCCCATTATATTTTCCTGTGGGTTCACTGTGTTTGTCATTGATCTCAAGCTGGGAAAAGAAAAAGATTCACTATACTAAGGACTGAAAGATATTGGATTAAAATTATTATAGAAAGCAACAATTGAGAAATAAGTAAGCTGCAGCCTGCAGGCAATATACATGAACATATACAGGCCAAGATATTATATTGTAGCAATTATAACAGGCAATTTTTTTCAGTAAAGCGTATTAAGACAAATTTTCACAATGAAGACAGAATACTCAAGATCAGGACACTCCAATTATGCATATGACAACATCAAAACTCAAAGCTAAAATAAACATTACAATTAAAGGCGTGCCATTGGCTCCTTAGCCTCACTTTCTTTGCTAAGAAAAGGATAATCTGTGTAGCCTATAACGGGATCATGGGTGTAAAATGTCTTCCTGTTATACCTGGTTAGAGGTGCATTAAGCTTAAGCCTTAAAACCAAGTCTGGATTGGAGATGAAAAGACGACCATAGGATACCAAATCAGCATCACCTTGAGCTACAGCTTCCATTCCTAACTCCCTAGTAAATCCACCGCTGCACATGAAGGTTCCCTGATAAGCTTTTCTCAGGTTCCTAATTAAATGAGCTTCCTCTTCTTCACTGCCAGGTCTACCAGACTCGGTTTGGCCATAAGCTGTGTATCGAGGCTGAGTAACATGAAGATAAGTGAGTTTTCTGCCCAGCTTTTTCTGCAGGTTGTTGAGTCTCTCAACCACTGCTAAGCCTAGCCCAAGTGGGTCAGAGTCACTGGCATCAAGGTGATCAATTGCTGGTGAAATTCTGATAGCTACTCTTTCTGCTCCAATAGCAGAAACAACAGCTTGAACCACCTGAATTAAGAACCTGCACCGATTTTCAAGTGATCCACCATATTCATCTGTTCGATCATTGATTCCATCCTTTAAGAATTGATCAATTAGATACCCATGCGCCCCATGAATCTCGATTCCATCAAAACCTGTATGTCATACACCTTGTTTAATAATAATTGTAGCCAAATAACAAGAAAATATGGTAAAGTTTGTCTCCTGTTTCTGATAACTAACGTTAAACACTAATTGAATTGAGTTCCATTCAACAAAACAAAAGCACAAGCTAGTAATCTACACAAATCCATAGCAAGAGATCTAGAGTAATTAGTCTCCATCTAGCTGCATTGAAACTGGCGAAGAAATTAAATGAAGGTATTGGCCAATTAGAAATAGTAGGTCATATTTCACAGCTTGGATGCAAAACTTTTGCTTTGAGAGGGAAACTATAGAAAGAAATGTCACAAAAACTGATCAATACTTCAATAATCAATCTTGTATGTTTCGAAGCATTGTGCAGCTATTTCTCTACACTATGATGCTCATTAAAGCATTATGCGACATTTTGTGCCTAGAACACATCATAAGATGCATCGTTAGGTTAGTGTATTAAAAACGGCAGCATATCATCACCATCATTGTCTCTTCCTTTTATTAAAGTTAGGAATCGCAAGAAAAATATCAGTGTAGGGAAGCAGACCATGTATACATTTTTACATAATCTCAAAATCACAATCTGAAAAAAGAGACTTGCATTAAGTTTTTTAAATCATTGTCAACAAGTTTTCAAAACATACAGTAACATATTCTCAGTTCAGACAATGGGATATTTGGAAGAGCTTAGAGTAATTTACAAAAACATTTAATAATTCTGGTAAGCTCTTTTCGCTTATTCTAATATATTTTACGATGAAATTTATTCCATTAGTCCTTATGTGATAAGAATTTATTAAATTAGTGTTTAACTAAGTTATTTATCGAAAATCACGTACTTAAAATAGAATCATTAGCCATTGTTTGATTTTGAGAACCTGGAAGTAAGAATTCAAAAAAGTAAATCTAACCTGCACGAATTGCATTGATTGCTGAATGCCTATAATGCTGCACTATTTCAGGTATCTCAGAAGTGGTGAGTGCACGAGGCTGTGGGTAAACACCATAGGACCCATCGGGCAAGAGAATCCTCCACCTCCCTGATATGGGTTTGCTGGTGGACGAAATTGGCGCAGCCCCACCAGGCTGATACACTGCTTCACAAGAAAAGCAATCAATTAAGTGCAAAAAGACTGAATCACTGACAAGTAAAAGTATCAAAATATTTTATACAGATCATTGAGGATGAAATTCTGACGCATATAGTAATAGTTGTGTACAAAATTGAGAAGATAGCTGGTGGGTGGATTGCACGTTACCTGGATGAGATGCACGGCCAACATGCCAGAGTTGACAGAAGATAAAGCTACCTTTGGCATGCACGGCATCCACAACATTTCTCCATGCCTCCACTTGTTCATCTGAATATATTCCAGGTACATGTGGAAACCTGCATCAAACAACCACTATCATATTAATCATCGACCTTCTCCTTACAAAATGAACGTGAATCATTTTTCGATGAGTCCCACCAAAGCACCCGAAATGAACACCGTCCAAAAACAAGCCAATATCTAGAAATTAATAAATAAAAAATAATGTTTAAACAATAGAAGAGTAAGTTAAATCAATTTTGTGTGTTTTCTCCCTTGTGTTTATTTTACGGGCATTTACAAATAGCATACCGACAAAGGAGACAGTATTTTCTCTCTGGCCGATATGCACATTAAAAAAGTAATTATTTTTTCTTCTCTTCTAAATAAAAATTAAAAATATGTTTCTAACACATTCTCTCTCTTTTTTCGAACAAGTAAAATATAAAGTAATATAGATTTTTTTATATGTAAATTATTTTCCTTCTTTATTTTAGGATGAGTGAGTATCATTATTACATTCATAATTTACCACTGAACTTTTTGGGCAAAACACTTTTTTTGGACAGCTTTTAGGAGTCAGTTACTTTGAAATGTGTTTTTTTGTATCTTTAATTATAAAAATATCACTTCATTTTTAGTTTATTTTTAAATCTTTATATATAAGAAAAAAACATTTTTATTATCATCGTTATCTTAAGAATTGCGGTAGTGTGAAATCCAAGTGAAGGAAGGAGTCGTTATTTGACCGTTCAATTTCATAAGGTGGCAGCTAGTACAAAAACACACAGTTATGCGTTGAAACCGGAAGGATAAATGTTTTTTCAATTGACTAATGTTATCGAGTCTTACAATTAATAATATTTTGAATATTTTATTTAAAATATTAAAAATAAAATAAATATATCAACATTTTAAAAACATAAAAACGTGTGTGGCGGTTAAGAAAAAGAGAAGCACCGGTTATTAAATATTAAATAATAGTAAAAAACTGCGAACATGAAATGAATATGGTTGTTGAAAATAATTGAGGGGTTAAAAAGAGCGTAAAAATGAGAGAAAATTACTAGAGTAACAGTACCCAGGAGCAGTGGGAGAGATCAAAGTGCCTTCAGTGATGAGAAATCCACCTGGTGTTGATCTTTGAGCGTAGTATTCAGCAAGTGCAGCCTGTGGAACCCCGTTCAACGCTCTGCATCTGGTCATCGGAGCCAGCACCACCCTGCATAAATAAAAAGATTGTTAAGATCCAAAACTGTAATTGATGATAGGTGATAGGTGAGGAAGAGAGACGCGAAATAAACAAATAAAAAGAATTAACGAAAAGTGTGACCTATGAGAGAGGTTGATTGTTGCCCCCATCTTGTAAGGAGAAAAAAGAGTCGTGGCTCCTTCTGTTGAATTCTCCGCCATTGTTGAAGGCGATCTATCTATGAGTGGATTCAACTATTGGAATCTAAGAGATGAAGAAGAGGAAGCGCATGTTCATAGCTTTAATTATTGCCGTTATATGGTGTGGGTGCGTCCTCACCGGAGAAACCGGTTTGACTGCCCACGTGAAGAATATCTGTGGTGCGTTCAGCACGTGTTTCCTTTTTGCTCTTCACCACGTGCTTCAATCGAGAGTTTAATTGGGTTGGGTTCACCGCCCAAGTTGCATTGGGCAATGGGTTGGGTTCACACGGTGGAGCCAATTCTTAATTTCATTGTTCATACTAGTAAACTTTTTTTTTCCAAACCATATGTGAATATAAATGAAAATGTTATTCGTTATATATAAAATGATCCAAATTATCTTATTATCATCAAAAGTCTCATTTTTCATTTTCGTAAAGTTATACACTTGCTCAATTAAAACATGTTACTTTTATAAAAATTTAAATAATTTTAACACTAAGTTTTACTTATTATGTTTTATAACCAGTGTTTGGAATCTTTTTAAATGTTTTACAAAGTTAGGTGTATTTTTAAATTAATTTTTGTCTTGACTTTTTATTGTTAATTTAAATCTTCGAATAATAAATATATTCTAATATTTTATTATAAAGAAGTTTCATTAACAAAATATTATTTAACAAAAGTATAAGTAACAAATGTAAGTATATATTAATATGAAAAAAATATACTACAGTTACTTTTTATACGAGCAAGAAAAAAAAATAGTTTACTATCTTACTTAAAGTACCCATTAGGTCATTACACATCTAGCAAATATTAATTAGCATGGTATTTATATCATCGTATTCAGAATCACATAAATGACGGTTTTTGTTTACATTCAGCTAAAATCATTCATATTCAGAATCATTCGGATGTGGTCGAAGGGACAAAGTGACTCGTATTTTAAAATCCATTTAAGGAAATTGTTTGCGGGTAAATTTTAATTAATCTTTGTGATATTTGTATGGACGAGGTTGCTTGCCGCTTTGGATGAAGATGACGAGGCTAAAACTAAAAGGATCATTTCAAATATTTTATTAACGGAACAAAACACCATTTGTTAATCGGTTTTCACTTGGCTAAGATACTCAACACTAGGCGAGTTCGGATATATAATTCATAAAATTATTAAAATAATTTAATTTATAAAATATATAAACTATTCTTTCAAACTATTTCAAACGAGCTCTTAATTAAATGTCATCTTGTTGTTGATGATAATATCAAATGTCTAAACACGCTTATCTTTGAAGTTTTTATAATCATACATGTCACTGGTGTTCTCGTAACAAGTAACGAGCAAGGATGCTATATTGAATCATTCCACGCTAAAAAAAAATTGTTGTCAATCATCGACTGATATTCACACATATATTTTAGTTAATTTAGATCACAAATTTAATATTAAAATGCGTGTATAATCTCATAAACTAGTCCTCACAGATCATAGAAAAAAACACGCATAAAAAAGTGTCGTAAAATAGATTCTTTCGATATTTGAAAAACGACAAAAATTAAAGGAAAACATGGGCTTTCTTTTTTGTTCCTTTAAAATTCGGAACACCACAACCTTTTCCTTGACCTTTAACTCGTTCTCTTCCGACCAAATAATATATAAAATTATTTATTTTCTTAATTCAATTAAAACAAAATGAGAGGCACAGTGCAAGTACGAGGGAAACGGAAACATCTATTTGTCAGATCAGCAATTATATTCGTCATTAGCTAAGGGAAGAAGATAATCGGATGGGCCCCACCAACATCACCAGAGAGTAAAAAAGTCCAACATTGTTTGGTCACTTTCATCATATTCATGCCACTTCGTTTTCCTTCCCCTAATCCTAACTTAATATTGGACTATTCTTTTGAGCAAATAACGATTATAATATTATGTAAGTTGGTAAAGAAAAATAAATAAAAGAAAATAATTTCAGACCTAGTTAATTCGTGGTAACGTATTATCAATACGGAAAGTAATGAAATTAAAAACGTTATTCATGAAAATTGAACAGAGAGAAAATGAAACGCTGAATCCTCAACGTTTGACCAGAAGATTTCTCGTATAGCCTGCGAGAGTAAAGTCTTAGCACGCATTTAACATTACACATTGAATTACAACTACCTTATTTACCACTTATTTATTTATTATTTTAAGGGTATCAAACAAACGCATTTTTTTCAATTTGATGAAAATAAATGGTGGTATCAGTGTGATTCATCTGAGAGAAGAAAAAATAAAACTTCAAATCTATTTTTAAATAGTTTTAAAAATTTAACACTGTTGGTCGCTTTTTTTAGATGACCTTACAGAAATTTATATTGTAATATAAAAATTAATATATAATAAGATTTTAGTTAATTATGTTGTTATTAAGGGTTAAAAGTATTAAACTTAAAAAAAACTAAAATTAAAATTTCAAAAAATACACAAACAAATGATATATTTAAGCTTTAAAAAAATTATCATCTCCATCTCACTTCCACGCAAAAAAAGGTCGCCCTCCTTGGTACTTCGGAAACGGTGCCCCCTTTCTCTGATTATTTATATTTCTTTCCACGCAATATAAACGCTGAAATTCTTGGATCACATAATTTTTCTCTTAAAATAATAATAACTATTTTTTGTATGATTGGTCTTTAATTTTTTTTTTAAATATCAACTAAAGAAATGTAGGTATAAGAAAATAAGTATTTCAAAAGTACGAAAACTATTAAAATAATACAAGATTACGATTTTTTTTTTGCCATTACGCATTTCTCTAAATGTCAATAATATACTAAATTATACAGTTTTTTTTATTTAAAATCTTAATTTTACTTTCCGTAATTTTTATAATCATTTAATTTCTTTAATATTCGGGTTTCGATTGTTTAATTTTTTTTTAACTCTTCTAAACTTAATAATTCGACTTGAAAGAACAGTTAAAAAAAGAAATTTATTTGTTTATAGCAAAGAAAGAGCTTTGTTATGTTTTTATTATTTTGTAAAATAAATATTAAAAAAAGTATATATGTTTATTATTTAAAAATATAAAAATAATTAATATTTTTATTTAATAAATAAGAAGATTTATAGACATAACAAATACAAAGATTTAGAATAGTTTTTTTTGAAAAAATAATAAAATGACAAATCAAACTAAGAAAAAAAAAAGAAATTTAAACATTGAATAATGACAAGAGATAAACTGATAACAATATTAATGATAGTAATTAAGTTATGTTTTCCTCATTGTTGACAACGAATTTAAAGCGATTGAAATTAGGTTTGTAATTCTAAAAGATTAATTAACATTTTATATGAAAATTCAAAAGTAATAATAGGGTGTTTACAAATTTAATTCATTTTATAAAATTCTAAAAGTAATTTTACAACGTTCTAAAGTTAATTATTAGTAACATTGAAAGTTGTAAAAAAAAGATATTAAGAGACATTCAATGTATTGAGGTGTATTTATTGTGTAACTATTCTCACTTAATGGATTTTGTTCTCTAAATCGACTGGACCGTGGCTCTTTTGCTTAGAGGGATGCAGTGAGCGTGTGTAGTTTAAAGATTTGTAGTACTAAGATTTTTAAAATTAAGAAATTATAAAAAATAAATTTAAATCAAGAATGATTAAACTTATAATAATTTTAGAATTTGATTGATGTAAAAAAAGATAATCTTAGTTTGATACAGTATATTAATATTGAAATAAAAAACAGCATTTTAAAAGATTACCTAAGAGTTAAAATTTGAATGTGAAAAAATTAACTGCTTAAGAACGTGAAATCAAACTTTTAATACATAGAGGCAGAATGGAATGTTAAACAATATAATGGAAACATCTTTAAAAAATGTAATTTACTTAATATTATTAAATAACTAAAAAATGAATAAAATGTAATAACAGTTATTTAATTTTTCTGTAAAAAGGGGGAAATGGAAGAGAGACATTGATTGGATGGAGTTGTTACCAACCAAAGAGAAGAGAATCTTGGAAGTGATGAGTGCAGTAAGAAGCAGCGGCTACAACGAAACAAGGCGTGCAAAATAAGAAACTCACCTTCCCTTCTTCTTCTTCTTCTTCTTCTTCTTCTTTTTTCCCTTTCCTTCAATCTCTCTTCTCTCTCTCTCTCTCTCAACTTGTCCCTTCGCTTCACCATTCCACCACTTTATTATATTTTCTTTCTGTTCCATTCATCACTTCCAAATCTAATATAAATATATATTTATATTTTTCACCCCCAACCCAAAACTACCTCGTCAACTTCATCAATTAATTCACCCAAGTGCCCGAACTTTTTCTCTCTTTATATATGTAATCTTTAGTCTTTTCTTTTCTTTTGCTATTTCCAGGTGAAGCTTTTTCTTTTCCTTGTATGTGAATTTTCTTTTTACTGGTTTTGTTTATATATATTCAATTATTATTTTTTATTGGTTTAGGTATGGTATCATTAAGTAGTATGGCGTGCTTCTATTCAGTAATTTTCTTTTTGCACGTGTTTCATTGAACTGGTGCATCGTGTTTTCTTTCTCTATGTGTTTTGTGTTTCGGATTTGTTTCAATTCAATTAAATAAAATAGATGATACTTGGTTCCTTTGAAGAGAATTATGAGTGATTGAGTGTGTCATCAGATAGTATTAATATATGTGTTTGGGGCATTTTTTAAAAAGAAATTGTTTTGTCAAGTACTCAAGCTTCTTTTTTGTGCGGAAGCTTTTACTGATTTACCACAAAATGCCTTATGACTCATTGGTGCTCGGGAGTTTCAGTTTTTGGTTATTTATCCGTATACCTGTTCATAGCTGTAAATATGCTCCTCCGTTCTCATCATTCATGATGGATTTGAAATTTAATGTAGCTCTAGTTCCAACAGATACTTTATTTGAATTCATGTTGCTTGTATGACATTCTTGTTTATTTGAGTCATTGGAAGTTGTGTTCACTGTTCAGGAAGGGACAAATGACTGGAATGGCAAAGGAAGAAGGGTCAGCTAGTCCTAGCTGGGGTGCTACATTTTTTATGCAGACAACAGAGGATGTGGCTAGAGCTGTTGCTGCGGCTGTTAACTCTCCAATGTCGTCAAAAGATGATAATAGCAGTAGCCAGCTTCAAAGGCTGCAGTATCAACTTACAAAAATGTTAAAAGGCTTTTCGCGGACTCCTGATGTTGAAAACACCAATTACAATCCTGAGATTCTGACTAGTCTGAAGCGTCAATGGGCTGCAAACTTTCAGTTGCAGCATATGGTATGGTACAATTTTGTGCTTCAATGTACCACAATTGCATGTTCCTTCTAGTCCTTTGACTATGAACTATGAAAAATGTTTAAGTTTCTTGTTATTGGATATTGAAGAACATGGTTTTGGAAGTCCTATCCTTTTAATTTCCTTTAAAAGTTCATCCCTTGCATCTTTAATTGAGCTTTTCAGCTCCATCCCTTTCAGTTAAAGCATTGTATTTGTGTTCATGTTTCTTCACTCTGTATGCCATTAGCAGCTTTTAGGATCTATATGTTTTTTCGTCTTAGGACAGACAGATGAAATACGCTGTCCCTTGACTTGTCTCATACAGTCCATTGTGTTTGAGTGCACAGGACCATAGGTTTTGGAAGGAGCCCTCACGACTGTTTGAGAGCATGGTGGTAGTCGGACTTCATCCTAATTGTGATGTTCAGGCACTGCAAAGGCAATATGTTAATCGAAAGTCTGAAGGCTCTGGTAGATTGAGAAGTGCACTTGGTTATCAGAATCAATCTCGTGTTGAACCCAACATTGAACCGCAGGTTGTGATCCTTGGTATCAGATACTGAACTATTATAATTATTATTCTAATTGCCAAATAGGACAAGTTCTAGTGAACCATTGAAGTTTTACTACAATGACTTCTACACTATGTTGATTACTGTATTTAATATTAGTTGTCTTCAAATATATGTGCATCATGAGCTCTGCATATTCAATTTTTTCAGGTCTTATTTGTTTACCCTCCAGAAAAACATCTGCCTCTTAAATGCAAGGATCTTCTTTCTTTCTGCTTCCCTGGAGGCTTAGAGGTTCGGCGAATGCTTAATGAACTTCAATCTTTTCTGCCATCATTTATTATGTCAAAATCATCATCATTATTTATTAAGCTAGATATAGATGAAAACAGAAATGACAAATTTTGTTAATTAAAAAATAAAATGCCGGAAAGTTTCTAGCTCAATTGGCCCTGGCCTTATCTTTAAGACTAGGGTGTGACGATGATGCTGGGGATTCCATCCTCCACTCCCTTGGGTGTAGGGTAAGTGGCAATGGGTGGAATAGGGATAAGGAGAGAAAGAGAACATCATTTATGTTTGTGTAATATGTTGAATTATGTTGAGTTTGCTAGAGTGGGTATCTACTGTTGATAAAGTATACTAACTGAAAAATAGAGTGATCAATACTCGATAGTGACAATATTGCTTGTTTTTAAATTTTTTGCATCGATGGAATAATAGTTGTTTATGCATTTACTTGGTTAATAGTCTGTAGAGTCAGTCATCTTGTCTAATTTGTCTTGCATTTATTTATTTTCATTTGTGAATAACTTGTGTGGAACTTTAATTTTTATTGGATGTAATTTTAGGTCCGTGCTGTTGAGAGAACCCCTTCCATGAGTGAGTTGAACGAAATTCTTTTTGGGCAGGTATTTTTTGCAATGTTAAACTTTGATTAATATTAATTTATGCAAATTATTTTCTTAATTAATATTTAATTGGTGTATGATTATATTCTTCCGCCCCTTCCTAAGGGATTGACCAATTACTAACATACCATCTAAATTGATACATGCATCTTTGTAAATCCGTTTACCCTGTATGATTATATGTAACTTTAGTTTTCATAGATCTGGTATATAAATAGACATGGCAACATGGACACTTAACCGGCATTGTTCTAGCAGAATGCTTCTTTCTGGAAGATGTTTCATGCTTGCATGAAATTGTTATATTACAGTTATTAGAAATTGAAGATGCTATATGGTTATTAGTTGTCTTTCAGATCCTTAGTCTACTGACACATGTTTTGGTTTCTAGTTTTTGAGTCGTTTATGATTTCATTCAGGAAAAGTGGACTTCATATCTATAACTTTGTGTTAATGGATAACAAACAATTTAGGTTGTTACCATGTACTTTTGATATTGTATTAAAAATGTCAAATCTTTTTCATCAAATTTCTGTTTACTTCAAAGTGTTGACAACCTTTTCAATTTCATTTGATACAGTTGGAGGTCTCCTAAGTTGTTAAACACTGGTAACTAAGGTTCTGTTTGTGTATTGCAGGAACACCTTAAACAAAGAGATCTGTCATTTGTATTCAGGTTACAGGTATGTGAAGCAATTTTTTCGTTACTTTGTTGCCACTTTGTTACATTTTCTTCTTTTGGTTGTTGTGAGAGCTTTTGTTATTTTGTTTAATATCAAAATATTCTAGGGATGGTATTTGGAACACATTCAACCTTTTCTTTTTCTTTTTCTTTTTCCACATGTATCTTTCCTTTTTATGGTATTGCACTCTTAAGAGTAATTGAGTACTACTCTATTACTGATGTCAAGCCATCTGAAGAGGTTTTTTGCTGGAGTAGTGTTTGCCTGGATTCTTTCATTGTTGTTACGGACCTAATCCCCTTGATCTACATTCAGATGATGGTTATGATGTTTACCTCCGTCTATGATGCAAAGCAGCCTCACATTTGCCAGTGCTAATTGTGTTTTTAGTAGGTCATCCTAGAAATAAAACCTCAATTTCTCTTGTGCAAGAATATAATTTTCTTGCTAGTTAAATTTATTTGTTGGTTTTCTTTCACGAGGACCAAGGCATCTAAATATTTACAACAATGCATTGTTTGGTGGTGTGGATTTAGAAAGAAAGGAAAGGATACGGTTGATGTGTTTGGACTATAGCCTTTTTTATTGATGGGCATTGGAGGTCTAAGACCTTGTGTGGGGAGTGGAAGTGTATGCTAAAGTGCCGGCCAACAAGTAGCCTAGTATGATTCCTAGGATCATGTAGTTCCTGAAACTTGTTACTTGAGCTAGAGTCTACTTTATATGCATCAACCATTTCCTTTATTTTCTTTCCTGATCTGCCCTACCAACAATACGTTGTTTGTTTTTTATATTTAAGTTGTACTGATTCCTGTATTCACAATGTTACTTTGTTTGTTTGATTTTTCAACATTGTAGGGTGCTGACAACTCAACACTTTATGGATGTTGTGTCTTAGTTGAAGAACTAGTGCAAAAGCCCTCTGGATTGCTCTCTCTGTTTTCTGATAAGCAGCCATCTAGCTCTTACTCTTCTTTTAGACGACATATATTAACTACTCAGAGATGTTACTGCATTCTTTCAAGGCTTCCAGCTTTTGAATTGCACTTTGGTGTGTTAAATAGGTAGGTATTTGTAATCAAGAGTCATCTGATGGACTGATGGAAAGTGGATGTAGAAGATATCTGCAGTTTCATCGTGTACTTAATGAATTAAATTTTGAAAGGGTGGTCAGTGAACAGTAGACGAGTTTTTCACTTTTTATATGCATCAAAACATTAAAAAGTGTCATTATTTCTGAACTGGAGAGGGTTCAATGGGCTTATTCTGTAGTACTTTGTGAAACGTTCAATGTATGATATACTTTTTTAATTTTTTGTGAAAATGCATTGTCAGTGTAATAAACTAAGTATACTGATGTGAATATAAACAGATATACAGAAGGAATATTTGCATTTCATCAAATTAATCCATTATAAAACTAGCTGGGGGGAGGGGGGTTGAAAGGCACTCATAACATACAATGTTTGAAAGATAGTAAACATATGCACTTGTCCACTTGGGCAGAATATGCATGTGCACACGCACACACATCCGAACATAGGTTGCTGCAGGAAAAAAAAAACAGTTCATTAATGTCCAAAGATTAAGTGGAACAAATAATATGTTGGTTGAAAGTAATTTAAAAGGTACAAGCTTCCCAGGATCTACATTGTGGTTTATTGTCACAAAATTTTGGTCATGTAATGTGGAGTCAACTTAGTAACTTCATTTATTGTTTTTCTTTTTCCTGCCCATTGGGATCGGATTTCATGTGTGAGATTATTTCTGACTCGAGTATTTCTCACATGAAGTAGCTTTCTACATTGAAAGTTTAAGTTCTATACATTGTGGAAGTTGGATTGAAATGTTTTCTCCTTTTTTTTATGTCATTGACATGCTGTTAATTATAAACTGTTTATTTGGCTGAAATAATTGAATATTGGTGATATATGCTCACCCATTTTATTCTTATCCATCAAACTTACAATTGTTTAATTTCTAAATTGCTAGGTAATATTATGGTTTTATGATTTTGTTCATTTCATTGTGCTAATATCTATGTAGCATCTTCACTCAAGAAAGGCTAGAGCGGTTGACAAGAAGTGTTGGGGATTTAGATTTAGAATTTGTCGAAGGTAACTATGAGGGAGAAAACTCAGAGGGATATTCAGACTCAGAAAGTGTTGTGGTGAACAATGAACCAACAGAAGACAGACTTGATGCAAATCCAATAATATCTCAATCAAGAGTGAGGGAGTCTACACCTGAAAACAGTCTGGATGATGGTCAACCAGAGCACATAATGGTTGATGGGGAGCTGCACAAATTTAAGGAGAGAATAAATTATGACAGTAGTTTTCTTACTGGTCCTGTAACTGATAAGACAACGGCCAAAGTAGAATCTGTCCCTACAAATTCTGAAGAAGGCTATCAGTGTGGGGATACTTTTGCAACTAACAAACAATCAGAAGACAGACAGTTACCTAATGCTATTTTGCCCCTACTGCGCTTTTGCCAATATGAAAGTTCTGACTCTTCCTGCAGGTTTGTGGCTCTGGATCTTAGTCGTTTTGTTAAGAAATATATATTGTTTTAACTTTTGTGCGCTTACACTCTTCTTTTCCTATTAGACATAGTGTGTTTGCTCTCTTGGAGTGAAATGCTCATTCTTTAACATTAGAATCTAAGACTTGCTTCCATAGCCCCTCCTTTTGGAGTTCCTACATTTCTTTCTGGAGTATTCTTGATAGACATGTAGAGGAATTGGAGTGCTCTTTTTTATCGATGTCCTTGCTTTGTATGTGGTGTGGTTTTTTTCTGTGCCCTCGTCATTTGGTTGCTTTGTCTGCTGAGAATAACTTGTTCTCCTTTTATTGGACGGCGTTTATCCTCAATGAAATTGTTGTCCTTTTCTTCTAAGTGAGGCATCTTAAACATATATTCTGCTTTATTATGCAGTATTCAAGGCTCGCCTTGTGAAGACAGAAATTTTAGGAGTGATGTTGATGAAAATGAGACAGAAGATGCATCTTTCTCTGGCCAGGAGGATTTGAATGACTTCAATGATATTCTTGAATGGGCTAAGGTTTGTATTTTATCAAACACCTTCAGTTGTTTTTGCCTGGTATTTCATGATTTATGGCTGATGATACTTTACCAATTCCCAGGAAAATAACCATGGACCACTACAAATTATAAGCAAGTATTACCGTTTAAGTTGCCCTGCCAGGGGCTCGTCTCTTACATTTCATCCTTTGGAGCACTTGTATCCCTTGGAATATCACAGACCAGCTGAGACAGTTCTACGTCTTGCTGGTTCAACAGTTGATTTGAAAACTTCCAGTACTGGTCTGGAATTAACTGATGTACGTGCTTGATTACTCTGGGAAGCATTCTGTTTGATAGTCACATGTTCTTGATAAATACAGTACTTAGTGTTGTTTGTTCCTTGCAGGCATATAATGCTCTTCTGGTGGAAGAGGCAACTGCGTTATCTGTATGGGCTGTGGCTTGCTTATGTGGTACATTGAGACTTGAAAATGTATGTTTTATGCTTTGGTCTAAGACTACAAACTCTGTTATGTTGCCATATATTGTTAATATCTTGCTTGGTCTTCCTAATTTGTGGATTGCTAATTTTTTTCTGTGGTAGATTTGGCTGCATTATTTCGAGCTTGAGCTTTATGCATGGGTGGATTCATTATGGTTTTGCTGGGTTTTTTAGGAGTTCTATTATATCTAAACTAGAGACAAAATTAGACATCTCTTGAAGTTGAAATGCAATGATCTGTGTAATAGTTTCATAATGCTTGCATATGAGTTTTATGACAATGAGTTGGCTTAACTGATTGTGTGTTCCTTCTGCACTCTGCAGGTGTTAACATTCTTTGCAGGCATTCTACTAGAGAAACAGATAGTTGTTGTCTGTTCTAATTTGGTATGTCTTACACCTAAAATTAAATTTGTAATGATCTTGTGAAAGTGGTTAATCTGTCTTGCTCTTTTATAATAATAATAATAGTTTGCTGTAAAGTTATATGTGTCAGTGGTTATATATTGTTTTGTCCTTTGGAAACATTATTGCTCCCTTGTTGATAGGTTCCTGCTTTATTAGGAACAGTAGTAATTATATTTTTATTTTGTTTTCTTCTCATTGTTGTTTTTGCCCACTTCATGTTCTTATGCTTATGTGATTTAGTCATTTTGCTACTTATTTTTTACGATAAAGTTACATTCATGATTTGGGTATCCTGCAACAGCATTCTTATTCTCTATTTTTACAAATTAGCCACTCACAACAAAATATTTATGTCTAAAATAGTAGAAATAATTTTGGTGAGATATTTTATCTTAGTACATAACTACACAGTAGAGATAATTTTGGTGGCTTGATTTCATTATTTTTTAATTTTTCTTTTATGACCAGGGAATCCTATCTGCTTCAGTTTTATCAGTTATTCCGCTAATCCAGCCTTATAGATGGCAAAGCCTGCTAATGCCAGTTTGATTTCTTTCTCTTATCACTGTTAAAGTGAATGAGTTTTTACATGTTAATTTATATATTTCACCTTATGGTATTTGATAAGAACATGATCTTCCAGGTTTTACCAAATGACATGCTCGAGTTTTTGGATGCACCTGTCCCATATGTAGTGAGTATTCACTTCTTAGTTCTTACTTGATTGATAAGAATATTAGCTACTTGAAGTAAGGCCATGAGTTTTTTTTCTCTGTTTTTAAAATTATTTTTCTCTTTTAAATACATCCTTAAATTGACTTAGATACTAATATTGCCATATTTCCTTGGAGCTGGTTAAATTTTTTGCATTACCTTTCATACATTGGAAGAAAATGTTAGATGTGCTACTGGAGTTTCAACTGTTTTTATCTTAACCCTTCAATTGATGATACCATTTGTGATGTCTCTGACTGCCTACAAAATTAATTTCTAGGTTGGTATCAAGAACAAGACCAGTGAAGTTCAGTCAAAGTTTAGCAATGTTATTCTGGTTGATGCCAATAAAAATCAGGTTTGTGATCTTTCTCCATCTTCTTAATGCTAATAAAAATCAAATCCTTTTTATCCCAACAATTTATGAAACACTAGTATGAATGACCTTTTCTTTCCTTTTATAATTGTAAAGTTATTGCTTCAACTGAAGGAAAATGTTATCCTACATATCAATGAATTGTACTATTGTATTTTATTGTTTCTTTCTGTTTTCTTGTGAGATACATTCAAGTTTTGTAAATCTGTTAGCAAATTGACGTTTTTTATAATAATTTTTTCTCTTTTTGGTAAGAAAGGTTTAGTAGATATATTAGACAATATAACATAAGTAACAAATGCCTTAGAGAAAAAGCAAGGTATCACCTATGATAGAAATGATGGTAGAAACTCACATTAAATGGTTTGGAAATAGTTGGAGAAGTCTTATAGAAGCTCCAATAAGGATAGTAGATCAGATGGAGGATAGCGCAATTGCTAGAGTCAAAGGGAGGCTGAGAAAACTTTAGGTGAAACCGTGGAGAATGATTTAGAGATTAATAGTTTGTCTATAGTCACGATTTATGATAAATCATATCATTTGTAGCTGACCCCACTTAGTGGGAAAAGGTTTTACAGTTGGTGTGGGTAAGATTTGTTATACAAGTTTTAGGTTTATAACTGCAGAGTTACGTTTGTATTTTGCTTAAACTGTGTAGCAATTTGGTTGATGCATTATTCAGTTTTAGTAATTTGTATGTTTGATTAATTAGTTAAATGATGCTTCAGATGCTGTCTGTGTAACCCATGGAAGCAAAAGAATTAAAATTTTGGAGGCTAGGGTTAAAGCTTAAAATTGATTAAGGTAAACTAGTTAGACGGGTTGAAGATTTTATACCCCAAGTTCCTAATCATTTGTCACAGGTTTGCTCACACTGAAAGACCTCCTAATTGCTGTTATATGTTTCTATGATTCTGAGACTACTAGCCATTTATTTTAACACCATAGTGCTGTTGGATATTTGTGGTACATTTTAGATTTACATCAATGCAGACACTCCTTTAATCCTTTCTTGAAAAGGAATGGGCTAAGCTCTCAATACTATTTGCTCATGTGCTTACCTTCTAACAATTGTATATTCTAGTTTCCAATAAACACACATGTTCCTTATCAAACTGCTATTATGCTGCAACAGGTGAAGTCACCAACAATACCTCAACTGCCAAGACAGAAAGAACTACTCTCTTCTTTACGTCCTTATCATGCAACCCTTGTAGGAGAAAGTTACTTGGGTAGGAGAAGGCCTGTGTTTGAATGCACAGAAGTGCAGGTGTGCCCCTTTTAATGAAATCATCACTATCATTATCCTTCCTGATTTCCTCCTTATGATTCTGTCTGTTTCCACTTTTGGTATCTTGATTAATGATTATTATAGATGTTAGTCATGCTTACATGTAATATATCAAAGTGACTTGATAGCCATTTTGTAATAAACATTTATTAAGTTTCTTAATAGTTCATCATTATATTGTGCATCCTAAAAATTCAAGTCTTATTTCTGAATTTTCACTGTTGTTTCCATGTCACACTTGGCAAAGTCAAGCTTTCTCAGAATTTAGTCTGTTGTTCTCATGTGTGTTAGTTTCCCTACAGATTGAAGCTGCGAAAGGGTTTCTTTCAGTGTTAAGATCTTACTTGGATTCTCTTTGCTGTAACATACGTTCTCACACAATTACCAATGTACAATCCAATGATGATAAGGTCTGTATTTTAGTCTCAACAACAAATTTAAATGTTCTGATTTTTATCTCTATTGCTTTAACCTCTCCAAAAATAAGGATTTGATTGAGAGTTGTAATCTAGAACCAAGTTAGACTTGCACTGACTTTTTATCCCTAAAATAACAATCAATTATATGTTGTGGTTAATTTTTAAATGTAATATTCTAATTCAGTTCTCACTTATAGTTCTTCCTTTGATCAAAGAAACTGTAGTCCATTCAGAGTAAATTTTCTTCCGATGACCATCCTAATTTGCTGATAATAATTCTTTGTTGGTAATATTTTCAAGTTCAATGATATGAAAGACACAAGTTATAGAATACCTTAGACAGCTAGATAATTTTAGATGTACTCCTTAGATTCTAATGCTCAATTTTTATCATGGTCACCTTTAGTCTCTATATGAAAATGATGCTAAGATGCCTAGCTTGCCTTCTGCACAAGTGGTAATTAATGAGAGGCAGATGATAATATCCTAAGTTTGGTAAGCAAAATTATATAAATAAACAATACAAGATTTCGTATAACTTAAAAAATTGTAACTGAAAGGCATGTAAAAAAAACATTGGCTTGCTTTGAGAAGAGAACATTTTAATAAAAATTATGAAGATCTGAGATGATGGTTTGTACCTTCAGGTATCCTTGCTTTTGAAGGAGAGTTTCATTGACTCATTCCCTTACCGTGATCGGCCTTTTATGAAGGTTTTTTTTCTTTCTTCTTCTTGAGCTTACCATGTACCTTATGCTAACTATATACACAAATTTTAGTCAAATTTGCTTGTAAGTTTAAAATAATCAGAATTGCCTGGCAAACTATCTGTGATTTCTAGTAATTGAGGGCTACTCCAAAATCTGCATTTAGTATGTGATTATTATTCAAACTTTCAGATTATTATCTTCCTGGAATACAAACTATAGCACTGTGTAAACAATATTTTGTTATAATTTGTGTGGTTAAATTGAGCAGACCGATGTTCTTAAAATCAGGATCCTACATGGGATCAGGAAGAGAGTTCAAGATCATAAATCATGTGATCATAAGAAAGACTATTAGATCCTGCCAAACATACAAACTTAAGTATATACCTAGCATAAAAATTAACATAGATAAAGAATATAACCCCTAAATCACATAATTTAACTAAATATAAACTTAAAATTCATAGACCTAAGATCCAATACAATACATAATTAGTCAAATATGAAATGACATGATTTTTTCATAAGAACTAGTCTACTGCATCTAGGTTGCAGAAAAGAGAAACTAGAAACCCAACCGTAAGCAAGAACCACAAACTGTAGTGCAGAGCCTAGGTCGCATAAGAGAAGAGAAACCATATTGGTTCGTGATGCTATACCCTAGCAATGACAAACCATATTTTATAAGTACTAGATGCATCAAGCCATCAGCCCATAAATATGTGTAGCCCATAAATATGTGTGAGAACTCAAGTGATCATGTTTAATGAGAAGCACTTATTTCAAAGACAATTGAACATATGTATAATATTTTTTTAATCATGATTGTGTCATCAAATCGGCTTAAGCTTATTTGTGTTATTTAAATGACAAACATTTCTATATTAACAGAGCTCTTTCTGTTCCGGTATTGTATTCAGAGTACTAATGCAGTTTTCCCCTCTTTTTGTTCCCCTGTGATAATCAGCTTTTCGTGGATACGCAGCTTTTTTCTGTACATACAGACCTTGTGCTCTCTTTCTTACAAAAGGAATAGGGTGCCATGCAAAACATTACGAGAATATTATTTGTTTTGTTTCAGCTTGAAGGCAAGTTCACTGTTGTATAATTTTCCTTCATTGAGTTTAAATTTTGCTCCCTTCGACATGTTTTACCCAAACATCCCCTCCCACGATCCGGGCCCCTTTTTTCTTTAGGCTCACTGCAGTACCTGTAAATATTAATTTAAATTTTATATTCAGGCCTAAAAGTGTTATAGGGTTTCATTCTATGTAATGCCTCTTTTCTTGCAACAAGTCTATATATGATATTCAAAATGTAAATATTCCAACCCATGTTTTATGCTATTAGGACTGTATGGTCTAGATTTGAGGCTTTAGTTTATTTATATGAGATATTTGATTTTGTGAGTTCATTCCAGATAAACACTGTATTGGAGAAAAAACTTTGCAGATTTGACAATATATTTACTACTTCGCTCTCTTGCCCTCCAACATCTCCAGCATACTTGAGTTACATGTTGTCGTCTTTGGAGAAATAATGGATATTTTTTTGTCAAGATTTACGCTTGAAAATTTGGTTGGAAGTGATCACGGGATTTGCATTTATATTTAGGGCAAATGGTTAAGTTAATAGTTACTCTTATCATAGTAATTAGAGAGAATAAAGAAGGGCCATGCCACGAGTTATTGGAGAGAATAAATAATGTTTGAAATTAAACGGGTAAATAACTTTTTATAAACAAATTTCTTTTCGTAAATTGTTTTGAAGAATTATAATTGAATCATTTAGTATTTTTCAAATTAAAATTTTTAGAATTCGTGAGATTGTTGAAACAACGTTGAATCCACATGTTTTCTTTCACTCTTGGATGTTAAAGATGGAAGTGTCAAGGACAGTTTGTTGGAAGGGTTAAACTATAGGAATATTTTCTTTCACTCTTGATTACACTAAACTACGAAAAAATGGAAAAGAAGAGAAAAGGGTCGCTAATTTCTTGAACTGAAGGGCCATGCCACGAGTTTGGTACGAGGCAAGCTTCTATATTCAAATTTACCATCATCTTGGATGTTAAAGATGGTCCGCAGAGTTCAAAGATCTTCAATATGCTCTCCTAAGATTTTGGCCTCAATGGACATTATAGTAGAACGTTTAACGTGTACCTGTAATTGCAATTGTAAGTTGGGGACATGATCAGGATTCACTAAGCGTGGGTTGTGTGGACCGCCAGAGTGTGGTCCAAGTCCAAGATGTGGCAGCTCTGCTTGCTTCAAAACCAGAATGCTACAGCAAAGATGCCGGGATTTGCCCTTCTGGCTGTTACATTAATGGAAACATTTGTTGTGTCCCTTCCTGCTTGGGACCTTTTACTTCTTAAATGTGCCACTGTTTTGAGTAACTTGGTAGTTTTGTGGAGCTTTGATTAAGCAATTGTACTTCAATTGATTATGACCTTGAGTGCCAAATATAAAGTACATGGCATGCTTATAGACCACAGGCTCTGTGTTTTCATAAAGTGAAACAAATAATGGAATAAGGACAGATGTTGCTAACACTTTTTCTCATTCACAAAAGATTCGAATAAAAATTAAAATGGAAATATTTTGTAAATCGATTGTTTCCCCCTTTATTTGATTCAGGTATAAAACAGCAGCAAAGATAGTATTCATAAACATCGTACACGAATAATATCTGAAAAGAAAATCATATAAGGATAGAGAAATAAAATCATATAACACTTAAGGCTGAACCAGAACCTATCCCTAATATGCTTAAAGAATGTGTGAACAACACCGTGTAAGAGACACGAAAAAAAAAAACCTATACTTTTCTTAATTTTGCGTTGTATTTCTATTAAAAATGTCATTTTGTTTGCAAGATAAAAAGAAAATGACAATGAAATCCATAGCATTAAAAATAATCGTAACCCTGCCGCCTCTTCTTACCCTCTTTACTCCCTTATCCAACAATTCACTCCTCATTTTAAATAAATTAATTCCATTGGTTATCACAGCATACAACTAACAAACAAGGAAAAGCTTCAGTTGACGTTTGCCAAGTTGGTAGATAGTGTCAAACATCCAACTACCTAATAAATTTTGGCTTGTGTTTTTTTTCTTTTTTCTTTTTGTGATATATATTTTATACTTGTATTGTTATTAGTTAAAGTGGGGATCAGGGTCACCTTTCTTGTTTACTTTGACAGAAGAAAAATTATTTCCAACGAAAAGGGTAGCGACATACATTAGTATTTGGTAATAAATGTCATGTTTGAATCTTCTGGTTTACATCATCAATTTCAAATTTCAACATTAATTAAACTATTGCAAATCTTGGTGAGGATAATGACTGCGGTTGCTAACATACGATGATATTATCATAGGATATTCTACCTTTTGACAATATTAATGCCTATAAATAATACGCTAGCAAAAATTTAAAAAAAATAAATTACATGACACGTATAGTTAGCAATGACCTCAAAAAAATTTCACTTTGCATGTTTCAGTGCACATCATATAATTGTTTTCAGGTGCAACATCATCTTTCTATTCCTTTTTATATCTACAAAATTATATTAGATGGTGCTCAATGTTGAGAGGGCGTCTTTATGTCAGCTAACCAGTGAAAGTACTTTAATTTGTGAGCATTGAAATTGACAAAGTGTTTTGAGTACCTAAACGAAATGAAGGAAAAAAGAGTTAGATGTTATATTAAGTTATGGTGTAAAATTGAGTAATAGAAGTTCAAGAGAAAAGTAAACCCAGACAGATGCAAAGATTTATTTGGCTGGTTGAAGTTGGGTGTTGTACAAAGACAGAAAAGATAAGTTTAGGCAATTGTGTGTAGTAGGGGGATAAAAATTGTGCTGAAGACCGCACACTTGTACTGCCAAACTTACAACACAAGAATAGGTCCTAAGGTTTTAATGCAACCAAACAACATAAATAGTGATGCCAATCTATCGCTCTCATGTTACTTATGTGTCCCCATTTTGGTTCAATTGGTTTTGCATCTTTAAACCTTCTGACTTGGACCCTATTTGTTAGGCTATGCTAACACTATTGACCTGCTTTTCGTTGCAATCTATATTCAGATTGTAGTGTTCTGCTATGTTGTTAAGAAGTGACCATCTGGGCACGGTGGTACTTGGCTTAGAGTCACTAGATAAGCCAAATAGTTAGCACGTGCTTTCTACAATTTCCTATTAATTAATTAATTAATTAATTTGGTTATGAAACTCAAACCAAACCATCCTCCTTTCTGCCATTTTATTCTGTCTTAAATAAAACAGAAAAAGGTGTTACATTTTAGCATGTGAGGGGTGTTTCATTTTTAAGTACGGATGTATATAAAGTTTTGGTGTTTTGTTTTCTGTTTTTCTATGGGAATGATCTTGAACTTCCAGGGTAAACGGAGGATCAAGTTCTAATACCCAAGTCACTGAATAAAGTTCACAGTATCTGAGCACTAACCACTATAAGTACAAAGATTTGAATTAGTACTTTGGATTACCTAAGTAGCCTTGCTTTAACAGTAGAACGTCCATCTTGTTTCAATGGAACTAGCAAAATGACAACACAAAATAACCCCAGTTAAAAATATTCATACACATGTAAAACTAGTATGAAAAATAAAATACAATAAAAAATTACAAGAGGGTGATTCCTGTTTTATTTTATACACTGTTTCTCAAAAGGAAAAAGGTCAAATTTTGTAAGTGGGAGGTGGGAGGTGGGAGGGGGGGGGGGTGTTCTGGGGTCTGAGTCTGAGGTAAAGGAACAGAAAAAGTAAATGAGTTAGTAGCAGTAAAAGCTCCAACCGTACAATCTTCTCAGACAGGCATTGGCTTCAGACACCAACTCTTAAATAGTTTCATATACAATAATACCAATAATAACTATTTCCTCTTTTGTCTTTAGGAGCTTTTCTTTCTCTCTCCTTTAGTTTATGGATTTCCGTAAAGATGTCAGAGACAAGGGCTGCCAGAGGGGCAGCTTAGTTGCAGAAGCAGTAGCAACAGAGAGGTGCAGTCATAATAGGAGCAGAGAGAGAGAGAGAGAGAGAGTGAGTGTGTGTGCATTGGCATGCAGCTATGTAATCAGAACCATTAGTTTATCCATGTACAGAAGATTCTGTAGCACAATGGTCCCTGAAATAAATATACCTACTCTACTCCAAGGCCAAAGTAATAAGTAATAACCCATATTTCTCCCTGAACCTGTCTTCTCTTTAACTGCACTGTGAGGTTTCAGGAACTTCTGTTTCATTTGTTACTATCACCCCCTTCAACTTCAACCCTTTTTACACTTTTTCTCCCTTTCCCTCTGCTCCATGATGAATGCAAGGAACAGGTTCCCCTTCACTCCATCACAGTGGCAAGAGCTTGAACACCAAGCCCTCATCTACAAATACATGGCTTCGGGTATCTCCATTCCACCTGATCTTCTCTTCACCATCAAAAGAAGCTACATAGATTCTCCTCTCTCTTCTAGGCTCATGTCTCACCAACCTCAACACTGTAAGTCTATCAAAGTGCATGTTTGGATAATAATCATTTTTTTCCTAAAAGAACAGCAAATAATTAAGTTGTTATTATTATGATGTGAATACATATAGCATGCAATTGTATTCTTGGTACTTGACTACATGTCAGTAGTGTTATGGTTCTTGAATGAATAGTTTTGATAAAAGGGGTTGTTTGTTGTTTGGTTTGGGTGCATGCAGTTGGGTGGAACTATTTGCCAATGGGATTGGGAAGGAAAATAGACCCAGAGCCAGGAAGGTGTAGAAGAACAGATGGAAAGAAATGGAGGTGCTCAAAAGAAGCGTATCCAGATTCAAAGTACTGTGAGAGGCACATGCACAGAGGGAAAAACCGTTCAAGAAAGCCTGTGGAAGTTTTGAAAACAACACCGACAGCAACAAACACAGATGCTTCAACCCCCACAATCTTATCAATCACCAAACACAGTCCTGCACTAACCCCAACCACTCATTCTCTCTCTGTGTCCTCTCATGACACTTTCCATCATCACCACCCTCACTCCTTCCTCTACCACACCCCACCTTCAAGGCCTTCTTCTGCTTCTGCTTTTTCGTTCCAAGACAACAGTGCCCCCTTGTTCCTTGAAAATGGTTCTTCCTCTCACAATAACAACACTCACTGCAGGTTCTTTTTCACAAAACCAAAATCCACCACACACTTACATCATGAATGTTTCTAAACTAAACATTGAAATTACTTGATTTAATAAAATTAATATTTTTTAAAAGTAAGTTTAAAGTTATCCGTTAAAAGTAAGTTCGATAGAAAATTAAGCATAAATTTTCCAACTCAAAGGAGAAATTAATGTAAGCATCAAAATTTTTCTATAAAATCACGTTATTGTAAAATGAATATGACTATGTAGAATTTCAACCAAGATCCAAGCATGCACTAAAGCTACTTCTTTTAAGTGTTTGTGGGTGATTCTCTTTTTCTTTCTTCTTGGAAAAGGAACAGGTATGTCTATGGGCTGAAAGAGGAGGTGGATGAGCATGCTTTCTTCACTGAACCTTCTGGGACTATGAGAAGTTTCTCTGCTTCATCTATGGAAGATTCTTGGCAGCTAACACCACTGACTATAAGCTCCTCATCATCTTCAAAACAGAGGAGTTGCTCTGGTTTATCCAATGACAACAACACCGAGTACTCTTATTTGCAACTTCAGAGCCGCAATGACAACAACTCAAAGCAGCCACAGCAAGATCATGGTTGCTACATATCAGGAAGTGATATCAAATGTGAAACGTTCATGAAACTTGGGAAAGAGGAAGAAGAAGAACCTCAGAAAACCGTTCATCGCTTCTTTGATGAATGGCCACCACCCAAAAGCAGAGGATCATGGCTTGATTTGGATGACAAATCATCCACCACCCAGCTTTCAATTTCCATTCCCACATCGTCTCATGATTTTACAACTTTCAGTTCAAGAGGTAATGGAACTCTCTCATTTTTTTCTACATTATGGGGTGTGTTATTATCAGTGGCTGGGAAATTCTCTATAACTTTGCATTGTTGTTTTGCAGATGGTTGAGTTTAGCTTTGAATGATGGGGTCCTTGTACTTGTATCAAAGGCCAATAATGTACTTACATGGTGGGGTTCACATTATGTTATGTGACGTCTCTCTTTAATTACTCCCTCTTTTTCCATCTGTTTTTGAATGTTGTTGTTGACATGGGTTTGTGTTTCCATGGAGGGATCCAATGCCTAGTGCTATTTTGTGTGTTATATTAACTATTTGCTTTCAAAGTTGTGTTCTTTCTGCTCTCCTTCCCTGTGACTCCACCATTTTCTGTTTGTGGGTTTTAGCTAACATTCAAAGACACGTCTTTTTTTTGCTTATTCATTATTGATCATTCCCTGCTTCTGGTTAGCACAATATTGGATGCTTGTTTCTTTGTCCCTTATGAAGTTGAAAATAAACCAAAGGGGTGTCTTTGATTACTAGTAACCAAGAATGCACATTTCAAAATTACTAATGAGGTGAGACACCCTTTGTTAAGAAACAAGGTTTGTTTGTACCAAAAATAAATAAAAAAAGGTTTTGTCCAATGTGGTTTTCTTGTCAACGTTTTATTATTCATTTGGTTACTATTTTGCTGCTTCACCAGCAGAACTGAGGTTCAATCATAAGGTCAGGTGCATGTGCTGTGGACAAACGTCCAAATGAAATAGTAAAATCAGGAATGATGTTCACACAAGGTTTTTCAGTTAGGTTACGGGTGTGTACCATAATGTGTCCCCTAATGCTAACCATAGATGTTCAGTCTACTTTGTACACTAACAAATAATCACGTATATGTTCTAGTTCCCTCGATAATGTTGTTATAGGTACTCATTCTATATTGATTTAAATATAGTATTCTTAGTTGTGAGTGCATGTTTGATAATTTTGTTTGCAAACGGGTAAAAGAGGTGGTCATAAACAATTCTCGGTGGTTACTTGCTTCACATTGGCCTCAGTCAGACCATGTATATTAGAAAAGTTTTTTTATTTTATGAATTTTTAGATTATTTTAATTTTTTAAATATAATAATCAATTTAATTAAATAAATATAAATAATACAATAAAAATGTATGCTCATAATACTCCTACCTGTCTCAAATAGGATTAACTTTATTAGAAGATAAAAAACAATAATATAATAAAAATATTATGTTTATTATTATTATTGTATTAAATTTTTATAATAATATTTTGAGGTTATATAAGTATTTAAGGGTTAACATATGTTGACTTGATTAAAAAACTTTATTATAAAATGCCTTTTTAAATAAGTTTTTAGATTAAGTTTAACATTAAATAAATAGATTACACTCGAATTTTAAATTTAGAAAACAAAACAGACTTATTTAAAACAAATATTAGCCTAACTCAATCATCTCTACTCATCCTGCCTTGGTTATATAAGTCAATAAACCTTTGAGGCTATCTAAAATATTTCTAGACCTGTTTAGTCAACTTATTATATATATGCAGAGCTAAATAATAATAATAACAATTCCTCAAATAATTAGTCTCAACTTAATCTAAATTAATCAAAAATTAAAATACTTTAAAATATAGAATAATTCACACAACAAACACATACATGTTTACTTAAATGTAAGGAAAATTAAAACTTGACCCTTCCTTTTAATGTGTAGAGTGAGAGTGAAGGGATGAGAGAGATAATAATAATAATATAAAAAAAAAGATATAATTTAAAGATGTAATAGAAAAATAAAAAAAAATTATGTAAGAAAAAATGAACATGAGAGTTATAACTATAATTATAAGATGATCAGAATCCAGTTATTTGGATCAGCGAAGCTCTTGTCAGTTTATTAAAAGGAGGAAAATTTTAATAAAACACAAAGAATCATGTCATACATTTTTTAGAGAAGATGCCATAGTATACTCAGAAAATTTGAACAAAGCACGTGTACCCTCACTCCCCCTCGCTCCAAGAAAGAAAGAACAAAGCACCTTATAAACAAAGGATAATTGATAAAAAAAGAAAGAACGAAATAGATGCCTTAAGCATTCTATCACTAACCTCTAAACGATTAAGTTAGTTGTAGACTACATAGCCATTTTTGCCTTTAAAATTCGGTAAATAATTACCCTTAAAATTTTTTCTTGCCCTTTTTTAAACTTTATTATTTTCAACTATGGGAACATATGCAATGTAAATATTGTTAGATGTTGATGAAAAAGAAACTACGTTTTTTAAAGTAAAATTTTGACAAACTTTTTAAAAATCTAATATTCGAACTTGCTCTTTAAGGAAGACATAATTACATGCCTAAACTTTTACATTTAAAGTAAAAAATATGATGGAATCTTGGTAACACAGTGCCTAAAAAATTAATTGTTCTAAAGAAGAAATCAAGTAAGTAAAATATCAGCATATATCTCTAAAATTGTTAGGATTCGAATGCTGTTATTCGTGCACTTTCTATCAGGCAAAAAATGATAAATAAAAATTAAACCCGTTAAAGATTATTGTCTTGTAATGACAAAAATGTTAGTAAATAAGTAATAAAAATGTTAAAGACCAGTAAAAACATTTCTATCCAATAATTAAAAAAAATAATAGTATATTGTACACAAACCCACTTAAATTATCATTATATCAACAAATGTTTTTATTTTATTTATCGCACACATTACAGCCAAACAGAAGAAGAGGAGAATATTCTACTTTTTTTACTCCCTCATTTCCACATCACATTATTCCTTTTTTTTTTTGTCAAAAAATAAAATCTAGGGAAGTCCTACCACATGGGTAGGGCCAAGGGAAGAGATGAGGAGCAGGTCTTTGGAAGGGTTGGACCTTTGTTTACTCTTTACAAATATTCAGCTGCCCAACCAAATGAGCTAACTCTAAAACTTATGTTAACCCTTTTTCTTTTTAAGTATTTAGATAAAACCACCAAGTTCTTATCAAAAACCATAGTTTTAAAATGTACAAATAAACCATAATTAATCCAAGTATAAGATTTCCTTCCACGCCGTTCTGCCGACTATATTCTCAGCAAGTACACATTTATCTTTTAATAATGCCATGAAAAGGGAAAAGAAAAATAGAACAGTACATTAGTACTCCATTACATCCATGTAATTGTAAATAAAAAAGAAGCATAGCATGAGTGTGATTAGTGATTGCTTAGTGGGTCAGAAAAATGAAAGCAACGAAGAAGCCATATCTTTGGACTGCCCAAGTCAGCTTTAGCAAAAAAGAGTTCTGATTGTGAAGGTGGTGGGGTGGTGAGTGAATGAGAGTGTTGTTGTATTGGTCCAAAAAAAGGGGTAACTAGTGCTTGCAGGGCTTCAGAGTCTCTTCAGGCCTGGAAGGAAGGACTTCGGCACTAATCAGTAGGGACAGAAGTAAACGTACACTTATTATCCTTTGCATTGAACCATCTGATCTGACTCCCTCAGTTACCAGTCACTACCCGACATTCAAAGAATCTCTCTCCCTACATTATTATACTTATATTCGATGAATATTGAATGATCACGTTTATTCTGTATATATAGTAAATCTTAGGATAAATTTACCTTTAATAAATTCTTGTAATTATGCTTGATTTTTAGTTAGATCTCTTTAGTTTAAAATTTTTACAAGTAAATCCTGAAAAGTTATTATTAAAGTTTCATTCAATATTATTGACGTAATATTTTTCATGTGATACTCTCTGTCTAAGTTGCTATCCAAAATGCTTGGTTTTAGAAATAAGGGAATCCTACATAGTTGCACTTCATTTCTCCATTATTCAGAACTTGCATGGGCTTTTGAGTTGTATATTGTTAGGAAATATCTTTATTCGTCATGCATGAAACTTTATTTGTGATGCTAAAACTTCTGGTGTTTCAATTTTCAGTGGATCGACAAACTTGAATGCAAAGTGCAATGAGGAAAATAGACTATTCAACTTTTTATTGTATTCTTTTTTATCCATTTTAAACAATACCCAAATGATAAAAGGAGTTACCCTCAGAACAGTAACTTTTGTTTTTGTTTCTTGCAACAACGCATGATTGCAATGATGGGTAATTATTTAAAAAATGAAGGGATAATCTTACCTATGCGTTTGAGAGATCGAATTACTTACATCTGCTCAAGTCTATGTTTAGTTTGTTTTACGTGTAGCACAAACATAGAATAAGTGTTTTATTTTAATTTTTTTTCTATTTTTGTTGTGATAATTTTCTAGATCAAGCAATTTTTGAAAAAATGAGAGAGACAAGAAAAAAAAATATTATTATTATTATTGTTATAATTCATATAAACAATATAATGTGGTTTAGCAACATTAATTTTTAATGACTTGAGTATAAAATTTCAAACAGTAAAGATTTAATTAATGTTTTTAAACTATAAAAACAAGATTATTATTGAGGACATGAATCAATTATAAAAAATTATTTCAATTTAATTAATTTATAATTTTGAATTTGATTTATATTATATAATAAATTATAAAGTTATAAGTAAAAATGTAATAAATTTTTAGAGACACATGAATTAATTCAATTTAGTTTTATAAATTAAAAAATATTAGTAAACTAGTAATATTTTCATCCAATAACAATATTACCAATACTAGTTGAATTTATTTGAGTGTAAGTATTTCAACTACTATTTGTGTAACTATCGTAAAATCTAACTAATAATATATTTGAGTACGCCCGTGGTCGTGCATGTGCAGAGGTGAAAATTTTAAAATAAAATAGAAATAAATTAAATTTTTTATTGTTTAGGTAAAAAAAAACATTGTTTTCTTTTGGTTAATGTCTAAAAGTGTTTTTATTTATACCTATTCAAATTAATAACTTTCTTTTGGACAAGATATCACTTTTTAATAAAAATTTCAAACTTTGAATTTATTCACATACTCTAAGCCTTGCCAAGATATGTGATTTGAAAAAAATTCTATACATGCTCATGGGCATGGTGCCCCAATATATTACCACACTCCCCTCACAAAGGACCAAACATTTTACAATGAGTCACTCCTTCTATGTATGCCATTAACAGGGCCCAAATGGATATGGATCTCTTTTTTTGTGCAGTTCATGTATTCCCTCCATTAAAGAAAAAAAAAAAACATAACAACAACAACAACATGCACTCCCTCCATTTGTGATAGAAATTTAGTAACATTTGTTTATTGGAGGTGAAATTCAAACTGTTTCGTGGGTTTAGGGTGGTTAGTTTTAACTTTAGTGGTCTTTTTTTTTTAGATTTGTAATAATTTAAAATGACAAAATATTCTTTAAAGATTTTTTTCACAAGAAAAATTGTGAGTTTAGCTCTTAATTTTGTTGATTTTTGAAGTTTTAAAAATTTTTAAGTTGTATTTAAATTTGACTGTGTCACTTTTTGTTTGTGTGTACATGTTATACCCTATTGTAACTAGAAAACCAAATAAAAAATTAGATATAGTTAAAGAATTAAGGATATTTTTATTTAGAGTGAGTGGAAACATATACCCAGAACTTACACACGTTTTAAATTAAAAATATAAAATTTGAAAAATATATTTTCATTTAAATTTTGTTAATTTTTTTTTAGTCTTTTAAAAAAAATAAAAATCACATAGTTTCACTTTTAAAGAAAGATTAAAAATATATAATTTCTATTAAATATAAAACTAAAAATAAATAAAACAATAATAAAAATTAAAACCAATAAAACTGGCTTAGTTTTAAAGAAACATGGTATGTATCACTTGACTATCATAAACAACTGCGTGGGAGCAAAGGGGTGGGGTGTTGTTATCCAGTTGGAAAGGAACCGAGAATGCCTGTGAGATGGTAAGAAAAATCAATGAATGAATTTCATGTTTATTTGTATTGTGTTGTGAAATTTAAAATGGAGTTCTGTGTGTTAGTATTCTTCTATGGCAACCCAATCAAGGAGGTGTGAACAGTGTAGTCCTCAACGAAATCTCACACTGTATCGAAACCCTTAATGGCGTCAAAGATGGAAGAATGAAAGCCTCTCTCACTTTCTACAAACCCAATTTACGAGGTTACCCCTTTTCCTTCTTTTTATTGTTTTCTAAAATTTCTCTCAAAACTCTTTTCAATTTCAATTTGATTCTGGCAGAGCAGAATGTGACCATGGATTTCCCCCGCGATTTTCTGGGGATGTCGATGCTGGAGCAGCCCAACAAATACTACTTCATCATTCGCGGCCAAAAAATTGTTCTTGAGGCTGATTCTTCTATTTTGACTATTATGGAGAAACTTCAGTCCTACAAGTGTAGAATCGCCCTTAATTTCGAGGTCATTTTTTCTCCCTTTTGCTTGTGTCTTTTGATTTTATTATTCTCTTTTTGCTCTATTGTTTGTGCTGGTTGTGCAGGGAGTGCAGTATAAACTGGGTGACTTTCAGATGAGAGTCATTAAAGTTGTTCCCCTTCAAGGTGAGGGTCTCAAAGGAATTATGATTGAGGTAACTAACCCTGAGTTCTAGTTCTGTTCCTCTTTAATTTGTCTACTTTGTTAGGTTGGTTTTCGTGATGCTTTTGTTTAGTTGATAAATGTTTGTTGCTTGTTCTTGTTGTGAAGATAAATGTGAGGTTTAAATGTTATCTCTGAAATAATTGGGGTTCTATCATAATCCTTGATACTGCCGAATATTATGGATAAATGCAGCCACAACTAAGATCATAATGCAGTTGTAGAGATTACAAAAACCTTGATGTTTTTGTCGCAATTTTGGTTTTGGACCACAATTTAAAACCATATCTGACTATTCCTGCTTCAAAATTTGGAAAGGATGTGTACAGAGTCCATTGCTAGTATGGTTTTTCCCTTTGTGGCTGTTATACAGCAATTTGCAATGATGGCTGTCTCATGTCTAACTAGCCACTTTTAGGTATAACTTAAATATTGAGATAGCTTATTCTGTTCCATATGTTATGAGATTGACCACATACTACGGTCAGTGAGGTGTGATTCAAGATTTACTGCTTGAATGGTGCAGTACTAGTGTATGTGATTGAAGTTTTTGTTTTTCTGTAATTTTCTCCTGAGAACAAGCCAGAAAACTACTGTATGTGAAATCAAAGGAGTTGAATAGTCTACTTTGGATTATAATTACTCTTTTGAGAGCTATACTTTTGAAACTTAATCAAGCTTTGTTTCTTCATGAGTGTTATCTGGTGTTCATAATTCTTCCTTCAACATATTTATTATGGTAAGATATATTCACTTCTCAAATTCATATGGAGTGGCACATCTTGACATTTTCTTATGGTGATTGTGTGGGTGTGCACTATGCACTTTATATATTGTACATAGCACTCTTCTTAGATGGCTACGATTGTAAGTAGCTTAGTGGGTATAAATGAAGAAAGAAGAGATCCAACTAATGGTTTCTCGATGTGATGTTATAATATTTTCTTTGTGCTTTTAGTTAAAAAATGTTTTGATTACTGTAACTTGCTCTTTAGACTGAGTGCAAGTTTAGTTGTATGGATTAAAAAGTTAAAAATTATGAACATACATATATGAACACTAATTTTTTATTGAAGAAATTATAACTCTTATTTAATGACTTCTTTGATTAAAGATGAGAAAACTTTATAGTTGATCTGCTTAGTCTTAACGATCTCTTCCTCAGATGTTCAGCCATTATTTATCTTGCTTCTCCTTTCAAAAGTAGATCAGCTTTATTGTAGGGGAGGTTGAAATTATCATGCTTAGTTTTGCTTAAGTTAGGATTTTTCCCCTGCTGAGTTTAAATAAATGTTCACTCTATGCTTGGCATCTTTATAGTTGTTATGTTCAAGAGCGACTCTGCTTCAGTCTGTATTCAAGTTTGGTTTAAATTTTTGGGCAGATTGAGTACCTCCCTATTTCTTCAGTTGAAAAATCCAAACAAATAATGGAAGAGTTCGTTGAAATGTGGAAAGAAGTTGCGTCTAAAAATTCATTAGCTGGTCAATTCATACACGTCGAACCAAATTATGCAGAATATGGGCTATCTGACACTTTTACTTCTCAACACACAGCTGTTCAATATGCTGCTGCGTTGGCCCAGCTAATTCAATCATCAGCGCAACTAATTCAATCATCAGCGCAGTTACGGAACTAGGATCATTGAAGGATTTCTGTATTCATCTGTTACTCAAAAGACTACTCCTTTTTGCCATTGCAGGGATCTACCTCGATTATGTTTAGCTGTCTGAAGCTCAGTAATCAACTTGTAAGGGGAATCCTGGGTTCATTCTGGGGTTGGGGATTGTGCTGATGCTCGAATTGAATTCAAGTTATCAAGGGCAACATATATGTGCTGCTTCTCTAGTTACTGAACACCAAAAATGTAAAACATAGTAATTGTACAAGTAATTTTGTTGTCTCTTGAAATATTAATTGTTTTTGAATCAGTCATTTATATCTAGTGATAAATATTATTATCTCTACTTGAAAAAACTTTAGTTAATATTAGTCTACATCAGGATTGAAGCATCAGTATCGTTATAATTTTTCTCACAATGACCCTATAAATCATAATAGTTTGGCCATTCAAAATAGTATGTTGACTTTCGGAATGTTAAGAAAAAAGGCAAGTTATTTTGGCTAAGTGACCTTGAAAAGATAAGGAACTTTCTGTATTCGATGTTTAATTTTATTTATAAAGAAATTTATTTTATATTTAAAAACTTAAATTCAGGCATGGTTCGTTTTCATATAGATAACAACAATTATCATTTATGAGAAATGAGAAACACACATGCACAGGAGGCACCAAATGTGCACTAAAAGCCCATTAAGTGGGCACTTTTCTTTTAAAGTTTAATACAATTTTTAATAAAAATTGTTTAATTTTAATTTCTTAACTAGTATGCCTTGTATCACTGGTTAACCAAATTTGTACAGTATCCCTCTCTTGAATAAGCATGGGCGGAAGTAAATTAATTATTTTTAATATACAGTTTCACAATTTTTAAAATACTAATTATTTTAAATTATTTGTCACATGTAACCAAATTATTGTAAATGCATTAGGTACATTTCAGCGGTACTGATAAATTAAATTGAATCAAATTTTAAAAGGTAATTCATTTTATTTAATTTTATTGATTTGATTTAAGATATGATGTTATTTTATTCGATTTAAAGAAAATTTGAATCAGTTTTTTTTTAGAAAATAATGAACAAATCTTGAAATACAATTAATATAACAAAAATGTATATTTCACAATAAATTTATGCGAAACAAAATCCTTGGATTTGATTGGATAAATTTATTTATTATTGTCCCTTATATTTCTTTCTCCCACCTGAATTTTGTTCTTTCCCCGTTTTAGCACCAACCACGTATATTCGTAAAGACTTGGTTAAAACGATTTCAAATCGAACTAGTAAGTTATTGGTGAAGTAGGCTTCAAAATGTTATTAGAGGATACAAATACTTTTTGTGAATAATATTAAATATGTGGTTATATTAAATAATAGTTGAGAGTTAGATTTTAGAGAGAAAAGATAACTTTTTTATTTTTAAATAAAAGTCAAAAAGTGATATATTAATATAAATTTAATATCTTACTTTCATTTAATTTTATAAATATTATAAGATTTTTTAATTTTTTAAATATTTACTTTCTCCCTTTTTTTTCTTCAAATTTTAACACTCGAATGTGTCTTAAAGAGACATTATTGTTAAGAATAAAGGAAAAATTATGAAAATAAATAAATAAAACCAAAATAAATCATTTTTAGTTAAATGATATATCAAAATCTTAAAATTAAACTAAAACTAAAATTGATTAAAGTTACAATAATATTAAAATCTGAAAAGATATTTTTACAGTGTACCACAATTTAAATTTTAAATTCAATTAAAAAAATATGAAAGGAATAAAAGTTATAAATAAGAAAATAAAGTTAAATATTCAATCTAAGAGGAATTAGGTAACATAAAGATAAAAGTAGTTTTTAAAAGACCATTACCTTATCAATAAACTAAAACATAATTTGTATTGATAGTCGCATTCATTAGAATATATAAAATAAGAAGTTTAAATTATAGATTACTTATCAAAATAATAAATTTGTAAAGTATAATAATTTTCTAAATAAAACAGAATAATATAATTTGGATAAATTTCCTATAAATACAATTAGCATCCTTAATAAGAAAAATAAACATGTCATTAAAAAACCAAATAAAATAAACAAGGTTAACTTTTCTTTTATACCTGAATTTAAAAAATAATATTTGATGAGAAAATTAAATATTTTATAAATTTTGATAATAAAAATATCTATATTTTAAAAAATAAATTATCTAATTTAATGAGAATCATGATAGGATACGTTAAAAAAATATTGAAGGATCATATTTTGTAGAATAAATAAATAAAAATATTCTTCAAAGCAGAGAGTAAAATATCACCATTTATAAATTTAAAAAAAAGGAAAATATCCCGATTCCTGATATATTAATTCAGTTGCTAAAAGTAAGCTTAGGTTTTAGCATTGACAATGACTGCGGCATGTTAGTGTTTTTTAGTTCAATTTCCTTCTCACAACCGTTTACGTTCTTCTCAGTTCTCACACAAACGCTAACTCGTGTTACCTCTCTCCGATCAAACAAAGTACATTCTCATGTTTCTGCCATCAATTCATATATGCTTCCCTCTGTTTCTTTCTCTATCTTTCCCACATATCAATCTGTTTTTACTCTGTTTCATGTTTATCTATAACTTCTCCCAATGTTTCAAATAAGTAACCGTTTTTATTAACTTATGTTCCAATCATCTGTTGATTCACAATTTTCTTTCTTTATTAGTTTGGAATCCACATAAGTCTCTTATGGATAAAGGGTCTTCAAAGGACGCTCCTGCCGTTCAAAGGAAGGTTTGATTTGAATCTGCTTTATATAGATTAGTTGCTTACTATAAATACAACCTTTTTTATTTTCTTTTTCAATCACAAAGTTGAATTATTTAATTCACTGTTGTTCTTTTCGCCAATATCCGAGCCATTGCAGGTAAAATTTGCGCCAAGAGCTCCACCTCGTCGAGTACCAAAGCAAGAAGTTAAAACGTAGGTGTCATTTGTTTTGACAATGGTTGGTATAACTTGGTTTGATTTAGCACAAAGCTTAGGTGCAGTTCTTCAAGTGCTGTTCGTGTTGTTTGTTTAATTAAAATTAGAGTTTCACTTTAGAAATATGCCACAACATTGAATGCTTAGCTTTTATCTAAGTAAAACTCTATTTTTTATTATATAGATAGTACCAAAAATACCTAAAGAAATGCAACGTGTTTGGTCCTTTAATTTAAGGTTCCTCTGTTTTGTTCTACTTTTATGTTTCTGCAGTGAAGTGGTTGAGGATGCTGATGCAGTCCAGGCAAAAGATCTGCTGCGGCGTTTCAATGTATGTATAATTTTAATTTGCTCGATACCCTCTATTCAACCTTTCTCTGATTTTATGATTTATTTTAGGAGAGTGCGATGAAGGCAAAGCACAAGGTTGAGAAAAAAGGTCTAGTAAGTTCTTATTGAAATTCTCTGATTCAATTACTGTGACTTCTATTATATCTTAAGCATTGATTTTCTGCTTCCATAATCTTAAGCTGCGTTTGCTTATTTTGTTCTAGATAACTTCTCTAATAATTCCTCAAAGTGAAGGTACACACGACTGTTTCAGTCATTAAAGTAATGAAATAATGTAAATTGCTAAACATCCGTCTCTAAAAGAGACCTACTTATACTAAAATAATCATAAGAGCAACTTCTCCATGGAGTAAAGTCAATTTTACAACTTTATTAATGTGATATGTTGAATAGGAAAAAACAGTCAGGGAATGTTTACTTTGAACATGTTTCATACCATGCAAAACTACTGGAGAATCAAAGAGTTAGAATTTTACCCTCTCAAATGTTTGTGCCATTCCTATGAATTCCTGTGCAAGTTCCTTGCACTGCATTGATTAAAAGTAAAGTTGAAGTTGAGCAATTTTGGATATTCCGTGCCTAGTCTTTCTATGCATAATCCCAGAATGATGCTTGGCATTATGCTCTTATCACTAAAGCAGGAGTAGCACCACTATTTCTGTTTTCTGAAATTGCATTGTTAATTTATGGTTTGCAGTGTCAGCTTCGCAAATTGCTTTTGGTTATGGAGGCGAATCGACTTCTTTCAAATCATTTGGTATTCCTAGGGCTGGGTTCAATGCCAATATCAGCCAAAATTCAGCATTCGGTGGTATGCCATCATCAATTCATTTTCATTTAATAGACTGCTATAAGATGTTTATCTCTTTGCTGCATGATCGTTCCTCTTATTAACAATATTTGCTTGATGCTTTAAACACAGGGGTGAGAGAGAAAGAATACAAAGAACCATGGGTAAGTATACTGAGTGAAATGAATATGTTGTCTTATTGATGTATTGTTCGTAACTTTTTGTCCTGTTCTTGTGTCTCTTAAATTGGAGGTGTAATTGTTTTTTTCTTGTTTTATTCTGAAGTGTTGGTTTGTTGGATGTTGCTACAGGACTATTACAGTAATTATCCAGTAACTCTTCCCTTGAGAAGGCCATATTCAGGAAACCCAGGTATATTCCAAGAACCATATTGGAGAAAAGAAAAGAAAAGTAAAATAGATGGAATTTTAGTATCATGCATGGGAATTGAGTGATGTCACTAGTTAATTTAGCGACAGAATTTGTTCTGCTCATTTACAGAATTGTGTGGCTTTTATCTTTTAGTCACACTCAAGAGTATCAGCTGTTTTTTTTTTTTCTCTCCCACTTAATAACTTATTTCATTGTTAGGTAGCTGATAATACACTTACTGTACTATGCAATATCTAGTGGCTTTGACTTCACATGTTTGTTCTTATAGAGCATCTTGATGAGAAGGAGTTTGGGGAGGCTGCAGAGTCCAGAACTTATGATGAAAATGCATCAAATCCAGCAATGGAGCTTGGCCTTTTGGTAAGTAAACTGAAATTTAAGAAATTAAATTTATTAAGTTCCACTTGTTTTAATTATTTTAATGGTGTTCTGAGGATATTGTTGGTAGGAGGAAAACCCAGAGGCAAGTATGTTCTTGATTAATTTGCCTCCAACATTGCCTATGATTAAACAATCAGCTACTGCTGGAGGCCAAGATGCTAATGTGAACTCCAAAGCCCCTGGAGGTTCCAAACTAGTGGCGAAACCTTGTAAGTTGAAAGAGATACCATCTGGCTTGATAGGTAAAATGCTTGTATACAGAAGCGGTGCTGTCAAGCTGAAGCTTGGAAATACCCTTTATGATGTAAGCACTGCGTTACAAGAAAAAAAAAACTCTATTCGTATTAATTTATCCTTTCTTCTTTTTTTAAAATATTCATTACTATGAAAAGGTTGATCAATTTATGGAAATCTCACCAATGTTTTACCAATGTTATAAAGTTGAAACATCGTAAAAGGCCAAATTATATATATGAGTGAAAGTATGTGAGATGCTTAGTGACATATAAAACCAATTTTAGTTTATCTATTTATGGAAATCTCACCAGCCTGCCTTGTTGTTAAATGAGTTAATGCGAAGGTTGATTATCGTAATGTTGGTTTATCTTTAAGTTAAACTGTGCATTCTGATTTCAAAATGGTTACAGGTTTCCCCGGGTATGAATTGTGTCTTTTCTCAGGATGTGAATGCTATCAACACTGATCAAAAAAAGCATTGTTGCGGAATTGGGGAGATCAGCAAACATGCTACTCTAACCCCAGATGTAGATGCCGTAGTTGACAGTCTCTGTGATTTGTGATAAATCCAATTTTTTTTCTTTCAAATAGTTTACATTATATTTGTGAAATTGTTAAAATTTTGTCTTAAACAATGAAAAGAAAAGAAATAAGGGGAAATTTGAAGTTTTCTTGATTAGAACAGGAACAAAATGACGAATTGCAAAAGTCAACAACTACTAGAGGAAAGTTATATAGAAACAAGCCTATTTAATTTGTTTTCTTTTTTCATTCATGATGCTCTCAGATAACTTCCTTGAATCGTGTTGTGACTAGTTTCATATTCTACAGTTTATTCCCAAAAATAATCAGACATAACATAACCATCACTAGAACAAAATATGGTAAAAGAACGTTAGATTGTGGGCTTTTTTTACGCAAATATAATTTTTAAAATCAAATATTATGTATGTCTTAAATTAAAAAAAATTTACAAAATATATTATTTTAAATTATATAGAAGTTTATTATAATTTTACTGTTACAATTATCACAATGTAGAAATCTATTATAATATTTTTTTTATTTTTAAAATCTATTTGTACAAAAGTTGATTAATTAATTTATTTTAATTTTCAAAATATTCTTATACAGAATATGATTATAATTAAATTTCTTTTTATTTTTAAAAAATTCTTACACAAAAATCAATTATAATATATTTTTATTCAAAATAAAAGTCAATCATAATAAATTTCAGTATATTCTGATTTATTCTAAAAGTTACTTATAAGTAATTTTTATTATGTATACGTGATTATGTTAAATATTTAATTTTATGTTCATGAGTTTAGAGTAATTACACGTGTTTAAAGATAGAATACAATAAAAAATAAAAAATAAAAGAAAATTTATTTTAATTATAAATGTTGTCTATTGTAAAATTTTATTTTATTACTTAATTTAAAAAATATATATTTATTTAACTTAATTATAATTTGATTTTATTTTATATACAAATTAAAATAAATATTGTTTCTTAAAATTAATTATTAAAATAATTTTTTATAAAATTAAAATGATCAACGTATTAATTTAAATGAATATTTATTAAAAATATTCATTTTTTATTAAAAATGAAAAAAATAATAAAAATAAATAAAATAATAAGTTAACATATAATAAAAAAATAATTTGTTAAAATCTTCATTGAGTGCATAAATATTTTTATTTTAATATTTGAGATAAAAATACCTATTAAAATTTTAATATAAAAAATATATTTACTTTAATTGATAAACTATGTTGGAACTGAATTTGCTACATTTTTATATAAAATATAATTAATTATAAAAAAAAATGTTTAGTAGTAATTTTTGTAGAGATGAGATTTGTAGGATGAAACAAAAGCATGGAGCAATGAATAGTTAGCGAGTGAAGATGTGTGTTGGGTGTTGATTCACGTGCCATGCAGTGATTCATGTTCCCATAATACAAAAAAACTCTCTTCTGACTTTCTGTGTTCCCTTTTCCTACACTTGTGGGTTCCTATGTGACGTAACATTCACTGCCATTGCCACCTTCCTATGTACACGTGGGAGCTGTTCCATTACTGTCGCCACGTGTTAAACAGGGTCAGTGCAATGACGTTATCTTTCCTATTTATATCTGACGTTATCTGAATTTTACTTTCACCTCAAACTTCATCCGTCTTCCCCTTTTATTTTGGGTTATAAAAAGATAATACTCCTTTTTATAAAAAATAAAAAATTAAATCATCTGATAAAAAATATTAATTTTATTATATTTTTTTAAATATAAATTTTATTTTAAAAATATTAATAATATAATTAGTAATTTATATATTTAATAATATTAATTAAAAAATATTAAAAAAATTAACAATTAATGCATCTTAAATTTATCATTTATTTTTTATAATAAAGACTAAAAAAATACTCTATTTAAGTTATCTTTAAATAAATAAAAATAATAATATTTTATTAAAATATATTTATTATTTTTTTATATTTTTAATAAAAAATATTCCATTTTAAAACTCATTTTTTCATATTAATTATTATTTTATCTTTTCACTATTTTGAGCATTTTTCAGACGATACTTTAACTTGAAGATTTATAAAGTCAACAGTCAAAAATGAAAAAAGAAAATGAAAGACTCCCTTTACGCAACACAAAATAATAAAATGCAGAATATTAAATTTTGATATTAATCAATAAATATATTTATATTTATCTCTTTTGTTTTATTGTATTTACTTTAATCAGTTCATCTAGTAACTTTAGATTAAATCTTAGAATAAGTGATATTGGGTTGGGCTTCATTTCGTTTTTAATAAAAGGAATAATCAAAGGTAGATCAGTTACTGCTTTAAGCTCAATCTTTTTTGTTTTGCCGAGTTTCTATGTCAATAAAAATACGAAACAAATTTAGATGAAAAAAATGATAAAAGTGTTACTATTGACAAAATAAATCAAATTAAACTTATTTTATGATTTAAAATTAATTTGTATTCATCTTTTAAAATATACATTATGATCATTTTATACTAATTTAAAATTTTAATTAACTTATTTTTATAATTTTATATTATTAAAAGTTAATATATTATATTATATTATATATTTTATTATTATTAGTTCAACCCTAACGTAATTAATGAATTATAATCAGTGTTTTTACTAATTCAATGATCGGTAAAAAATTTTAAAAATATTAATTTTTAGTTAAGTTTTGAATGTGAAACTTTTATATATGAATTATAAACATAATATTTTGAAAGATAAAGTTCTTAAGAGTGCTTTTCAACACTCTTTTTAAAAATTTTAAATAAGACTTTTTTTATAAGCTAATTTATTTTTCATCATATAAGTGATATTATTTATGTTATTGATTTATTTTAATATTGATTTTCATAATATATTTTCTATTTTATTTAATAACACAAATATTTATTATTAATATTTATAATATTTAATTTTTTAAATTCACAATATTTATTAAATTTAAATAGTAATATAATATATTTTTAATTATTTATCTAAAAATATAATTTTTGTAAAATATTATTAATTTAAAATTAAAACTTTGAGTCTGATTTATGAGGTTAATTTATTTGATTTTAAGTTTTGTTGATTTTTTCTTTAAATATTGTTTCTTAATTTTAATTTCAAACTTTAATATACAATAACATGTTATAGATATTTTAAAATTTTTGACCAAAAAGGTTTAAGATTACAATAATTTTAATTATTATTAATTTATTTTTTAATTATTAAATTTGGCATATTATATCTATAAAAGTTAATGCCAATTGATTTTAATATATTGCCATAAATTATCTGTGTTACGGTGTAGAAGGGGCTTGATTTTTTAATTTTTTTATTTTCCAATTTCATCGTGAGAATCAGAACATGGATTTCATGGAAGAGGATAAGAAGAATGAGAATCCAGTCCAAATCAACAATCCTGTGACTGTGACATTTATTGAATGAACAGACAGAGTTAATGAAATGATAGACACAGAACGGGAAAAAAGTGTTGGAATATCGAAATGACTACAACAAAGTTAAACTGAAAATTTAAATAAATATAAATTATAAGAGACATACCTGGGCAGAATTTGAATAATTTATTGGATAATTTTTTAAATGAGTATTTATCAAAAAATAAAAATAATAAAAATTTTCTTATATGTAAAAAAAAAAACTTATATTCTTCAAACTTAAAAAAAAATTAAATGAAAGAAATTTAAAAAAAATAGAGAAATATAAATTAATTTTAATTTCTTTAAATTTTTTATTCTTATAATATTTATTGAGAAGTTTGTCAAAATTAATTTATTAAATATTTGAAAATATCAAAACATATTTTTTTGTACTTTATGTTTATCAATTTACAGTTTCAATATGAACTTCTTTTTGTCTTTTTTATCAATTTAGTTCTCCAACTATTAAATATTTTAAACATCAAATGCCTATTAAATATTTTAAAGTATCATGTAAACTTGGTTTAATAGCAAGGCCCAGACAAAAGTATAAGTCGTTCCTAAGCCGAAGATATCAATATAATTTGCAAAACACAATCCTGATTTAATTCATCTCGGCCTTAACTAAACTAAATTAAGCCTCCCTACTTAGCACGATTATCATTTCATTACTAGTAAGATATACTTTTTTTTTTAAATATTTATTTTTATATAAAGAATTATCTTCACAACTTTTCAATTAAATAGAAAAAAAAACAGTTTTTTTTTTTTAAATTGATTCTTTCACTTCTTTATCTAATACTACCATTTTATGCTCTCTCTCTCTCTCTCCCTTTCTCTTTCTTTTTCATAGCTAACATTTTGAGAAAAACTTAGTTAAAAAAAAAAAAAGATATGTGAATTTTATGATTCCATTAGGCCTAGTGCTTATTTTGCAGTTTTTCAACATTCAACTATCATGAAATAAAGAAACATGTTTTCCCCCGCAAACGCAATGGTGGCTACTGCATTTCTTTTAATTTTGAGGGAAAGGTAGGGAGTAGAGCCTATACTTGTTTAAGCTGAAAGTGAGGAAAAGAGGGAGAGTTGTTTGTCTGGTTTAATGCATTTAGATTCGGTGAATAGGTTAGGATTCAATCAATTAAGGTAAGAGAGATAAAAAAAAAAGGGATTAGTGCTTTAATAGAGCACATGATTGCCCCAGTAAATAAATCATTTAGTATATATGAAGCTCTTCTAGCTTCTGAGCTTTATTGCAGGACTCAAGTTTAAATTCTTAAAAATGCAGTTAAGTTAAAAATTTAAAGGGGAAAAAATTAACATGACATAATGAAATATAGTGTGCTTGTGTAGAATTTGTATCAGTGTTAATGAAAAAATAAATGTGATTTATTCGACAACGTTTTGAAGGCCTAAGAGAAAAACAATAAAGAATGAATATATATATATATATATATATATATATATATATATATATATATATATATATATATATATATATATGTAATTTGATGTTCGTGGAAGTGTGCAACTACTGAATTGAATTTGTAAAGAAGAAAACGTTAATAGGATGATTCCATTTTCAAATTTTTATTGTACTTGCTCTCAAATTTCAAGGAAGCTAGTCTATTCAATTAAGTTATTTGAACTCTCACATTCAGTCCTTTAATTAACTTTCATTTCTATCAAGTGGGCCCAAAAAATCAATATCCAACAAAATATGCTTTTCCATTAACTTATACGAATACACAAAAGCATTTTGTACAACAATATACCTCGTGGATGATAGGTTGATATATGTAGAATTACCTATTAGCTATATATGTGAACATGATTCAGTATTGATATGATGAGCCGAAATTAGAAAAGAACATGCATGCATGTATTTACGAAAAAAACATAACTAATATTTAAGGTAAAAATTGGAGGCCAGGTCAATGACCTACCTGTGGTAACCATCAGATGCTATTTATAGAGCATTCATCAAGTGTTCTTTTCCATCCCCACAATTCCGTAACTCAGTAAAGCCATTTCCTCTTTATGCTGCATTATATTCAAGAACCTTGCCCTATGCAACAGATTCCATACGACAATTTGCTCTATGCGTTAGCCATGTTGCATGTAAACATAGTGGCTGGGCCCACCATTTTGCTTCTACTTCCTGCTGATTGCTATTATGCTTTTTATTTTTCATTTATTGCATTAGTTGAGTCACATAAAGATTTCGAGTCATTAAAAAAAAATTACAGCCAAGTGTATGTTTTGAGATTTCAAGTTACGCATTTTCATCATACATATAGTTTTACCAATTAACCTTTATTAAATAGAACAAATGAATATTTGGGATAGAAAGCACGTGTCGTATTTAATGTTCAAAGACATGTCGGCAGGCACAACTACTTGTTGGTCTTATGGGAACGTTTAAGGCCAAGTTTGAAAGGCTGTTAGTTATTCACAACACAACCGTGTAAATGTACCACTTTTACAAAACAATGGCAGATTCGCCGATCATTTCGTCATATGAAAAATACATTTTCTCAGTGTTGTTTTTCTTCTGAAGTTTTGTGCCTTCTATGTATTAACGAAAAATCCCAATCACACTCACAAGTGTCTTATTAGAAAAGCTATTTTGGAAGTATTCGAAAGTATTTAATACATTGTTTTTAATAATTTAGAATATATTAAATAATTTATACATTTTTAATTTGATAAATAGTTCCATTTTTAATTTTACTTATTAACATTATTTAAAAATTTCAATAAAATAAAAAATTAATTATTTAAAGTTCTTGTCAGTAAAAAATAAAGCGTTTATTATCACTTTTAATTACTTAAAAATAATTCTAAAGATTAATGTTAATATTTTCTTATGATAAATACTTTATTATTCATAAATATTTATCTTTACTAAAAAACATAGCTTTTTTTGCATTGAGAGGTTAAAAGACTTTATTTTCCCTTTAATATTTTCCATTTTTTCTGTGCACTAATGTATCCCCTAGTCGACTAATAAAGAGTAATTATTTCAATACATAAAAAAATACCATCTCTTTCTTTTGTACATTTAAAAATATCTCATTGTGAATGCATTAAAAATGCTTATGAATATATATTTAATAGCATTTTAATTATTTTTTTCAACCAATATCCATAGGATACTAGTTAGTATTCTCTATGAAATATTTATAATACTCAAATCATTGAAAGGTTTAGGGCAGACCTATCAATAAATGGATATATTAAAAAAGTTTGTCAATTAAATTTACAAAATGATTAAACTTTTTATCTGTATAATTTCTTTTTTATATATATAAATAATAGAAACAGAGATAACATGTTTAAGTATCTCTTTGCCCGATAAGTATAATCGAACCTTAATCATAAGATTCCTAATTAAGTTTAAGAAAACGAAGGACTCTCGGCCAATTTGCATTATTATGATTGTTCGCACCCACATTGCTATATATTTAGCTTTACAGATATATTAATTAAAAGTGCCTTAACACATCAAAGCACAGCGAGAAATATTTCTACAGGGACAATGACTTGGGGAAAGAATATTTGGCTAGAAATCCAAACTCCGTTAATGTACTTTTGAAGATAAGTTTTGTGAGATGGAGAAAATGTTTAATTGTCCCCAAACGGAGTTAGAGACTATATATATATATATATATATATATATATATAAACCTACACACTTTATTTTAAGCCATCATCATTCTCCTACTCACTCATTCCTCACTGGACTCGAGGAACGAAGTGAAAGAATGAATGTTGTTCGACCCATTGGTTTCATCTGAAAAATTGCTTTGTGTCCACTCCTTGAGAACTTCATCAGAGAACATAGGAGTTTGGTCCGAGCAAGGAGATAACTGTTCGAGGTCGTTATTGTTAACGTCGCTGTAACCGAAATTGCACATGTTTGAAAAATCCGAGTTCAGAAGATCAGACAAGGAAATATCATCCACGTTGAAATCTATGAGCAAATCCGTTGAGAGTTCTTTTTCTTCACCGGGAAATGACACAAACCCATTGTCGTATATACCGGGTTCTTTTCCCATTTGGTTACTTAGTGAAGAATTAGCTGCTAAAGTATCCACAAGCAATGACGTTGCTTCCACTTCAGCCTCTTCCTTGGAGTTGTTCTCCAATTGCATTGAAGAGTGAGGGAGTGGGTTTAAGAATAATACCTTAGAGCACTTAGTAGCTTTTGTACGAAACACATTGGAAGGAGGAGGTAGTGAGGGTGAGGATGAGGTAGTGGGCAATGGCATGGTGGTGGTTATTTGGGACATTGGATTCTCTGTGCTTTTTCCATTGAGAGGTAGTTGAGCATCTTTAAGCTTTTTTCCTAAATTAGTGTTCCAGTAGTTCTTTATTTCATTGTCTGTTCGCCCCGGAAGCCTCCCTGCTATTAAAGACCATCTACATATTCAAAAAACACAGATTAATAATCACCTTTTTTTTTTAATTTTAAAACTTGGATGCAATAATCTATAGTTTATATAATAAAGTTCAATATTAAGAGTCAATCTATCAGCATTAATTAAAGTTCGGTGTAAATTGTCAAAATAAAGTTTTAGTTTTGATAAGAGAATATTAACAGCAGTTACGGTGTTACTTGTGATGAATTTTTATTTTAAACAATTAGTATACTAATATTAATAATATTAAATTTTTAATAATTTTTATTACGTGTACCGTTGTATAGATTAAATTATAATAATTATTTAATGTTTGGTAGCAATTAAATCGGTAGTATTAATTATCAACAACTCTTCTCTTAAATCTACGTCACACGTACGTACGAAAGAAATTGCGTTGGAGAATTAATGGAGACCTGTTTCCCAGGAGCTTGTGAAGCCTGATGATGAGCTCTTCTTCATCTGAGGATATATTGCCTCTCTTAATGTCTGGTCTGAGATAATTCAACCATCGAAGTCTGCAACTTTTCCCACATCTTCTCAAACCTGCATGGGCCAGCCATGTATGTATATATTTAAACATTAGCAAGAACATTATATACATAGATATATGTGGGGAGGAAATTACCATAAATGAAATTTATTATTTATTTTGTAATACGATGAACCTGCTCTTTTGGGAAGGTTTCTCCATCTTCCTTCACCATGGACTCTAATGTACTCTGTGAGGATTTTGTCTTCGTGAGCTGTCCAAGAACCTCTATTCAAACCTTCCTTTGAACAACAAGGGCTTCTCCCCATTTCTCTCTCTATCAAGTGGAGTGTCTCTTTTCTCTCCGTTGATGTTGTGCTTAGGTTGTTGGATTCCACCTCACGGATCTCTCTGCTGTGGAGAGTGTTTGGTAGTATGGGTACTTATAGCATCCCATATTCATATATGGAAAAGTAAAATAATTCCTTGACACCTATTAAAATGGTACTAGAATAGGTGACGGAAAGTAAAAAAAATTGGTGAGAAAATAATAATATGTTAAAAATAATAAGAATAAATGACTTTAAAAGTTTTTCAACAGAAAAAATTCCTTTTAAATTTTTAACTACTCTTAAGATACTAATTAATATAAAATAATAAAATATAAATATAAAAACACGAGTGTAAAAATATAAAATTTATTTTATATATTTCAGTGCGGTCCAGGTTTAATTTCGTCACGAGACAATAAGAATAAGTAAGTGACAAACGATTTTATCATTTGCGAAAATTATAGGTAGGTATCTTATTCAAGTTAAATTATGCGTGGAGGCTTTCTGTAGCATATGCTACATGGATCATTTGTCCTCACGGAACAATGTTAAAATTGGACCCAATGATTCCTTTAAATCATTGATTACGTGTGTTGAAAAAATTTAGAGAGTTTGCCACTCTTTCGTCAAACTCAGGACAATGAAATGAGAAATATTTACTGATTAATATGTTATTTTGAGGATTATTTCTTGCATGAACATAATGTCCACAAGCACACTCAATGCAAAACTTTAAATAATATTAAAATAACACAAGGTTTAACACACAAATTATAATTATTTTAGTACGTTTTAAGCTTTTGATTATTTATCTATAAGTCCGGTACTCAATCGAAAATTAAACTACGTTAGTTGAAAATTTGATATGATGTTCCTTGTTGGACTTTTACCTAGCAATACGATAACTTTATTCTCCCCTTAAACAATCCTTCACCAAAGAAGTGTTTATATACTGTTTTCAATCGTTTACATTTTTTAAAAGTATTCTCCAATTAGTTATTGTAACTTTTTATTATTAATCAGCTAACTAGTTACCAATATATAAGTAATCAATAATTGGTTCGTTGTTACTAATCAGTTATATAAATAAAGATTGTGATGCGTGTACCAAAAAATTGGAATAATATCATTGGAGTATTTATACATAGAAAGAGAAAATAACAGAAAATAAAGAAATGATATATATATATATATATATATATATATATATAATGTGATATAAAAAAATAAATGAAAAAAAATGATAAGTAGGCATTTACACAGTAAGAGTGTCTAAAAATTAGGATTAGAAAATATTATGCAACTTAAAATTATATGTGTGAAAATTGATTTGAGAAATAGTTAAAGATCTAGAATATTATTATCTCTACAAAATATTTTTAATGACTGATTAAAAATGTTTATACATAAAATTTTAAGGTTAATTAAATTAACTTATGAGTAGTTTTTAAAACGTTGCTGAATTTGCAAATAGATCTTTCTATTTCTTTAAATGGGTCTATACTTTACACAAATTAGATTGATTAACACCTATAGAATTTTTAGATACCTAGAATTTAGAACAAAAAAAAATTACATACAAATTGAACTCATTATTAACTTTCATGTATTTTATATTTTCAAATTTTCTATCTTCTTATATTTTCCTTCTATATTATTATTATTATAATTTTTTTAGTATTTTTATTATTTGATAACAATAAATTATTAACATAGACATTAAGTATCTGCAACAGCATTATAATGCATTACATGACAATATATTGAGCCATTGTTATATACTTTAACAAAAGTATCTATTAAAATGATTCATTATTGTTAATACAAACGCACAATTATCAAACAAAAACAAAAAGTCAATGCTTTACGGCTATTTATTGTCTGGACTTGGTAATTAAATTACGTATCCTCGTGAGTCCTTACTTACTGAAGATGAAAAGCAACATGCACACAGTACTTTGACTTACAGTATTTCAAAACTAAACATGGATAACAAACAATATCTTCCTAGTTTTGCTCTGCCTGAATTTTTCGATGAAAAAAGTCATTTTTTCCCTCTGTTTTGAACCTTGTAGCCGATAATATATCAACCTTTTCGTGTCACAGAAATGAAGTATTACAGTAACTAATGTGTATGGTTAAAAGAAAGCCAAAAGTATTGGACTGTGGAACCACTGTTACGATGATTTTCTTCTCTCCCTTTACTTGAATTAGGCCTTCCAAACTGAATTTCTCTACCAATCTTTTGGTCTTGGAAAGTTTGTTGTAGCAGCCATCGTCACAATGAGGGGTATAGAGTGACAAAATTTCAAGAGTAGAAACTTCACACGTATTATTGGTACCCTATATACCAATATGGCCCAAAAGATGTTTCGACCGTATATGTCCCTCTCTAATCTCTTTCATTAATTTAAAATCTATATTAATACAATTCATATTAACCATTTTTTACTTATTTAAAAATATTATTATTTTTAAATTGAAAATAGTTAATGATTAGCTAGTAACTATAAACTGTTCAGATTATATATATCAACATGAATTATTAAAATTATACTTTTATCGTATAACTTTCATACTTATCAATATTTTCTTTCATTTTTTCCATTCAAAAAAAAATCTAAGATAGTAGTTTTAAAAAGACAAAAAAACTTTTTATGTTGTTTCTGCTCCAATTTAGATTTTTGGTTACTAACAATAAAATAATATATAATTACCAATAAAACCAAAACTAATGACAAACAATGAAAGTTAACATGATTAAAAAGATTGAAACAGCATTTGACAAAGGGGGAATCGTTTTCAAAGCAATGCATGGTATCACTTTAATTCCCTTCTTAAAAAAAAAACTTTTATCAGAATGGTTCTTCAAATTAAGATTTAAAATAACGTCAAAATACATCAAATTAAGATTTAAAATAACGTCAAAATACATCAAATTAATATCATCCAGAATTTAAAAGGAATATATCTTTGAAAAAATAAATTGGCGTCATGAAATATAATATAAGGTATAGCTTATTAGCTTTCATGCACTCTTCTATTCCACCTTCCCAGTCCGGTCAAAAGCAAGTTAGTTATAATACGATTTTTCAAAATATATATCTAGGGTGATATAATAAAAATTGATATGATAAATTTTGTAAAAATTATAAAATATTATTAGATTTATTATATTTATAACATTAGATGTTATATGTTTAATAGAAAATTATTATTTATTTTAATTCTTTTATCATGTATTATTAAGTTCACGTTAAAAAATTGTTTATGAAATTATAAAATATTATAATATGATTTCAAATAATTATCAAAAAATTAAAATATAGGATTATGTGTCTACCTGCATATTATTTTATCTATATTCACTTGAACTTATTTCACATAATTTAGAAAACTAAATACATAATGGAATAGTTTTATTATTTAAATTATTATTGCATATAAATTTTTTATTTTTTTATATATAAATATTTTAAAATATTACATATCTCTGAAGACATTACATTTTTTGTAATATATTTTTTACTAGTAATTAAAATTTATTAAAAGTTATAAAAATTATGTAAATCTCACTTTTAAATTAATTGTTTTATATTATTTTTAATTTTTAATAAATTTTAATTAATAAAAAGTATCACTAGTGTAATAACTATGGACTGTAGGAAATTTTTTCGTACCAAAAGCAGTGAGAATATTCCCTTATTAGGAATAGATGTTTTTTTAAAGGTGTATAGTAAAACATTAAAAGTATAAAAAATATATAATGTAATAAAAAATTATAGAACATTTGAATAAATTTTATTATAATTTAAAATATTATTAAGATAAATAATATGATAAAAAATATTTTTTTAGAATTTAATTCAAATATACAATATAAAAATAACTTGTCATTTAATTATATATTGTCATATTAATAATAATCAATAAAAATATTAGATTTAAAATAATTTTTAATTAATAAATAGTATAGAAATTTACATTAATAATTTATTAAAATTAATATTTTATTAAAAATATTATAAATAAAAATTGTAGGAATAAATCTTTGAGGGACTGGAAAAGAAGTTATAAGCTGTCCCACACACATCCCAACTGAAATTCCTACATCTTATGGACATCGTGCCGTAACGGTACAAAGTACTCTTTCTGCCTTTCGACTGTTTTTAGTTACTCTCTTTAATATCACCCAACTTTCCAAGATACACATCGTGTGCTCCATCGCACGTGCAAATGTGTCAAAATATCATTTAATTAAATAAAAGCGTTATTTTAATTTTAATCTGTATAATTATTAATTATTTAATCTACAACATATACAATCACCAAGTATCTTAATGTTTATCGGTCATTAAAATGTGACTTTTTTTATTAAAAATATAATTTTTTATTATTTATTTTAAACTATTTTACTTTTTCTTGTAAAAATATAATTAGTTAATTAGCACTAATTTTGTCTTAGACAGTATAATCGGGGGAGTTTTAAATTTTCTAAGCAAAATTAATTATAAAAATTTTAAATTTTAGCGATTAAATTGTCACAAAAGGTATTACACACTAGGCGATTTATGAATTATTTTGATAAATTTTAAAAATAATAAAAATTAAAATAATTAATAAGTAAATACATTGACGATTAAAATTATATTTTATTTTATTTAAGAAATAATTTTACAAATTTTAAAAACAATAAAAACTAAAATATAGTTTTTATTTTAATCGATTGTTCAAAAGATTAATCTCCTCAATTAACGCCCCATGACTTTGAGATGCACTATTCCTACACGCCTAGGCATATCCAAACGGATTAGGGATCCTCTTCATATTCCAGAAACTTACAACAGATATTCTAAACTCATGTTTAAATTAATAGAAGAGAATGAAATTAGAAAGAAAAATAGAATGGATTGAACGTATTGTAAAGTGAATTATAAAATAAGATGAGATAGATCATAATTTAGTTTATTTATTTGATTCTAATATTATTTATTTAACTAACACCAAACATAACGCAGCTAACTTTTGGTGCAACGTCTCTTCTTTGGTCATCGTTGCTTGTCCCTTTCATTGTTCTGTCCAAATTCGTACGTAGTGCATCCGAATCTTAATACTGATACATATGTGAATAGTACCCATCATATGAACTTGTATTTTTTTCCACGTTAGGAAATCATGCAGCTCAACCACTGAAATTAAGACGAACTTTGGCAAATTCGACATCTCATCATTTGAACAATCGATTTATTATCATTCCCATTTTACTATTTTCTTGATCAAACACATTTAATTTTGTTTTTGAAAAATAAAGGATCGCGACTATATCGATTAATTTGCTTGCTTATAGCAAAGACTAAATTCCTGGTTGGATTAAATTTAATTAGCTGATAGATGCAGTTACCCAACTTGCTTGTATTTTGAAAGTTAGAAGTATCTTTCTAATTTGAAAATCATGATGTTTATAGAACTCTTGTCATCAATTTTATTAATGAAAGGGGCTGAAGAATTAAATGAATTTGTTTTGCAGTATGTATATTTGATGCATTAGATCGAAGGATTAAAATTATTATATTATTTGTATAATATGGATAAAATAGTTATAATTCACTTTGTTTCTTTTATTATTTAAATAATAGAACGAAAGTTTCATTCTATTATAATATAATAATTTCAATAAATGAAATAACGTTTCTATTTTATTATGTTTCAATCTACTTCATTTTAATTTAATTCATTCTATTCCATTAACTCAAATATAGACCGACGATACTGACAAAAATCATCATCATCATCATCATATATATACAAAAAAATTTATATCTGTGAAACAGACAGTATTTTAATATATCCCTGTTTCTTGTCGTTTATTATAGCAATGAATAGCTTGGTGTAAGCCACTCAAGTCTCGTTAATGGTCCAATACACAATTTTTTTTATATATTTTTAATCATTTAAAATCAACTATGTTGATAAAGTCATTAATATGTTAACTTCATGTGACCCATGTCTGTGTATAATTTAAACATCTCAATATACATTGTTAGATGATACAGACACAAAGCATAAAAAAAGTTATATTATTTAAATAATGTTTTATTTATTACATCTATTTCTCTAAGCCACTCTTATAATGAATGAATTTTAATTAAAAAAAAAGTGATGCATACATAGCACATGGGAAAAAAAACGAATCATTGGACTGAGTGAAGCAGACAATAAAAGGAAGAAGTGTACCAAATTTTATTTCCATTGTAGGAATGCTGATTTGGGAGAGGCAATGAGATGAATAATGGAGAGGAAATATTTGTGGTTAGAGAAGTTGTGTTGCTTAGGTTGCTCTTAAGATCAAAAATTTCGTCTCTTCTGCTTCTCAGTCTTTTAGCTCAACTTCCATTCGTTGAGGTTGAAAGTTTGATGGTTAGCTACCATACTGCAATTTTGGTCCAAGTTGTTCATTTTTAGTAGTTATTTTTTTTCTCAATGAAATTGTTTCATAGACTTTCTCAAGTTTAATTTACTACTATTTTTTTATATTCCAACTCAAAACTATAAGGTAAATTATTATAATTTTACACCAATTAATTCTCGAGATCAACATTTTTCTTAAATTTGATTTATTTGAAGACATCGTGAAATCATCACAATGGTTGATGATTAATAATGATTCCTATTATTACTATATATGAAGTTTATAACTGAAACGAGTTTAGTCTAATTTTGTGATTGAAAAGTACTTGAGTCGTGTCACTTTGTGAAGACAAGCTAAAATAAACATTGGCTAATTATTAAAATAGTACATATAAATCCGTAGGAAATCAAATAATCATTTCTTTAAAAAATAATATACTAATCTCATCAAAATAAACTAAAACTGACTTAATCTCGTACATCATTTTGATTTTGATTTACAGATAAAATAGATAGTTAAATGTCATTGTTTCGTGAGAAAATTATTAATCTTCTATTAAGACGAATGCGTGCAAGTTGAAATGTGAGAATTGTCTTGACAATTTTGTTAAATTATAAATTACTAGCTTGTGTTTGCTTACTAATAGTAATTTACCCAACTAAAAGTCGATACACTTTTACTTTTGTTTAAAAATAAACTACATGCTAATGCATTTTAAAATATTGTCAACGCAAAATGAACGTCCGCAATTGAACTACGAAATTAATCTATGCCAAAAACGAATAACATGTCAGCAACTTTTTTTTAAAAAAAAAAACGTACCTTAAAAATGAATAAAACAATTATATTGCAAGAAAATAATGTGTAACATGATCATGATAATTATGTAACTCTTGTAACACTTTTTTATTCTATCAATTATATCAATAACTGCAGGCCTTTAAAATTATATATTATAGGCTAAGTTTTTTAAAAAGTTAGGCCAAATCCAAGGCTAACATTTTGGAAAAAGGTCAAAACTGCTTAAATTAAAGCTTAACTTAATCCAACTCATTTACACCCTTGACAAAGTGTACATTATACTCTTTTCTATTGAGAGAATCTTGTATTACACAGTTTTTAATTTCCTTTAAAAAAAGTACACTCTTCTTTTGTAATATATTAACGTATTTTACATTCTAGTTTATTAACTCTTGTATTGTAAATTTGATTATTCATTTTTTAAATCAATTTTTTTCCATTCTGTTTACTTGTGTGCTCAAACTAGCTAGGTTTCCACCTGTGATGAGTAAGTTAGAAGTGTCCACGACAATTTAATAATAAACTAAAAAAAATTTAATGAATGAAATATGATAGTCTTGATGTTTTATTGGCATAACTAATATTTTTAGGGATTGCACAGGTGCTTTTTTAAAGTAAAAAATATTAAAAATTTGAAGAGAACAGTATTCATTTTTATTATTAATATTAAATATTTTATTTTGTTAGATAAGATTAAATTAAAGAGGTAAGACTTTAAAATTTGGAGAAAAATTATGAAACTAATTATTTAAATAAAGACACGTTATCTTTATTGATATGTTGCATCAGAATTTAAATTGAATAAGATTATAATAAAGAAGTATATATTTAACTTCATATAGTATATGAAGATTTGAAATTAAAAAAAAACATTTTTTAAAGCAATTAAAAATAAAAGTTAAGTCATAGTATTTGAACACAATATAAAAATAAAATTTTACATATTCAATGCAGGATAAATCGTATAACTTAATACAAAAGAAAATTAACTTTTAAAACAATATTTTTCAAAATTAAGGACTTAAGTGTGTAAAATCAGATGGATTATAATTTATAAGCCTTTGTTTGAATATGGAAAAAAAAAACTAAGGAAAAAATAAAATAAAAAATAAATATTTTTTTTATTATAAATAAAGAGTAGAAAGAAGAAAAAGGAAGGAAAATCTATTTAGATTTAATGAAATTTAAATTTTGAAATAGAATAAAATACAATTAAAGTAAGAATATATTTGTCGTTTTATTTTTTTTTGTTTCCTTCACTTCGTTAAAAGTAACATTTTTCCGACGCCAAATTTTATTTCCCTTTTGTTCCAAACTATGTAGAATATCTCGGCCTATTGGACTTCTTTCCTTAAATATTTTCTTCCCTGTTCTCTTGTTCCATTCTCCTTCAAATGAAACCTAGATGCGTCAATACATACAAGAAGTCGGATTAAATATAAAAGCGAATCGAAAGAGAGCTAAATCCATATCTAATTATTAATCATTCAATTTTTTATATATATTTAAATATTCTCAATTTAGAAAAAATAGTTATAATTGATTATGTCACTTTTATATTTCATTATCGCTATTTTATTTTACTTAAAGAGTGTTTCAGAATGGAGTTTTAATAGAAAAAGAAATGTAAGACAAATTTTAAATTACTACAGCTATATAATATCCATAAAAATTAACACATTTTAATTTAGGCTAATTTATTATTGTTAATTTGTTTTAAAATTTATTAAATTAGAAAATATTTATTAAATAAAAAACTTTATTCCCCATTTTCTTTTCCCCCAAAATCCCACTTCTAAATAAACACACAAAAAAATAGAGTTGATTTTAAACATTTAAAAATAATAATTTTTTATTGAAAATATATATATTTATTACATTAAAATTATAAAAGTGTAATAAATATTTTTTTAATAAATCCTACTATTAGAAGTTGTTTAAATTCAGTCCTTAAGGTTGAAGTTAACATTCTTCAAAAATATCAAGAAAGGTGCATAAATCAAGATTTTTCTTTGAAACATTTCAAATTTATAAATAAAAATAAATCATCTTATGTACAAATAATGTTTAAATGCCCCAGATATATAAAATTCGTTTACAATGACTCCGGGATAAAATCAAAATGAAAGCATTGCTTTAATTTGCTTCAAACCTAAAAATGAAAAAGAGTGCCCTTTATATTATTAATTTTATTGTACTTTATAGCAAAGGCTCGTCGGCACAGCTAGCTAGAAGACTTAACAGTTGAAACTCGAATAACATTCATCTCAGCAGAAAAAGATAAGAAAAATAGCATGGGTGGTTTACAGCTTCGAGCTTAACAAATGAAAAAAAAACAAAAAAAGTTAAAGCAAATATATATATCAGGTACAGTCCCTCGGTATAAGGACTTGAAATATGGCAAGCATCAAGTTCATCAGATACCAGAAATTTATTAAGGTAATCTGGTTAAGATACTACGATGACAAGCTTTTGGGTAACGAAAACACCAGGCAAATGGATACAACAACAAAAATCATGAGCCTGTTATCTAACATTTTTATAGTGGGGAACGTGAGGGCATTTACTACTAGATCTTCACCTAGAGTAGAGCGAGGTCGACAAGGGTCAAGCTGGCCTCAGTATGATACTAAGCTATTGTAAAGGCTCACCGAGAATACATGCATATTGTGAGGACCAAGCCACTAATAGGCGATAGAGAGAAACAAACAAAGCACCCAAAGCAAGTGCGGGTGTGACAAGCTTCTAAGAGCCAATGCCAGTCATACGCTTACCTCCCCCCCCCCCCCACAGAACAACACGTTTTTTATTCTCTTCATCATTCACCCAAGCATGATTATTCCTTCTCTCATTGTTCATTGATCAGGCATATTCACTTTCTACCAGTACTTATTCCAATTTCCCTTAAACATGCTCTGCAAGTGCAACCTTGAAATACCAGTGCTTGATAAATACCACGTCTGGAGCCTGTCGTGTCCACACGCCCAACATGCTTGCTGTGGACATGTTAGGCTTCCTTTAGTGGAGGAATGAATGAGTTTTAGGCTATGTGTGGATTTCACGATTGCCCTTGCGGAGCACGTTTAAAAATGAATTGGGATAAGTATTGGTAAAGAGAGAATATGCCTGATGAATAAAGAATGAGAGAAGGAATTAGACATTCTGGATATTAACTTACAACTCAAGACTCAAGCAATAAATTAAAAGTAGAAGTTATTATTAGACACTCTTAAGGTTCGTGTTGTTCATTTCGATGTCTAGGATGACTAGCTCCTTCTGTTTGATTAGCTAATCAAATCAAATCAAATAACTATGATGATAGGCCACAGCGGCTTTAGGTTGAATCCACCAGTTTAGTCATTAAAAATAGCTAAAGCGCCAGATGTAACAGCCACAAAAGACCGAATAAATAAACTAAAGTCTAAAACAATGTGACAACTTGAATGAATAACTGTCATCAACACTTATTAGTCATTAATTGAAGCTATGCAGCTAGTGGTTTTTGGGCTCTTCAACACTTTTTCGCAATGTCGTGAATATCAGGCAATGAGGAAACTAGAAGAGAGAAAAATAAAGGACACCAACACCAATCAGAAGTTATAATTTGAAAACTGAATGTTCCACATTGCATCCTAACAGAGCATTGAAGGCTTATTTTATTAGTTAAACAAAGCAAAATCATTGATCGAAAAGTTACAAAGGGGGAGCATAGCAAATAGCAATAACCTCGTCAAAGGCTTGCAGACTGAGGAGGAGGCGGCGGCACCACATAATCAACTACGACCACACTCTCGATGTGATCCCTAACCTTATCCTTCTGATGGTTCACCAACTCCTCGTTCAAATCCACCGCTTCCAACTCGCTGGGTTCCGGAAAAACCGCGAGGGAAGCAATCGAGAAACCTTTAGCCCTCGCCGGCGAGAAATTATCCCCGCAACTCAGCTGACTAATTTGCTTGAAACTCTGGGGAATCCCTCTAACAACACCTAGCACCTCATCCCTAACCGCGTTCTCTTTCAATTTCAAGAAACTCACTCGAATCGCCGAACCCTGGGGCGGAACGAGATCACCACGAAGGTCGTGGGCGATCCAATCGACGGCCATGATGTCGTCGATGATGGGGAGCACGTGTCCCTTGACGACGCTGACGTGGCTAGGGTGCGCGGAATAGGCTTCGAGATCCTCTTTGGACTTGTAGCGACTGTGGAGCATGTGAGTGAAGGTTAAGGAGGAGGATCGGTTGCGTAGGAGTGGACCCACGCTTAGGTGGACAACTTGCTCCAACGACACCAGGGAGCTCAATCCGTTCATCATCGCACTCACCTTTGACTCCTCCGTCTCCTCTTTCACCTTGAACAGCACAATGTGCTCCACGGTTTGACTTGACGTCATCTTGATCGAAGATCTAGAGGATAACGCCTTTACCTGACGGATCTGTTTGCAAGCCGAGAGAGTCAGAGAAAAAGGAGATGACACCTGCGTTCTCAGACACAGCATCGCACGCTATGCACCAATCGTAGGGGATCCTGTGCCTTGAATCGAATCTAGTTGATGCTTTCGTCTTTTTTTACTTATTTATTTCTCAAAATGAATTATCTGGTTGGCGTACATTGGTCCTGAGGCCCATTTAATATGTCTGGGCTGAATGACCCAAGGGAGAGTAATAAATCATTGAAGAGACCTATACGTTAACGTCAATGGGCTCCTGCCTCGGCCCATGTTGATCATAAAGACAAACTAGTGTTGTCGTAAACGAAAAATGGTTTATCGAAGGTAGCTAAAACATCGATGACAAAAAAAAAAAAAAAAAAAACACCAAATAGAATATTTGCTCAAAATTGGCCGAAAGAAAATCATGAAAATGAAAATATCACCACTTCGAATTGTCTGAGTAGTTTTAATTGATTGATTTAGTAGCATCAGAATACTAAAAGATGACCTAATATGAAGCAGACTAATGTTTAGGGGAAGATGGTACCAAATAATCAAGGAGCATTACAGTGTCGAGATTGTCTTTGATGGTATGATTCTTCTGATAGTTGCCTAATTCGTGATCAGAATCCGCAGCCTCCAATTGGGCTAATCCAGGAAAAACAGCAAGGGAAGCAAGGGAGAAGCCTTTGGCTCTCCCGGGAGAGAAATTCTCCCCGCAGGTGAGTTGAGTTGGGTGTTTGAACTCACGTTGAATTGCCCTTATAGCTCCCAAAACCTCATGTTTGACGGGATCTCCGAGACCCTCCTTCAACTTGAAGAAGGTGACACGCAGGGCGGAACCGGGAACGGCGGCGGGAGCGTGGAGGTGATCGGCGAGCCAATCAAGGGCCATGATGTCATCGATGAAGGGTGTGTTGACCTTGATGACTGCCACGTGGGTGGGGTCCACCGCGTAGGCGTGGAGGTCATCTGTGGAATTGAAACGGGTGTGGAGGATGTGAGTGAAAGCGAAGGAGGGAGAGGGGTAGGATCGGATGCGCAATAGTGGACCGAAGGTGAGGTGAAGGAGTTGTTTGAGGGAGACTAGGGAATTGATTCGCTCCACCATGCCATCCCTCTCCGATGGTGAGACGTCGTCTTTCACCTTCATCAGCACCACGTGCTCCACCAGTGACATCCTCTATTCTATGCCCAACGTTCTGTTTCCACCCCTTCCAAGGGTATAAACTAATGAATGCCACTTCCGTCTTAAGATGCTTCCAATAATATCCACCACTGGATTTCATTTAAAGAGTAAACGATTAAACAGTTATATTGTTTAAACCAATTTTGTTTAATATGTATTAGATTTTTCTTTTTAGAATTTTAAGATGATAAATTCTAGAAAGTTGACCCCAAACATGACAATAAGTTTAAAGTTTAATTATCCATTCATTTTTTAATTTAAATTGTTACATGTATATAATAATTCATACGATAAGAGAGAAAAAATTGTGTGATAAAACAAACTAATCTGGCACAGGAAGATAAAAGTAAAAAAAAAAAGTATAAAAGCTATTGTATGTTTATGTTGTGAGATTATAAGTTATCTTTTGAAAATATGTTTGGATGGTTTGAGTTTGAATGTGTCGTTCTTTGCCGGTAAATGTTATAAAAAAAAAAGGACAATATATATTTCAAATAAAATACTATTAATTTTTTCCTTTGTAATTAAAGTGTGATTCGATGAACGTGCGTGGTGAAGTCTCCATTAGTTTTATGAAATCCAGAAAATGGTTAGCTAGTGGGAACTGAAGGTTATGTAATGAATTTTGGAAGTGTCTCCCATTGAGAAATCTAATACTATTGATTATTAGAAATAATCATTGAAATCATTGGGAACCTAAATATACTCATGGCAACAGCTATGCATCTCGACTCAGTGGTGGTGAATAGTGATGCAAAGAACCATATTTTGTAACCACATAATTTAAGTGTTGTTTTTAGTTACTAGTGGTATTATTTATTAATTATATTTTATTTTATTTTAGTAAAACATTTTTATTCAGTGTTATTACAAATTAATGACATATAGTTCTAATTCTAATTAATAAATAGTAACAATAACGCTTAGCTAATTGTGTTTAACTTTTTAACATTTTAATAATTATTGATTCTTTCCAATATATTTTAAATTATATTTTAACAATGTTGATATTAATATACACTAAAATTATAAAAATACATTAGTAATATTTAAAAAATGTTAACCTCGATTTGGACTCAAAGATAAACAATTAATAATAATAATTTTTTAAATCAATATTTATTGTATTTCTATAATTTTGATATAATGAACATGTGTACTTTTTATAATAAAAATATATTTACAGAGGTTTAATCTTAATTTTAAGAATTGATATTTTAAAAAATTGAATTTTTTATTTTTTTATTTTATAAAATACAATTATAATATTTTTCAGTTTTGGTAATAAATGTCAGATCAATTAAATATGGATGGAAGCGTCATGCCAATTTCAGTGGGGAATAAATTATCAAATTTGTCAGTATCTTGTGTATTTAATTTTTTTTTAAATTTTCATATTTAAACTTAATGTGTAATAATGTCTTTTTTATATTAGTCTCTATTGTCATGATTTTAATTGTTATTGCTATGAAAAAAAATGTCTATGCGATTTGTTTGTAATGTTTATTGTCTGAATATTCTCTTGACATGCTAATTGATACGTTATGGTTTATCATATTAAGGTGCTTATTTATTGGTATCAATGGGTCGAATCAGTAAGTCAAATAAGTTTTAAACGACATTTCAATATCATCAACAAACCACTTACCTAGTCACAAGGTCATGTAAATACTTTCCTTAACGATATTAAAAAATTAATTTAAATACATCAATTATATAATTTATATAACAATTAATATAAAAACATTGCTACTGAATGTTTTATTTGGTTGATAATATAAAATTTGAGTAAATTATATTTTTTAATGCATATATATTGCATTATCCTCTTTTATATTTTAAATTTATATATTATAATTTTCTAAAAACTTACTTTATTTTAATTAAACACTTGTTTGACATTATTCATTAAAATATTTTAAAATAAAAATATATTACAAATTTGAATCAAATCAATGCTACAATACCTATCAATATATCACAATTTTTTTAAAAAAAAATTATAAATCCTATAGCAGTTTTATTTATTCATTTTACTAAGTCTGTTACTAATAGCTTTAGTCATTTAAAAAATAAATGTAAAGGTGAGTACTCTACACCATCACACATAAGCAAAAAGACTCACCTCACATATTACACACCTTTCTAACATTATTCAAATCATCACCAAGCAGGCATAAAATAATATAGTTTACTCCAATTCAATCTATACGCATGTTTATACATCCTATAATATAAAGGTACGCTCATTGTACCTTTAATCATTTTACACACACATGTGTTCATCGCACGTTAGTCACACTTATTTTGACACTGTGATCACAGTTTCTTGATACCCTCAACCTCAAAGACTTACTTAGTTTCATACCATGGATGGTCGTCAGATAGTCCTCGCTCTACAGATACAACGTGTGCGGTATTGGGTTTTAAAGCAAAGATGTTAGTTAGAGGTCAATCTAGGAGGAGAGTGTGTGACCTGTGATACACCCACACTCATTGTTGGTGTCACCACCATCCTCTCTTTCTCAAAGTATTTCTACTACCCTTATCTTCTGCACCTCAGTGTATCGCTGAACCATTCGTAGTTTTTCAACATATTCAAACACAACCATCAGGCCATTCACACGTATTTTCAATCACTTCACATTGTTCAACATCAATTAATTGCATGTCTATACATACATTCACCCACATTCTCAATTGCATTATGATATTCACTTTCACACATGACACATATGCCCACATTCAATCACATTACACTCAAACATCAAATTTTCATCAAAAAACACATTATAATCAAATCACTTCATCACACACATCATCCATTATTCATCACACACATTTCTTAATACCAAACACACTAAGTTTCATGCAAAATTTCTATCAAAATCCAATCGCAACCAAACCATTCTTATCAAATACACATCATCCTACGTTTGATCCTAATCACATTACAATACATAACACAATAAACGAATTCTAAGTACAATGAGACAAGGTAGAGTCCCTTGTTACCTTTGATGAAGACCCAAAACACAAATCAATAATGGAAGTGTTCCCTACACAAATTTTCGTCGTAAACACATAAAAATTTCCATGAGTAACCAAGGAGATAGGAGAAATAACGAAAAACACAAACTCTAGTTCATAAAACTTACCTCTAAACGTCAAAAACACAACCACAACTTTCAATCATGTACCCAAACGACTTTAGAGACGGTTTAATTGGTGAAATAAGATTGAGAATCAAGAGAATCGAAAGAGCAAAAAATGAGTTTATTGAATCATAAACCCCTTAAATACCCTAAGAGTTGTGACACTCTCGCTACAGCAATACCTCTCGTCACTGCAGTAAAAATCTCAGACGAATCTGTATTCTAACTTCTGCATAATCTCGTTACAACAAGACCATTTCGTTACAGCGAGAATTCAACAAATGCAATCCTCTCGCACAGGGTCTTCTCGCTACAGCAAGAACACCCTTGCAACACACTTAACTTATTTCTCAATCAGTCAAAACATATCTAATTACAAACCAAACATCCTCAATACATTCACATTATCACATATATACACATATATGTCACATCATTATATACATCAAATACACCTTCAAATAACAATCCAACTATTCATATTAATAATTAAATAGTTTACAAGATTCGGGGCACACTTAAAAAAAAAGACAAAGAAAGAGAAATTAGGTCATAAAAACATAATTAAATTATAAGTAAAAAATAATTTAAGTTAGACTATTTTTTAATGATATTTTAATAAAATTTTTAAAATATATTAAATTTTTATACATTTTAAAATTTAAGGACAAACATTATAAAGTTTTAAACTAAAAAATAAGTAATGTAATTTACAACTTTTAAGAGAGAAAAATGTAATTTATATTTTTTTCACACTAGTAATATATCAAAATTCAATTCATAAATAAATTATAATGACATTTACTAATTTGATGAATGGTCTCCTATTTTCAATCAAAACACTATATTTGTAGTTTAGGAACTAATTTAACAAACATATACAGCATTAACAATAAAATCAATAGTTTAGTTGGCTTTATAATTGTAAATATGAATTATTTTAGTACTGATTGTATAATTTTTTTTACAAACTAAATATTGTACAGCTTTTTTGCATTAATTTTGTTTATTATTATTTTATATTAAAAATTGGAGAGTGGGAGTTGAGCCTTCATACCCACATGGTTTTGTAGCCATATTCTAGTTTCCTCCCTTATCTACATGCATATATTTAGTTTATAAAAATTTGTAATATTTAATAACATTAATATATAAAAAATATAAAATTTAATAAAAACAATTATAAAAAAAATTTGTATTATTTATCTCTTGACATACCTTAAAAATGATTGATTATTTCACCATTTTTACCAGAGGCATTATGACTTGGTACCGAAGAGCATGGTGTTGGTTGGTGAAGGCAAAAGTAGCGTGCAGGGGCAAAGGCGTGAGTGTCGGGGAGCGTGTCCAGTCCCTCTCCGGGTACGAGAAGTCCCGTTAGCACAATGGGTGTGAGCATGACACACTTCTCGTTCTGGGACCCACCTTCTTTCACATTATTAATCTCACACCCAATCAATCACTCTTCAGCACACGTGTTCCTCTCTCATTCGCTCCAAACAGTTGTACCCCAAGATTTCCTTGTACCTCTTCATTTCTATTTTTTATTAATTATACCCAAACTTATTTAAAACCAAAAATAAATAAACACAAAAACCTCATTTGCCAGACGTTGCCGTTTTGTAGTAGGGAGAATCACGTTCCTGTTGACTCAATTCCCAACCCCGTTTCGATTTCTGCTATCCTCATCCACACCCTCCCTTCTCGTACAATTTATACGGTATCCATCCAATTATTATAGACACGGTTTTTTTTATGCCAATTATTATAGACAAGTTAGTCATAAAGTATCCAATTAATGCTCACATCTCCGTCGCCACGCCCACCACACAAATCAATAATTTCAAGACAAAATTAATAATACACTTTTTAAAATACATTTTTAATACAACACTTTTGCTGTATTATTTGTTTAAGAAATACTGATTAGCAATACAAAAACCTTTGCAAATCATGCAATGTTTTCTTCATCTCATACCAGGGATATATCATGTAGTATTGGTAAATAAAATTATTAATTATTATGATAAAATAAATTGTGAATAATTTTATAATTATTTTAATAGTTAATTAATTAATTTTTTAAATTAAGAAAAAGAATACTAAAAATATAATATTTTGTGTATTTTAGAATAATAATAATTTAAGATTTAAAAATAAGACGTAAATCATTACTGCTATCAGCATTTATTATGGTGGTACTACTTTTAGACTTACTCGAACACGTCAAAGGAAATTTGCAAATGTAACTTATTTTCTAGGAAGGAAAATGATCCGACACTTACCATCAAAACAAATATTAATAATTATAGAAAATAAATATTAAAAAATACAGTTATTATTTTTAAAATATGAAAATATAATAATAAATTTCTAGTAATTAAAAAAACATGTAAGTATAAAAAGTAAAAGAAAACTTGACTTGTTTATTATATATGTGTAGTATCATTCGTTCAAAACATGTAATAAAATTTTATGTATAATATTTTAAACATAAATTTAATACTTCAATAACCTTAAATATTTTATTTTCAATAAAAATTATTATTAATTGTTTTTTATTGTACACTATTGAATATATATTAAAAATTAATTAATTTAAATATTAAAGAATTTTTAATATTTATTTAAAAGTACATAATATATTAAAAACATACTTTTACTAATTTAGTAGTATTCATTAGGAACGATTGTTGGGTAAGGTATTTAAGTATAATATGTATATTTATTACTTAAAAAATATTAACATATATTTTTATATTAAAAGAGTGTAATATATTATATATTATATTTGTATACTGTAGCAAAATTATCAAAACAACTATTATATTTTTAATTGATAAGGGGTGGTTAATAAAAGATTAAGTATATTTACATGCATAAAATAAGATATAAGCAATCATGTTTGCAACTATTATTATTACTACTACTAAAGAGTGAACATGAATTGTCAAATTTTCTGAAGGCATGGTTAATTAGGTGTGTTATGCGTTGGATTTATTTAAGTAGGGTCTTATTAAATAGGTATACTAGTTAAGACAGAAAATTTGGATTACAAATTATATTAAAAACACAGTAAATATATATTAAATAATTTTATATTTAAATAATAATTATCTAAATCATAGAGAATTTGTGTTCACCATTCTGAAGATTTGTTCTTATAGTGTGCTACACAGCACACTATTAGCCAATAGGTAAGGCACTGTTAGGCGTCATTTCAGTTAATCACAGTTCATAATTCAGTATACTAGTTTGACATATGCTAATAAATATTTTAAAATATTAGTTACACAAACAAAACTATAATATATTTTATTATAAATTTTAATACACTGCATTTCATTCCTGTTAGAGGAATTTTTTTAATTGTAAATCTCATTTCTTTATGAGCTTACCTTCTATATTTCTATCTATTTAATCATTAGAAGAATAATATCTCTTATACTTTTTAATTGTAAATCTCATTTTAATTCTTTAAATCAGAGGCTAATGGTTTAAAAAAAAAAAAGGGCCGACCCAAGTTTTTGAACTGCTGCCGTCCGCCATCATAATATGTTTGATTCTCAAAATTAACGAAAGAATTGGTACATGGTTTGCTGGCAAAAGTAGGGCCCTTTCATCATGGAAATCCTAACATCACCAGCGAGCCACGTGGCATGAGAAAAAAAAATATCCACCTGATTGTTTCTTCCGTAGGAGGAAGACTTTTTTCCTGATACTTCTTATCTAAAAAGTAAAAAATGACAAATGAAAAATAATTAAACGTGCAGATTCTTTTCTTAAAATAAAATAAAATGAAAAGAGAAACTTTTATCTATACTTAATAAATTGCGACACATAAACGGCATAATTAAAACAATGAATAATAGAATTTATGTTGAATTCCAATCTTTACATATAAAAAGCAATACATTTTTACACACTCTTAAAATATAACATAAAGTTCACTAAAATTACCATAAAAAAACAAAGTAAGTAAATTTCAAAATTAATGAATGAAAGCGAAATTAAATCCCAACCATTATGCATTATGAGCACGAATGAAAAATTTCACGCTTTTTTATAATATTACTGTAATAAAAAGGGAAAAGATATTCATAATTTATAAATAAAATTGAAAATATTGAATGAAATGCTCGCTCTCCGTCAGAGTGAGTGCGTATCCAAAATTTAAAAAAAGGAAAAAACAGGTGGATATTCATTATAGAATAGTGCTAAATATTAAGACACAAAGGGGTCCGAGCGTGACTGTCAAATCTACATATTCTCTGTTCTCTCTCTTTCTCTCTCTTTCTTTCTCTCTCTGTATTCATAGGACAGACCCTTTGCTCCGCAGATTCGATTCAATCGCCGATCTTTATTACTCGCTGCTCCTCGGAAATCTCTCATCTTCCTCTTTCAATCTCTGTCTTTTCTCCTTCAGCATAATGTTCCAGATTTTCAAGGTACGGTTTTTTATTCTGACTATATTATATATAATTACTAAACCTTCTGAATCATTAATTTAATTTATTTTTTATGCAAAATAAATAAATAAATAAACATGGTATAGTTTGATAAAATGTGAATTTTGTTCTCTAGTCTTTGTTTCTATCTCAAGTTTCCTCCAATATTTTCTGATGATTTTCTTGATCTCCGCTTCACTCAGACATTGGTTATGTCAGCTCCTTTATTTATTTTTCTCTCATTCACGACTGTTTTTCCTTCTTTTGCCTCCTCCTCCTTCTCACACGTCCACTAAAATATTCGCAGGAGATCTCTGCAATTGCAATTTAGTGGGTTTTGAGATGCGTTGGATTCGACAAACTCAAATGGGTTCTTTTGTTTTTATTTGACCAATTTCTGTTTTCTACTGAAAGGAATTTATGCTGCTGCAAGTTTTCCAAGTACGGTTCCAACATTTTTATTTTTGATATCAACACGTTATTTCGGATTTTCCTGAATTTTAAGTAATGCCAATTCTAGATTATTAAATGGGTTTTTTGGTTTTCTTCAACGTGTGTGTTGAACGTTTGGATGGTTACAATTTTATTTTTTGGGTAATTTTGCTTGAAAAGGGTTAATGATACTGTCTCTGCTGCAGTACCTTCCTAACATAATCTCTTCTGCATCATTGACTGTTTTTTTTTTTTTTTTCTGTTTTGTTGATACTTCTTTGGAACTCTGTGCTTTAGGTAGGTATTTCCTGAGTACATTAAAAAAGGTTCCTTTTATGGAAATGGGATCTGCTTTTTCCCATCTCATCATTTTAAAAAAATTATAAATATACCATCTAGAATAATAATAATAATAATAGCAATAGTAATAATAATAATTACTATAACTATAATAATAATAATAATAATTCAAGTTTATAATCTGATTCCTCTGGAAAAAGGAACTCATGGGGGTCATGATTTCTACTACAGAGCTTGTCTCATCTGCTCAATGCCTTAAACAATTCCAAAACTGCTTATGTTTTGTCTCTCTGTTTAGGTTAGTGCAGGCAGGTACACATAGGAGGATATGATTATGGATAAAATAAAAAAATATCTTTGAACGCTTTCAATACTTCACATCTTTTGTTCTTTCCTCTCATCCATCTATCTTCTTTTCACCCATGATGCAGGGCTGATTCTGACTTGATCAATCTTTTGACTCCAAAATAAATAAATAAAATGGAGGGTGACACATTCTCTGGTCTAGGCAACGGTACCCAGATTGATAGCAAGATCTTGCAGACATTTCAGAAAAGCTTTGTTCAAGTGCAGCACATCTTGGATCAGAACAGGGTACTCATCAATGAGATAAACCAGAATCATGAGTCCAAGGTCCCTGACAACCTCAGCAGAAACGTTGGTCTTATTAGGGAGCTCAACAACAACATCAGAAGAGTGGTTGACCTTTATGCGGATCTTTCAAGTTCCTTCACCAAATCTATGGAAGTTTCTTCCGAAGGAGATTCCAGTGGTGCTGTGAAATCCGATGGAAAAGCTGGTCACAAGCGACACAGGCCAGCTTAGAGAGCTTTTTTTATTATTTTTTTCTCTTTTATTTTCTCCTTTTTCTTTCTTTTTGTTTGGTGGAGATGCACGACATCACAATTGTGCTGAAGGGTAGAACAAGATTAGGTTCTGTAGCCGAAGCTCTCTTGTATTACAGAACCTTCTTTAGCTCATCACTTACTGCTTACATTTCAAATAAAAAGAAATGATTTTCCAGAATTCCTCTCATGATAACCTTGTAACTGTGGATCTAATAGAAATAGAACATGATTATGTGACTAATTTAATCATGCTGCCGTCTTTGAAAAGGTAAATGAGAATGCCTTTTCTTTCCTATTTGAACATGTGATGGATTATAATGAGATGGGCCTTTCTTGTTTATGTTTTTTCTATGATATGATGAGGTGTTGCAACTTGCAAGAGATAAGGGCTTTTAGCTTTGATAAACTTTTCTGAGTTTCTGCTTGTCAAAAGGGGCTAAAGGGGTCTTCATAATTTTTTTCCTGTCATTCTTTTTCATGTGAACTATCTCTTATCTAGTTTTTGATGGGAACTCGTCATAACACCTTTATTCCCTCTTTTAACTTCAACCAAAATGTTGTTCCTTGCTCTTACTTTACCTAAGAACTGAAAGCGAGAAGGGGTTGCAGATTCTGTTTTAGGCCTATGCCCATGTAGCCAGAGTTTCCTTACCAAGAAAACTATTCCTGGTTTTTCTGTTCATGTGTTCCCATTCCCTGTGGGAATGACAACGGAGAACTGAAAAATGCATACATATGTGTGAAGATGCTCTGAAACAGATGGAAGAAAGCTGCTTTAGAATATAGATAATATCTTTTTGGTTCCCAATTACACACCACCACAAGAACAGAATCTCAGATAAGAGATGATGAGCTTTTGACTATTTTTTTATTTTTTAAATTTTTACATCTAATGGCTGGTATAAGCTGGGAAATAAATAAAAGTATTCTATATCAGCTTAAAACAAAGCACCTACAGTATCGAGAGGCAGATATGTGTAAATAGTGACCCCCAACAACATGACAAGGGACCCAAAGGTTCTCTTTTGGGATGGAAGTGAACTTCTCCATGCTTATCCCTTCCTACTCAGGTTCTTTATTTTTTACTTTCCAATTTCCCCCCTTACTTTTTATTCTCTTATGGATGTCCTATATGACAACCTTCTATTTGATACTTGATAATTCCTTGGTATGTATCTCTCTATCTCTCTCTCCCCCTCCCCCTCACTCTCTGATTGCGCAGATGTCTTTATTTGTGGACCCAATTCGTGGCAGCCTAATTTCCTGATCTTAGAAGATAGGCCCACATGAGTGATTGCTGACGATGGCCTGTTTCTAGTATAGATTTTGCACATTGAAGGAGTGGACCTTTTCCTCCTGGGTAGATCGATCCCTTTGTCAATACTCTCATTCATAATTAACTCACTCGGATCTAGCTATAATTGTTACGCCATCATTTGTCCATGACCGCGCCCTTTTTTGGACTGTCACTTATTAATTCACTACTACTCATACAATAGTGAAATAGAATTATAAAGCTTTCATGTACAAGGTGCTTCAGTTACTCTCAAGTGAGTGTAAAATAGAATGTGACCTTATAGAAACAAAGTCTGTAGATAATTTGACAGCAAGTGTTACTTTCTTACATAGGTTCATGAATGATGTGGAATTCATATCGCAAAGTATGGTTTCGATGACTCATTTCATGACCAAATGAGGGAGACTACTATAATAATGCATTGGGTGATTCAAATTCGTTAAGAATTATCAACCGGATAAAAACCCCTATATTAACCCAAATCTATTCCAACAAAAGAAAAAATCCCTAGTACTCGTAGGGAGCAGTGTCAAATACATAAGTATGCTACGTTTGAGGAAATAATCATGGGCTAGAAAATCACACATAAAAAATGGTTTGGTCCCTAACCAAGCCAAGACAAAATAGACATTGTGTAGTACATAACATGTGCGATGGGAATCTACTTTTGCTTTTCTTTCCCTTTGTTCCTTGCATTTCCAGCAAATAGGTTGGAAAGGAGCTCAACTCTAGTTCGCCCAATGAAAGCTATTTTTTTATAATAATGGAACTTATAGATATCTACATCATTGGTTGGACCCAATTACAGCAATCCAATTATAATAATCCACGCCCCATGCCGGAAATGTTTAATTATGGCCTAATGACACTTTATAATAATTTGACGATAATTTTTAATATATCATCCTTTTACTCTCTCTCTCTCTCTCTCTCTCTCTCTCTCTCTCATGCCTTTTTATAAAACTACTTTGAGTTGAGGCTTCAGAAAGACACTCATACACACTTTTGAAAATTGCATACTTTAAGAATATCAATCAACTTTACAATGTTGACATCACTCATGTTAGGTGACCCGTAAACGTTGCAAAGTTGCGTTCAGTGATTCTATATTGGATGGTTTGGTACAAAGATCATGTCTCATTGAAGTTTCACCTGCCAACAGGTAACGAAACTCATCTCTAGTTTTATTTTCCCTTCAACAAAAGTACGACCATGTTTAGTTTTTTTTTTTTTTGTTAACATGAATTCTCACAAATAATATTTAATTACTTGTAGGCCAATGTATATCAGACTCTTTCTTAATAGAAAAAACATACATTACATCATTATCTTGTCGTGTGTCCGATAGCATGTTAAGGCTTGCTTAAACCTTCAAATCCTTAACAGTAATTCTTAAAAGTTTCAATCTGTACCAAGTTAAATTGTCATTAGTTTGATGGTTTCAGTAATTTGGAATGATTAATAAATTAATATTTTCTGGATTAGCGATACCTTTAGCTATAACGAGAAATAACAGTCCCAACTCCTATTTTATTCTCTTGGTTGGTGAGATCTTTAATTATAACGAGAAATAACAGTCCAAACTCGTATGCTCCTTCTATTGAACGGTTTCACCAGTATCAATAAATGATCTTCACTTTTGAGTTTTGAGAGCTTCATGCCACTCGATAATGACGGACCCATGAATACATTCATGTCAGTATATGTATGATTTGTATATAAAAATATAGTATACATGAAATAAAAACCCCAACGTGCCTCAACTGTTGTATTGCTCCTATTTATCGTTTAAAGGAAAAAAAAAGTTATTTTATTATAAATAATTATTAAACTTATTAATTGATCATTTATTAATATTTTTAACTCTTATACAAATAGTATAAATAATTCAAATAAATAAAATATATTGATACAAAAAATTATATTTAGTTTTTACATAAACAGAAAAAAAAATAAAAAATCATCTTCTTTGTCTGTACAATAAGAACAGAGATAGAAGATCCCCCAAGCGAGACCAAAATAGTAGGTCCAATCAATACATACGGACCAGCACCCCAATTATTAGGACGTTGTTCTTCATTCGTTTGAACCATTAATATATCAATGGAGTGGATGGGATTGTGATTTTGGATAAAATATTGCGGTTAATCAAAAGTAATAGTCAGTAAGAATTGATTATAACAAGTGATTTTATTAAGAGTATTCTTAAATCATTGCTTAAGAAATTGAAATAAAAAGTAAAAGTATTGATATTTTAATGATAAAAAATAATTTTATTAAATAATAAGAACGTTTTTCTGTATCAAATGTATTATGTGTACAAAAATATATTATATCAGCCATTATAAATCTCTTAAATCAGCTTCTCATAAAGGGTGACAAGGTCTTTATATGAAAGTTATTTATTTATTTATTTTATTCTTCTCCTTGTCTAAATAATTGAATTGTTTTTTTTCCTTTATTTTTACTGTTTTATATGTTTAAGGAGTATATTTTAATTCTGATTTTTTTAGAAAAAAAATTAGAGCATGTTTGTTTGCAATTTTTAAAAGAGTTTTTTCTTTTTAAAAACTAAAAAAAATTAAGTTTTTAAAAATTGCAAACAAACATGATTTTTCTCTTCCCAACAAGGTGCTAGAGAGATCTATGCCTTACGAAATACAGCAGTAATAACTCCGGACCTAGTAAACTTCAACAAGTAAAACCAAATCATTTTGAAGTAGTTTGAGAAGAAAGTATTTGAGAAAAAACAAAGAGAAGGAAGGAAAATTTTTAAATAAATATATTTTAATTTAATATTTTAAAAACAAAATATATAAAATAATAAATTAACATTAAATTAGTGAATTAATCATCTATTTATTATTGTAAAAAGTATCATTTTCGTAATCTAAAAAAAGTTATCCTCCCTTCAAAAATTGCATTTCATTTAGTTTGATGTAAACAAATTTTGCTAATTAATATTCCTGTAGATCTTTTCAAGAAGACATACTTAAATAAACTACATAGATATATAAAGTAATTAAAATTTATTAATTTTAATATATTTAAAAAACATTACAACACATCAATTTTATCCATATGTAATATCATTTAACTTAATCTCAGAATTAATATTTTAAATGTAATTTTTTTTCTCCATCCCTTATTAATTTTAATATACGATTCTTACTAATTTCGTTAAAGATAAATAGAAAAAAAAAACATTCCACAAAAATTGTGAAATAGTAAGACACAGATCATTATTAAATCCAAGAAATCAAAGAAAATTTTGAAAAATAATTGATGATTTAATAATAAATTATTTGTAAAAAATGAATAGAAACATGGAGTTATTTAGATCAAAGGCATAAACACCTTTAAAAACTAACAAACTTGACGATCTATTCAACTTCGACTCTTTTAAAGAGGATAGCCTACTCTATACAGCAATAGAACAAGTTGAATTTTTTAAGTGAAAAAATAAAATAAAATAAAGGAATAAGATATAATAATTCTTGATATATACACATATTTTATCATATATGTAACTATTAATTCTAATCAACAGTTACAATTCCATATTTTATCAATTTAATTTCTAATAGAGTCACATCCAGTTTAGCAATTTTCCAAATCAGAGTTGTAATGATATACCAACTGTTGTACAAGAAATGCCAACAATTTATTTTATTTATTCTCTTTTGTTTTTGTTCATTATTTTCTTTCCTCTCGTAACTCACTATGAGGGTATCGGAATTTGTAGTTAGGCCCGGTCCGGCCCAAAAAGTTGTAGGCCTTATAACGTCGGTTTGTTATGTCGTTACATTTCATTTCGAAAGCCACATCGCAGAGTCTGATTTCTCTCCTTTGCTCCCTCCAAAATCTCTTTCTCTCTCTCTTTTCGTTTCAGAAAGGAATATGTCGGTGAATTTAACGCCGAATGCGATCCCGGCGATAGTGGCCGGCGACATGAACTCGAAGCCGCTGTTGCAGGTTCTTGATATCAAGTTGATTCGAAACAGTATGCAGCAAGAGAGGTACCGCATTTTGCTTTCCGACGCCGTTTCCTCTCAGCAAGCCATGCTCGCGACTCAGCTCAACGACCGAGTCCGAACCGGTCAAGTCAAGAAAGGTTCCGTTGTTCAGCTGATCGACTACATTTGCAGTCCTATTCAGAATCGCAAGTTAGTCTCCTTCTTACGCTTAATTTCATATTCGATTACTGCAATTATGATTATATATAATATGTCATATTATATTTGAAGTTTAATTTCTCCGGAATCGGAATTTTATTCTGGTTGGACTTCAGATACTAATAACATCTACCTGGTTTTGGGAGAAGTAAAAAATTCAACCTCGGTATAGATTGACAAAACCTTATCACTGGTTGTTTAAGTGTTTGTGTGGATGCTGGAGTCAAAAACATGTTACGGAAGGAACCTAGCTTTTCGACATTAGAATTTTCCTATAAAATTAATTTATATGCTTTAACTGCTTGTCACGGTAAGGTTGGCCTTGGTGTGGGGTAAGACCCTGTGCTCTTTGTACAGGATTGTTGTGGTGCTCAATTTGGAAACTATAATACCAGATTGCGAGATCATTGGAAATCCAAAGTCATTTGTGGAATCTGATTTGGCAACTCAAGGAGCATTACCTAATAACAATAAGCAAGACTCATCCGGGAGTAATAATTATCATCAGGCAGCTCAAAGTGGAAGTTGTAATGTGCAGAATTTCCGGCCAACTGTTCAACCTCCGGTTTACAGAAGTCATGGTGCGATTGTGAAAAATGAGGCCCCGCCTTGTATTATTCCAATAGCTGCTTTAAATCCTTATCAAGGTCGGTGGGCCATCAAGGCAAGGGTAACTGCAAAAGGGGATTTGCGCCGTTATAATAATGCCCGGGGAGATGGGAAGGTCTTCTCATTTGATCTTCTTGATTCTGATGGAGGTGAAATACGGGTAACCAGCTTTAATGCAGTTGTGGATCGATTCTATGATGCAATTGAAGTTGGTAGAGTTTACTTGATATCCAAAGGTAGCCTGAAACCTGCGCAGAAGAACTTCAACCATTTGAAGAATGAATGGGAAATACTGTTGGATTTGACTTCAGCTGTTGAACTTTGCCCAGATGAAGATGGTTCTATACCTAAACAGCAGTTTTCCTTTAGGCCTATCAGTGATGTTGAGAAAGTTGACAATAATTCCATACTTGATGTTATTGCCGTTGTGACATCCGTGTATCCATCAGTTCCTATCTTGAGGAAGAATGGAATGGAAACTCAAAGAAGAATTTTGAATCTAAAGGACAATTCGGGGAGGAATGTTGAGCTAATCCTTTGGGGTGAATTTTGTAACAGGGAAGGCCAAAAGTTGCATGAGATGGTCGATGCTGGGTTTTTCCCAATTCTGGCAGTCAAAGCTGGGAAGGTTAATGACTTCACAGGGAAGTCTATAGGGACTATTTCTGCTACACAGCTTTTCATAAACCCAGATTTCTCTGAGGCACGTAGCTTAAGGGACTGGTTTGATCAAGTGGGAAAAGATTCTTCATCTCTGTCCATTTCGAAGGACATTATACCTGGAGGACCTAAGTATGATGTACGAAAAACCGTCTCTCAGATCAAGGATGAAGGTCTGGGGCGGTCAGATAAGCCAGATTGGATAACAGTGAGTGCAACAATATCTTTCATCAAGACTGATACATTTTGTTACACAGCTTGCCCTCTGATGATTGGAGATCGGCAGTGCAACAAGAAGGTGAATAGGTCAGGAAACACAAGATGGCAATGTGATAGATGCAACCAAGAGTTTGAGGAGTGTGATTACCGATATCTTCTTCAAGCTCAAATTCTGGATCATTCTGGAATAACTTGGGTTACTGCTTTCCAGGAATCAGGGGAAGAGATTTTGGGTTACTCAGCAAAGGAGATGTACTTGTTGAAGTATGAGAAGCAGGATGATGAGAAGTTTGGAGGAATAATCAAGAGTAGACTCTTCAACCAATTTATCTTGAGGCTAAAAATTAAAGAGGAATTGTATGGTGATGAGCAGAGGGTGAAGATTACAGTAATTAAGGCAGATAAGGTGAATTATTCTTCGGAGAGTAGATACATGCTTGATTTGGTTTCAAAGTTTTGCAGGCTCTAGGCAGTAACTGTTATTCGGTTTCAGCATCTTCATTTTACTGTTAGTATACAATTTACCATAGAATCGGTCATCAGTACTTGAGTTACCATGTTATCTGTTGCAAAACCTAGATTTAGTTATTAATTCAAGTTCTAACTATTCTGTTTCATATATTGGTGGATGCCTTCATATCTCAAAGTTCTATAATATTTTAATTCGAGCGTTTTGCAGCGGACGCTCATATATCCACAACATCTCTGTTGTTGATTTTTCATCACAATTCTTCTTTCATCCGTTCCATTTAATTTTTTTTTGTCCGCGATTTTCATGCTTCAGATGCCATCCTCAAAGCGTCCTTTAGTAGGATTATTTATTTCAAGAAGTTATCTATCATGCGGGTACTTTTAAATTTGATTCCTATGCAGCAGTAACATGTAAGCAATATGTTTCTATGATATGCCAAAATGGAAATTACATTGTAAGAATTGGAAAGCTTCTGCTCAAGTGGGGCCAAAGAGTCAGATATTACTATTACACATAACACAGAGTTCATTAATGAAGAACATTACAGATACATATAATGATGAGAGAAAATCTAGAAATCCCCGTAGGGCCTCAGCTTCGCTTGACGGGATCGAAATTGGCGACACCAATCACGGCACCAACAATTGCTGCAGCCACAACTCCACCAGCCACGATGCTGAGCAAGAAGTTCTTGAGGGAAGGTGTAACAGCAGCTTCAGCCACATCCGGAACCATCATTGAAGCCGTCAATGCAGCTGCTGTCAACCCTGTCACAACTTTCTCTTTCATGGACGCCCTCACTTGAAACCTTCCATTGGGTTTTGACGCTGCCACAGCTTTTGAAGGCCGCAGAGGCAATGGTGCCTTGAGGAATGCCTCAGAGCTAGGCACCACTCTCTTCTGGCTGGCGTGAGTTAGTGGTACGGCCATTGAAATTGCTGAAGTTGAAGCCATTCCTTTCTCCTGGTTCTGCTTCCCTTGCAAATTGCTAACTCGGGGGAAACTTCTTTGAAGAGTGAGGAAATGGTTATGGTGCGTATGTTTTTTCACTTTTGAGAGAGACGGCAATGGAAACGGTAGGAGAATGAGAGGTGGAAATTTTTGGCATATTTGCTTATGTCTGACGTGGCTGCTTCTCCATTGGAAATCGATGGATAAGGTTATCTTGTTTGTCCAATCCCCATCTATTGCATCAAATTCAAAAGTATAATCTGAATTCCTCTAGAGTTTTTTTGGGCTGAAATTTAAATGTATAATGACTACAAGTATTTGGTCTCAATCTTGGGCTGTATCTGCAGTATCATATTTCGTGCCAATGGGCTCGGTCGCTCCAGCACCTGTACTAGCCAGAAAAATTCGTTATACGAGCCATTATAACTTGATTTAATTAGGAGAATGACCAAAATAGTAGGCATGTTGACATGTTTTAAATTTAATTATAACTTGATTTCCATCGTCCAAAAAACATCAGTAGTTAATTTAACTTATAATTTACTTGGAGCTTTTGATAAACCAAACCTACATTTAACCGTCGAAAGCTCGACCCAAAAAAAAAAAAAAAGGGAAAATGTTGGCTTACAGTTACAGGTAAAATATTCAATATTGGTTGAATTAATTTACCACTTTCTTGCGCCTTCTCATAAAATTCTGCCCGACAAAAATGCTCTGCTCTGCAATGCCCAGGCGAAGGGAAGAGAAATTTAATCCTGTTACTTGTTTATAAATTGAATCCTAACTTTTGGGAAAAGAAAATTCTCACACACGTTTTCTAATAAATAATGATGTAGGATGAAAGGAGGTCCCCCTATGATAAGGTTAGAGCACACCAAAATTATCTAGTTTGATATGTAGAAAAGTAGAAACTGTTATTTTTCCCAAGCATATTATGATATGGAAAATTAAAATACATGCCCACTTCTGTTGTCTTTAATAATTTCACATCTTGAGTGCCCATGATATTAAATTCCCACAAGAAGGGCCACTTTCACAAATCAATGCTTGAAGACAAAAAGAAAAAAACAATAAAGAAAGAAAGAGCAGAAAATTCTCTTCCATATATTTACCAAAACGTCCCTATTTAAAATAGACATAACAAGCAGGAAACCTTGTAGAGCCGCAGCCAGTTCTATGGTGTATAATATACAATTTTGCTTTCTTCATGGACACAACCGGTTCTATATAGTAACTGTAGAGTATTACACTATTACTATTGCCAAACCAGTTGACAATGATAAAAAAATGTGCAAGAGGGACAGCAGACTTATCTAGACTTCTGGTCGTTCTCAGCCGTCTCTGTTCACTATCTCCGAGTCATAATTTTTTCTACATTTCTTGTCTTCTCATTTCTCAAAACAATAGAATAAATTTCATTACACGACATATTTTATGATATTTTGGGGGGTAAAAAAATCATTTTCGCTTCTTCAATGACTACATAACCACCACGGCATTTTGATTAATTACTTTACATTAATTTAATTTGATTAAAAAAAATAAAGTAATGTCTATAACTGTATCATCCAGATTCCAGCCTCTAGCAAATAGATGGGATTTACTTTGATGTCTAGTGGTCGACAACATATTCTCGAACTCGTTCTCTTAATTTTCCCTGCCTATTTGACCTCAAAATCCAGAAATGGGTGATTTTCAAGCCCCCTTCACAGTGTCACCCCCTCCTTTTCCCTCTTCCCCAGATAAGTCCAACATACCCTTTTTATATTATGGCCTAGTACTGGTGGGAATTGCAGTCATAGCATTGGCCCTTTACAATTGTATTGTCATGAAACAAAGTAGGGGGCGCCATATGCAATCACAGACTGCAAGGCCAAATGGGTTGGTCGAGGTTGTCATAGAAAGTAACGTTGAGAACTGCCAAAGGAACTTGCTTTTAAGCTTCAAGTACAAGAAAGAAGCAGGAAAAGAAGGTGGTGGGGAGGATTATGAGTGCCCAGTTTGCTTATCGGGTTTTGAAGAAGGGGAAGAAGTGAGGAAGCTACCGCGTTGCGAACACTACTTCCACGCTCCATGCATAGACATGTGGCTTTACTCTCACTTCGATTGCCCAATTTGTCGAACACCCGTTGGTCCATTCTGCCACCGTGTCCCGCCGGAGAATTCTCGTCACTGATTGCCGGAATCCGGTGACATCTGTGGGACCTTCCCTTGCCTCCGGAATTGGGTTGGGACCGGTTCTTTACGACCTCCTCGACAAGGAACAGAGACCTCAAGCAGCCGACTTTGGATAACTTGTGTGTGATGTTACGTAACAAAAGAGGTTGAGTACTAGTAATTACTTTTATTTTCGTTATAACATAAGATACATGATAAATTTATTCATTTATATGTTAATATAGAGCTTAAAGTATATTTAATAATATAAAAACTTTATTTTGATTCATTGCCATCGTAAATTTATATTTGTCTTAAGTTGAATATGTAATAATGTATCTGTTATTTTAATTTTAATGACTATATTATCATTCACTTTAAATTAATTAAAAGTAAATATATTTTTATTTATCAGATTTTAAAATATAACGCTGACTATTAAACACTTCACAAAAGCATTTCACCTCTTACCTTTTATTTTGGTATCTTATCTATATCTTGAACTAAAATAGATAATAGCTTTTTATGATTTAATTATGTAATTAGTTGTTAAAAATATTAATATTATTTTATTTTAATCTCTACAAAAAATTATTAACTTTGATGTCTAAATAAATATAAAAAAATGATTTTAGTCTTTTAACGAAGGACTAAAATTTTTTTTTATTGAATGTAAAAATTAATTAAATAATTTTTTTATAAAGACTAAGACTGAAAATATAATATATTTAGAGATTAATTATTTAATTAATTTCTATTCTATTTTATTTTATGATATTTCATATTTCATTGGTTGAATATAAGCCGTTCAATTGGTTTAGACATGTGTCCATGTCTAGTTTGTTTTATCTATTATAGGTTTGCGGGCTTTGTCCACTTATTGTGATTGGTATGACATAATTCTTGTCTATAGCTTTTGAGGTGCATTTAAATTTGAAGTTGTCACATTTATCCCTCGAAAAAGCACAAGAGATAATTTGAGATGAAGTAAATCCCGAGGGCAAAGTCCCAAACTAGTGGAAATTTTCAACTTCAATCTTGGTCTAGTCAGAAGAATATTTTTAGACAAGCGAAATTATGTAAAACTGTTAACAGACACGAGTAGCTGCTGCTGCTATTATTATTATTATTATTATTATTTTCGTCTATAAAGAAAAATTTTAAAATTTGGTTTGTAGTGCCTTCTTCAGGACAATAGATGAACAAAAAACACGCAGGTAACTGCTGCAGTGACGACCTTTACAGCATATAGTCCTCAGTCATCCTCATATCACAGGACATACACCACTCCATTTTTTTCTTATTATAATACTGACCCGTTATGAAAATGCATTTTGGTACAGCATTTCTATTAGCACGTACAGATTAACGTTATTTTGCCTATAAACTCATATTTATTTTATTTTAATACTATCAATTGAAACTTTTATATTAGATTCCGGTTACAGAATCTTAAAAAGTATTTTTAAACAGACAGTAGCTTTAGTTTACAATAACTCAATTATTGGTTGAAAATTTATTTAAACTGAATAATGGACTGAAAATATTTTTAACTTTTATTCAGAATGATAATTAGAAAATGTAAAAACAGCGTACAATGATCGGGTGTTGCTGATAAACCATAAATTAAAGAGTAGAAAAATGATGTGTATCAAATGTGTTGCGTAAGTATCGTGGTGTGCAGGACTTGATGTACAAAAATAGAAATCAATGCACATGCATATTATATGTTTCAACAAAGCATCATTGAAGCACCAGTTTAGAGAACCAAAGGAGTCTGAATAATTTGCAAAAGGTCGTGAGAATAAAATTTGGCCCCATAAATGTTAACAAAAAAACGCACGGCTTAGCATATCAACACTGATATAAAAAAAAGGGAATTTAAGGAAAAAAAAAAAAAACCAATGCATTCATAATCATGAATTTGCACAAATTATTAATTATGATACAGCTTGTTACAAATGAGCTCCAGTTTTCCCAGCAAAACTGGAGTCCGTATACCAGAACGAAGATTACATTCTCCTTAAATTGTCTAGCCTTGCTTGTAAATCGCTATCTATGGCGGCATCATCGTTCCCAGTAGTTTCAACTTGAGGGACCTTAGACTTTGCAGCTGGGGCAGCAATAGCTGCAGATGGAGCATTCAAAAGCTGCACATCAAAGCAAAACACGTTAGGCATGTTATAGTGACTAGGTCATTTACTGACTCAGCTGAAAAAAGAAGTGAAACGGGCAACAAGGGATAAATATACCTCTTGGTTTATGTCAATTCCAATCTCATCAAGAACCTGGTTCACTAGTTCTTTTGTTTCTTCTTCTTCCTCATCCCCTTCCAAAGCATCATCTATTGCATCTCCCATCACCTCTGTCACCAATTCCATCTTCTCATTCTGTCTCTCAAATTCTTGCATGATTTTCTGCAAAGACGGCAAGTTCATCTGCCTATTCATCTGTCCCATTGCCTTAGTCACACCTTTCATTGCCTCACCCATTGCATGTGTTGACTTCAAAGTCTAAGCAATTGCAATACAAAAGAAACCAGCTTTCAGCACCCACATTAGGTAAAGCCATAAAGGGATGAGTTTTGATCAAAGTTTTGCAGGAATTAGACAATATAGACCAGACAATCATTTTCCAATGAAAAGGAAATTCCATGAGCTTAAGAACAGAACTACGATCCCATAATGAATATATGCTATTATGCTACTACAAACCAACATATACAATTACATCACCAATCACATACTTGAATTCTGAGGGAGACACCCTGGAGCTGTGACTTGAGCTTATAAAACTTATCAATCTGATGCCTTGTTCTAACAAGATCTTTTGCCATCACTCTAACAGCTCCCTGGAAAATATCACATGAATCAGTAAGACATATGTTACCTGCCTTAAGAGTTGACTTAAATATATTGCACTATTGATGAGTGTAAATATAAATTGCTTAACAAAATCAGGTTTGTCTAAGAAACCTAAGTTCATTGATCAAAGATTTACCAAACTACATTACTAGAATGCAACAACTTGCTTATATCCAAAACTGAGGCTTCATCAGAGCAAGCCATGTTCAATTCAATCACCTTGCAAGAATCACGTGGTTAAGATTTAACATTTTAAAATCATAGTGCTTTACAATACTTACCAAAGAAGAGAGAAGGAGAATGCCGCTGTAGTATAATGAAAAAATTGTTTGCTTAGAAGCTGTTTAAATCGTTGAAAAATAAACAGCACAGTTTTTTAATAATCAATTCACATCAATGTAATTAAAACATTTTTGATTCATTGCTTTCTTCTAAGAGGAACTGGAGGCTGTGAAATTCACTATGTCAACAATTGTAATACACAGATTGCCATTTTGGAAAATAAGTGGATAATTTTGAGCCTACAGAATAACTAGGAAAACGGTTGTTTGATGAAAGAGCAAAAACTACAGAAGTTTAATCCTCATCATTAAAGTAAATAAACATGTGTGCGTGCGCATGTATTGGTTATTGTACCACATGGAGAACAATTTCCCACACCACAAATATTGATGACAACATAGCAAAGTACATGAAAATAGAAAGTATAGGAGCATGGTATTAAGTGAGCAACCAACATCAGTACACCCCCTGTGACTAACGAAAAAACAAATGAACAGCAAACGCAAACTGTACCCCACCACCTTAGGGGGCAGATGAGGGTGTTATATGTCTTATAGATTTGCAATAAGAACAGCTAAGCTCGCAAAGTTGCTCCAACAAAACTAGAAGCAAAAAAGGCAACCAATACTATCAAAGTTCAAAACACGATCACCATACCATCTGGCCTTGTTTGGCACTTTTCTTTATCTCCAAAATCAGTTTCTTCTCTTGTGACTGCAAACCCTGTCTCTCTCGTTCTATTTCTCTAATTGATTTATCCAACATTCTCTTGTTTTCCCGCAGAAGTTCTGAAAATCACAACTTTACCATCTCATACAATGAAATCAACACACAGTGCATCATCTTGTAAATACTAAATTTTACCATAACAACTTAAAGTTGTGCACTCTGAAGATTATGAATATGCATGTGGGAAACTGCACATCATTCCAGGGTACCCAATTCCATCAAATGTATAAGTTAATATACCATATAAACCATATAAGTAGCTCAATAAAACTAGAATTTGTAATCCTAAAAGTGATTATCGAAATTTTTAAAAAAAAATGCAGTGCAGAATTTAATAACTTCAGCAAAACGCATAAAATTCAGAGATTTTTATTTCCTGAAATCAATGTAAAGAAGAATTTGAATAGGACAATAAAGAACCTGCGGGTGTTTTCTTTTTTCCGAAGATGAAACTCATGATGCCCGAATCAACAAAAATTGAATGTTAATTTCGTCGAATCTGATCAATTGAGATTGAGAAGTCTATGCTATGCGTTTGGGATTTGACACCAATGCTTTTCAATTTCTTCAATCCGTCCAGCTTTCTGACGCTGTAATCGTGTTTTTGGTTTTTGGTCAATAACGCTGTAAGCATTAAACCAAGGAATCCCTCTTCTTCTTTTTTTGTCATAGCCAAGGAATCTCATTCATGACCAGGCTTCCTTCAATGGGCCCTCATGAATACAAAATCCACCAAACGTCTGGCCTTTCGTCATAATGGGCTAAACCAAAGTGCATTATATTTTGGGCCCTTGTCTGTTGTTTAAGTACGCATGTTTAGTTTAAAAAAGAGTTTTCAGTTCGACAAACAAATTAATAAAATTTAATTTTTGTAAATAAACTATTAAAAAAGATAAATTTGACAAAAAAAATTTTTTTTAATCTTGCAATGTTGTTCGGAACTATTATGCACAAAGTTTTACTTTTGATTATTTAACACATCTAAATTTAATATACTGAGATTGAAACTCAAGAATACAAATTAAAAAAATAGAACATCTTTTTTATACCAATTGTGAGACATTATGAAATATCTTGTTTTAATATATAATACACACATATATAAAAAATTATTTAATGATAGTATATTTTTTATATGAAAATAAAAATAACATTGAACTGTATAATCGTTGATAGTCAAAATTAAATTTTATTTAAATTTATATCATTGAGTTTGAAAGTTATGTAAGTTTTATATTTAAATTTTGACAATTTATAGAAGAAATTAATTATTGAAATTTTTTTGGTATTCTCACGTAAAAGAAATTTTCACATTAAAAAAATATTATAACCAAAAACTTATCAAGGCAATTTAATTTTCTTTTAGTTTCACTCAACACATATGGAACCATGAGAAAAATAAAATAAAAATAAAAAACAGATATGGAACAATTTGTACTTTTATCTTAATAAATTCATTCTTTCATGTTGTGTAAAAGGATTAAGAAACTGTGACAAAATGTCTAAGATTAAAGTTACATTTAAAATTAATAACTTTAGATAAAATTGTATTTGTTATTTTTTTCTATTTTAAAAATATTACATGTATAACATTATCCACTCTAATAAATTATTACTTAGCTGAAGGAGCAAGGAAGCCGCCACAGCGAAGGTACCTGCTGTACCAACTAATTATTATTTTGTTTTTTATGTCTAAATTCCTTTCACCTTAATTGTTTTTGCACACTTTATCTGATACGATTCTAATAAGGCAATAATCTTCACATGCCAAATCATATAAAATACCAAATTTATTAAAAGTACACCAAAAAAAGTATGCAAGCATATAGTACCAATGAATAATTCTTTTAAATAATTTTTAAAAATGAATATGTAAAATCTCACCGACAATAAAATATACAACGCATTTGGGTAATTATTAGTTAATACAATTGTTTTTGAAAAAGTTTTAAAAATAATTTGTTATATATTTAGAAAAGACACCTGTTTAAGCAAGGTGCTGTAGTATCTGTTTCTATACTTGTATTTTAAAAATTACCCATGCCTATACTAGTAGTAAATTTAATCTTAATATATTTAGGAATGACACCCATAATTAGTTTGATTTTTCAAAGTATAGTCTAATTTTGATGCATTGTTAATATAAAACTTTTTACAATCTCAACTAATTAAAATGTATCATAAATATATTACATCAATTATTCCACAAATAAATTTTTATTAATAACGTGATAATTCATAATTGAATCACATATTAATGTATTTAAATTAAAATTTAAATCTACACCAATAAGCACCTCTGCTAAAAAAACATATGAACAAGCAAACACCCTGTTTCCAGCTTTGCCTGCTAATTGATACATTGAAATAGAAGCAAAATCAAATATTTCACGTTCGTAGTGGCATGCACTGGCCTCCCACCACTAATAAATAACTAACAACAATAAAATATTATTAAAAAATTATATATCTTTTAGATACAATTTTATTATTTCTGGGTATTTAAATTTAATTCTGGAGGTTGATGTTAACAAGATCGTAAAAAGAAAAATTACAATAACATAAGAGTTAGTAATAATACTGAACATACTAATTTGTAGACAAAGCCAAGGCCAAGTTGCTAAAGAGTGTGCTCCCATTGTTTGCAACAAAATGCCAAAGGAATCATATATGTGAGCTGATAGGTGGTCCTTGGCTTAAGCGATAATGTGATGCTGCTTCTGCTTCCACAAGAATTTGCAAGCATTTATAATCTTTGTATAGTACATGAACACTGTGCTTGGTTGGTGAGAAACATCCACTTCTGCTCACTGCCAATAGAACTCGTGTATTTGGTTGGTTGCAGTGTTTTTAACTTGATTATTAATCAACCGCAAGTGGTCTTGTTCTCAAAAAATGATTTCTGGGTAAGTATTTAACTTTCTTAACCAAGCATTCATGATGCAAGTTGATAAGGAATTTGGCAATGATGGCATATAGGACTTAGACTTTAGTATATTAGTTCTCTCGTGTTTTGGCACTTTGGCAGTAAATAAATCATGAGTTTTCTTAGTTCGCTTTTCATTTCTAGTTTTTTAAATGTAGTCCGAAAATACACAATAAAAAATTAATAAATAATTTTTTTTATTAAAAACTATTAAAAAAAATATTTTAATTTTTAATCTTTTACTCCCAAAAAATCATTGGCTGATGGTGCTTTGGTCAACCAAGGTGGCCACTGGTGTCTCGTATTATCATTTGTGGAGGATAGGTTTTATCACTGCCTTTTATTATTCTCCAACGGTGTAAAAAGTAAGTTTGGATCCAAGTGATCATATCCAGTTTAGATAAGAAGAAAAACATTAAAATATTTGTTTAAAAAGTAAAATTAATTCATATTTTATTTTTTGGATAAATTGAGTACGTGTTTGAATTCTAATTTTATTTTGTATTGACAAGTAAAACTACATTCTGTAACCTGTGGCTGGCAATGTAATTTCAGACATACATTAAACAAGAGGGTTTTAAAAAGAAGTACATAAGTTAATTTTAATGCATAGAAAAAATTAATTTAATTTACTTCTTTAAAAAGAGGATTAATAAATTTCATTAACTTTATTTTTACTATGTAAGCATTTAAAATAATATGCTTATGATATCAAAGACATACAACTATAATAAATGCTTATTTTTTAATAAAAAGTTACTATTATTAATCCCTTAATTTTCTTAAGAAGTGTATCCAAACTAAATCTATGCCCGATCATATGATCCAACATATGTTGACTTCTCCGGTTCCTAATCAAGGGCCTACTTGGTCTGCTATGTGCATTACATTTCCTTTCTATGCTATATATGTGTATGTTTGACACATCTGATCAAATTAGCTTCAATTTTGGCTTTACAACCAAGAATATCAGCTCAAAATCACACTGTAATCGCGAATTTCAAACGGACAAAAAGTTGTAAGTTGCAATCATTTATTTAAATCTTCTATGACATTAAAGTGGTGTAGATTTTTACCACGTCTCACCGAGGCCATGTGCTAGGTAGGGGAAAAGTGTAAACTTTTTTAACTTTTCATTTCTCATCGGGTAGGAAAAAAAATGAATCTACTTTTCCTTTTTCTCTTTTTCAGTTTGTCCTAGTTTGCTTTGACAAGTTGTGCTAGTGAACAAGCATAAGGTTCCTACTTCAGTGCTTCCAGCTAGCTATCTTTCTTCTCTAACAAACATAGGTACCCAATTCAACAACCCAAAGATTGTTCTTCATTAACTCCTAGCATGCATAAAGCCTATACCAGCATTTCAATTATGAGGCAAAGATGAAAATTAAGGGTAGCTTACAATAAACTTCCCTGAAAAAGAGAACAATGAATTGTTTTTAATTTGAGTTCCACAAACTATAGAAATAATAATAATTACAATTAATGCCTTTTTTTTAAAGTCAATTACACTACAAACGCAAACCATTAGCAATAGCCTTATTTGTTTCTAAATTGGTAGTTTCATACACGGGAAGCTCTTCTTGGTACCTTGCAGCTCCAATAAGATGATCCAGTTCAAACAAATCCGAGCTTGAACAACTCACATCATCATCATCATCGTCATCATCATCTTCAACATTATCATAAAAACCTCTAAAACCAAATTCACTCTTACCATTATTTCGGTAACCTTTAATAAAACCACGTGCCGCTGCTTCAGCTCCATTTTCACTTCCCATAACAGTGTTCTTCAGCTCCTTTATTGAAGAATTTCTAGTAATCTTTCTTGCTTCACTTTCATAAACATATTTGTGACAAGAAAGTTGTTCAGAATCCTCACCAAGGATTACACTAACGGGGTAAAATGTAACTGATCTTTTGACACCATTGCTGGATTTTCCTTTTGTTTTGCTCATACAAGACCTTGAAAGCGAAGAAGCAGAAGAAGAGAAACATGGGGACTTTGATTTATGCTCAAAACTAACATCTTCAACGGTTCCAACGTAACACATTTTGGCTTTCTTCACGTTCTGAGGGTTGAAAATAGAGCTAAGGAAGCTAGCTATTCTACTCGCTGGTGAAATGGGTTGCTTGACTTTCTGATTCAATTCACCATAGATTTTCAACGCCCTCAACTTGGTTCTTGTAAAACCACCCTCTCGCTGCGGCTTCTGCTTCTCTGAAATTCTACGATCGTGGTTCATGGGTTTCTCCGATGTAGGTCTTGGTCTTTGTTTGTTGTAGGTTGTGTCTGTTTCTGAAGAAGAAAACACTCCCCCAGAGCTACATTCTGAGGAGCTGGAAGTTGAGTTGAGGAATTGAGAACCATGTTTCTCCATCCAATCTTCTAACATCACGGCTCGCCGAAGATTCATCCTCTCTGTGCCACCTTTTTCACTCAAAGTGGTGTGTTTGGAAGTGTGGGTGGTTTGGTGGCAGAGACCCAGTTGGTGATTGTGGTCAAGGTTGGTTTTTGATTCGTCGGTTGAACGGTAAATGGCGTCGAGAAGAGTGGAGGAGAAAGAAGGGGTTCTTCTCCTTTGTGGGTATGAACCTTCTCGCGTGGATCTATCCCTCTCCCGACTATGCATTTTGGTGCATAAAGAGAGAACGTGAACTTACAGGGAGGATGAAAACAGAGGAAACGGTGGAGAAAGTGAGTGTGTGTGATGAACGGAGAAAGAAGAGGAGAATGGAGTTTAGTTTAAGAGTGGTAAAGAGGAAAAAGCTGTTGCAATGTTCGCGCAGAGAGTGTCAAAAGCTTCAATGCACAATAAAAAAGAATGCAAGTTGATGGTGTAAAAAACAGAGAAATATGCGTGTGATTTGAGGTGAGAGGGAGAGTGAGAGAAGAATTTTAATGACAAGTGACAGGGTTGGTTGGGATCGTGTTTGTATGTGTTTGTAGTGGAGCATGTTTAGGTGTCGTGTCGGAAGTAGAAGTCTACATACAGCTTTCGGTGAAGATGGATACTATTTGTATAAATAAACTTGTCCTATTTTTTAGAGAACTATAATGGGAAAATAAAGAAAAAGTAATTAAATAGATGATCCCACAGAGAAATATACATTATACTTTTTATTTTAATAAGTGACTAAATATAGTTTATTAAAAATGTAAAATAAATTCAGGTATAATATTTAAAAAATGAGCAGTGAAAAGAGAGACAAAAACGATACAGTGATAACAAATAGTTAGAATATAAATATAAAAATGAAGATGGAAATATAATAGTTGATGCTAAAGCGTGTTGGATTTGAAGAAGAATTGGTGCCAAAAAGACGCACTACGACGTAGCAGATTGTAAAAAGTTAGAAGTGACTCCCGCGCGTGCGGGTGATCTTTTCAGAGTTCAGATCACACTCCACAGCACTTTCTACTTTTTAAGTATTTAAATCATTTCTCATTTTTTTAACAGTTTTTTATTTTGTCATTATATTATTGATTATATTTATTTTTTAATTTATTTAACCAAAGTAATATATGGTAAAAAAAATCCTATTTTCAATTAAGTCACATTTTAATTTTTTTATTAGAATATTTTTAAAAAAAATTAAAAAACGGATCTATTTTTTAAGAATAATGTATTTACAAATAATTATCATAAAAATTACAATAAATTTATCATTAATTACAAAATTTTTTCATTTCCATCAAAATATATATATATATATATATATATATATATATTCATTCATTCATTGATTAGTAATTTTAAAAATATTTTGTTAATTTTTTTATTATCTTTTATGAAATAAAAAAATTATTTACATATTAATTTTTCATAAATATTAAAATAAATTTTATATCCAAGCGCCGTCTAAATTATATATTTTTAAGTATAAAATGGTCAAAGATTCATGTAAAATAATTAAAAAATCACACTCAAGGATGTATTTATACCTTAAAAAGAAAAAATCAAAATAATAAACGTGATAGAAATTACAAATATATATATATATATATATATATATACACATGTTTATTAATAATTTAAAGGAGAAATTATTTTTATTTATTTATTTATAAATTTAAAAATTATAATAATAGTTTTTATAAAAACATTTTTATTTTTTTAACTAATATCTTATTAGTATGTTATCTATAATCGCATCATCTCTTAATATCATTTAATACAGCATTGATGAATGCCAGCTAAAACAAAGACAGAACTGAAGACTAATGAAAATAATATTTCTAAATTAGTTATTTTTCGTTTCACGAAATCATGTTCACAATAGAACAGGGAAATGGAGGGAAAGGTTTCAAATAAAATAATTAGTTGGTATTTTTGGCGCTGGCATAACAAAAGAAAGTTTTGGGTTTGATGAATAGAAAAGTACATTTCTTTCCATCCAATGTATAAGCCCAAGGGAATTTTGGGTCAAAATTCGTGTGTTCCCTTTTAGGATTTAACTTAGCAGGCTCCATAATGGAGCCTTCTTATTTCTCTATCTTAAAGGAATGAGTTGTGTTGACCAATCACAAATCTGACCCAGAAAAGAAAAAAACTACTAAATGGAACGAGTTGGTAGCAAAAGGGCAATTTCAGTAGTTGTTTGTCAGTTCTGGCTTTTCATTAATGCTTCTAGTAACATGAATGGATTTTTTTTTTAAAAAGTTTTATAAATGATTTTTCAAAATTTTTAATTAAAAATTATAATAAAAATTAATATTAATTATATTAAATATTATATCTTTTGATAAAATCTTATACTTTAAATTCTTTAATTATTAATTAACTTTAAATGAATCTGACTCTCCAAGTGTTTTAAAATTTAATAATAGCACAAAAAAGTAGTAAGATGAAAATATTTTTTTTCTATTTTAATTATTAATAAATATTATTTTATTTTCATGTTAAGGTTTTACTACATTTAACCATTTGTGTCGTTTTATCAATAATTTTATTTTTAAAATTCTGACCATACTTTTATAGACTCAGATTCTTTTTCGTAACTAGACGTCCTGTCACGTTGATTTTGTATTTTTGCTTTAAGCCAAACATTTTTGTTTAAATAAAAATATAAAATTTTGCTTGACTAAACCGTGCAGTTCGCGTCAAAACAGAAAATAAAAAAAACTCAAGAATTTTTTATTTTATTTATAGCGAGTGTGGAGAAAATAATATTATTTCAGATATTTAAGGAAGAGAGGGAGGGCAGGTTGTGCTGCACGGAAAAGATAAACCAGCATGATACATTTTTATTGGAGTGGCATGTTTATTATCCTTTCAATCATTCAAAGAAGAGTAGAAGATCGAGTCCTATTGCAGCTACTTGACATATGCATTCACTTGTTTGTGCAAGATATAGATATGCGATCTGAACCAAAGTGTAGAAACAAAAAATAATGAAAGTAGATTCATTCTTTGTATCCAATTTGAATAGTCGTAGAATTTACATCCACCAGACTTCTTAAGCTTTTTAAAGTAAACAATTGCTGCTCTTGATCCACCAATATCTTTAACTACTAGAAACTATATTTACCACCCACATCCGAGAGAATAACCTGAACCGATCGCACAGAGACGAGAAGTGTGATTAGAGATGTAAATAGCCAAAAAAAGGCAGAGGTGCAAAGTAGCACCTCTTCTGACATCTTCACCTATAACGAGACTTAGTAGTATAGCAAAACAAATATGGAACAATTTAATAAGCAACACCACCTCCACACTTTGTAAAGCATCAGCAGCCACCGCCCTTTGCAAAATCTCACCGTTCACAAGTATTGTTCATGTATTCTGGCACGGTTTTCCTCCCACCATAATCTAGCATGCATCTCCCCAAATTTTTCTCGGCTGCATAACACACGAGAACACCCAGACATAAATTTCTTAGGGCTCTCAAAAATCAAAATGCAAATGTAACCACAAAAAAACAAGGACAATATATATGTATGTATCTTCATTCCAAGATTTAAACCAGCCACATGAAATTGAGACAATGTTTTGTGGGGTAGACAGTAATAGAGAAATCAGCACAGAGATTTGAGCAATGCCTGTTTCCTAATTCTTATAACTATAGGCCATTCACCAGTGAATTAATGAGTTAAATCATCCGATATTTGACATAGTAATGAACTGGTGAAGGGCATTGTCCAGCCGTATATAATTAGCAGCATTCGTACCTGAACCTGACTAGTCTGAGCTCCCTTTTGCCACCTGGCAATGCTCTGATGGTAATGTAAACCCCAGCTTCATCCTGCTCAACCCATTCAGTGTCCAAATCACTAGCATTGCTGAATGATAAATCACCTGAGCGATCAGCCTCTCTGGATGAGCTACTTCTGATAGAAGCATCCATGGATGATATCTCAGTCTTGGCCGCACTGATGGTGGAGACTTTTGGGGTTGAGTTCATACCATTCGAGTCAAAGAAATGCCGGGATTGCATTGACTGATGATCGAAGGAATCAGAGGACGAGTATCCCATTCCCATCCCTGTTGGACGGTACATATTACGAGGTAACCGTTCCCTGGTCAGTGGAGGTGTTACAGGGCTGTCTTCTGCTGATTCAAGCTTTGAGCTCTGTTATCAACCCAAGCAAAAAGAACAAATTAAGAGAAAAATGAGAAAGGAATTATTGCTGAAAGTTATTGTTTACTTTTAAAAGAAAAGGAAAAACTATTGAGTAGTGAAATTAATGCTTTTACACTTTGGAAGATTTAGTTAATATTTGTGTTATCGGACTAAAAATTACCGCCCGAAATAAACAAAGTTGAATAAATGGTGAACTACAATTAATTAGAATACTGTAATTTAAGTCTCAGTTATTTATGCCCCCATATTAAACGTTGTCCCAAGTAACATGCAGCAGCCAAGTACTAAATTATATATGACTAAATGTCTACGAACTACCCAAATTACCTCGTCTTCAGATCTTGGTGGCGTTGGAAGAGGGAATGCTTGGCGGTTAAATCTTTGAACATTGTAAAGTTCCATGACCTTGTCGTAGTTCTCTGCCCACCACCTTTGAGCTTGCCATTTATTGAACATCTCTCGACTATACATAATAGAAAAATAAACCAAAATTCAATTCACTTCACTTTAGTCCTGATATCATCATGTGAACTATATTCGTTAGAAGAAAGCGCCATGACATTGAGCATCAGAATTTTGGAAAAGAGCAACGCAACAGTATTATAAACAGTGATAACTATATGGTCACCTTTTGTCCTCCCGTACCATTCCCGTTTTCCCCTAATTTATTTTTGTTTTTTCTTATATGTGAGTGATGTTGGGTAGACTGGTGAAAACAGTGACTCTTTCAAACGATAATCATGATCTTTTACCACATTGTGTACGAGTGGTCCGCGTGACTATAGCTTGAACACTCAACTAATTTTAGTTTGTTGCTGTTATTATTATGTTATTTTAATTTGTTGACCAAATAGCTTTTTTATTATGAATTGTAATTTTTTTATGGTTTATGACACTGTAGTCCATCATGCTAAGTTACTCAACTGGATACTTTTTGACAAAGAATTCTCAGATAAATAATTAAAAGCAAAGCCGGTCATTCGGTGCGTGGAATAAAGTTGTTCTACAGCCATATTTGACCTTACATTTGGGGTTTGTCTAGACAATCGAAAGCAGGTGGGTCCAAACTTAATTAGTGTCAAATGCATAACTAAACGCACCAAAACATGGATTGATTTGGATGGTTGAATAGGTTTTAAATTTAATATTAGCCTGAGATAAATAAGTGTCTTAAATTTCTGAGTTCAGATTCTGGAAAAGACAAAATAAAAAGAGAGAGAAAATCATGTGGATATAGACCCACCCACTATTACCATATTCGTTGGGATTGCATCACAAGTCACCAAGTAGGACCAACACACAAATGTCATTGATGTTTCTATCCTACTATTTAAAAAAAAAACTAATAAGACCTTAACCCATATTATCTATCTGTATCTTTATTTCGTGCCGACGCAGTAGAGGTTCATATATTTGTCTTGCATATATTTCTGGGGCGGACGATAATGGGAGCATTCCCCAGCATATTGCAGATTAAAAGACAAAAAAAAGGAAAAAAAGTATTAGACGAAGACAAAGTCACGAAGAATCAGGCATGACACGACGAAATTTGAAAAGAAAGGAAGCAGAAGAGTTTTCTCCGACCATTCGACAAAACTCGGTTAAAAGGTTCCAACACAATCAACAACGACCCACCAGGGCCACCACCACTTACAGACCACAATAAGTTCCCTTTTGGACAACTTTTTTTATTGCTTTTGGCAAAGGCGTGAAATTTTAACCCAGGAATGTGGGGCCCAAACCTATACCCTATTTCATATTTACGGAGGAAGAATCATGCTTTCATTTATAGCGTTGGGGGATTTGGACTTTGGATACTTAATTTGGCATAGTGACAAGTGAGCATAATTGTGATCAAGCCGGAGCTCAAACCTTTTCCGCACTTATCCAAGTTCCAGTTCCGACCAAAAACGAAAGACAGTACATTGAGAATAGCTTGAGTTCCAAAATTGGGATGATGAAAACTTACGATAATCATCCATTGGACATAAATTTAAATTGCACTAATACTACTCAATGGCATTTTGCTGTATCGTCAAGATTGAAAAGGAAAGAAAATGAAGTTATCTACATTCAAAATCCCGTTTCATGTATTTCGAGGTTTATCTTTAGATATTGTAATTATCTTATTTAATTACTATAATACATTATATTTTAAGCAACTTTATGCATAAATCTGGGAAATTAAATTTAATATCTTATATCCCTAAATGAGTTTTTCTTTACACGTGTTTAACATCACACAAAAAATTATGCGTAGAGAAATCCATCGACAATTTAGTAATATAACTTTGATAGCTCTCTCTCTCTCTCTCTCTCTCTCTATATATATATATATATATATATAACTTTCAATTGTATTTATGTATTCCTAAAGTTATCTTTTTCTCGAATCTTATATTAAATGCAAATAACTGTGTAATTTTTTTAACTCTATAATCTAATTATAGATAATCATATCAATAAAAGAAATTAACTTTTATAATAATTTATCAAAAAAATAATTTAAAGACGCTGCAACGAATATCTATATTTTGATAAAAATAAAATTAAAAGAGAAAAAATATATAGATATAATAAATGATACAATATGATAAAAAAAGAAGTGAATGCTGACATTAATAAAGTATTTGTAAATTAATGTTACTAATCAATTTAAAATTTATATTTATAAATACATTTTGACTAAATCATGTAAAATTATTTATATTAATAGTATATCAAACTTAAAACTAATTTTTTTATTTCACTTTCATTATACTAAAGCACTAGTTTGAAAGAAATAATTTTATAAAACCCTGAAAAAAAATTCCAGTACGAAGATTAACTGTTATTCAGAGAATTAGTTTTGAAAGAGATTTCATATTTTCCAGGCTAAAAGAAAAAAAATTGGGAAAAATCTTTGGATTAGCAATCTCCTGGAGGCGTTTGGGAAACCTAAGAAGTACCGTGTGGAAGGGTGAAAAGGACCCTACGAGTGAGGTGTGAGAAATTGACTATCCACCGTAGCAAAAGGCACTCATTGTCATCATCACTGGCTAGACCGATCCAAACAGCGACCAATCATCACCCAACACCGAGACTGTAACCACAGTCACCGTTCCATCAAAACTCCAAACGCCAACGAAAACAACGACACGACGGCTATTGTCGCCTCAATTGCAAACACAGCACGAGAGAGTAGAAGAGACGTAACGTGCGTACCTGAATCGTATGCGTTTCAGATCGTTCCCGCCACGTGGCAACGACACGAACGTAATCAAAACACCAGGCTCCACCTGCGCCACCCACTCCTTCGGCTCGTTTTCTTCGACGAACAGTACCACCGGCTCTGTCCTCCGCCCGCTGGCGGAGTTCGGCGTCCCCTCCCCGCTCGAAATCCCCTTTAGCCTCGCCTCCATCTCCTTCCCCCACGTCCTCGTCGTCGTCGAACTCGAACTCCCTGTTCTTCTGTAAGACCATCGGAACCGATCCGAGTCCGCGTCCGACTCGGTATTGCTCCTCACCCGTCCCTGCATCGGCGGCCCCGTGCAGGGAGCACAATGCTTGTACGCCCCCGACGCCTTCAACGCCATATCCTTTATCTAAAATCACAGTCAAATAAAACTCAGAATCGACAGCTAACCTAAATTAACAGGACGAAAGATGTTTTCATTTTAATTATCAATTTTCAGTTTCATTGCTTCTACGGTTCTACCGGTACCTGAGAAGTTAGGGATTTGACGGGTTGCGTTTTAGTCGCGTTGTTGGGATCGGAATCATCGGGCTTACTCACTGAGTCGTTCCCCGGTTTCTTAGGACGAGCTATACACGTAAGCATTTTCGGTTCTCTGTCGATTCGTAAATCTCTGAAAAAATAAAAACAAAATAAAAAAGACGGGTTCTCATTCTACTAAGTTGGCAATTGGCATTGCAGAGTGTGATAAACGAGAGTGAGAAGAGAATAGTCACAGCACACCGTACCTGACAGTGACGGTTCGTGCAGTGCAAATAGGTAGGTAAGAAAGTAGAGGATTAATAAAGCGCGAAAATCGAGATAGTAGGAGCCATGCGCAGCAACTTGAACGCAGAACTAGAATTGCGAGATGAAAGATTCTCTAGTGAACAAGGGAAGGGAACATTGCAATGGATTTTGGAAAGAGAAATTCAGAAAGAAGGAAGAGGGGCCATGGTGACTGGTGGGGGAGTGGATGGTTGATTCCGGTGGCGGCAAGGGTAGGCGTGTGTTTATTATTTTTTGCTTTGCTTGGTTCGGTAGTGTAGTGGCTATAATGGTGCAAGAGGAGTGCTGTCTGTTACTGTGGATTTCGCTTTTTTTGTCTTACGCTCTCACCTGTCACCGGATGTTAACTGGTTATTGCACCACTCGGTCTTTCTGTGTTTTTTTATCTGTGGGCTCAGCCCATGTCCACCAAGTAATGAAGGCCCAACAGAACCCAAACTAAGAAAAATAATGTTACGTTCTCGCCACATGCAACCAAAACGGATTCACACTGTTATTTGTACAGGAGAAAGGCACTGCTCTGAAAGTGTTAAGCCTGTGCATGTCATAAATAGTGCAAATCTAATTGCGTGGACCTTAGTCAGCATGTGCAATTAATGGCACGTTCTCCAAAATTTAAGTTAAGATTCGTCGTTTAATTAAAGTACCCCCATTCACTGTTCAGTAAAGGTGTATGTGACTAAGTATATTATACACGTGAGATAATCTCGCAATAGCGCAATGTTTCTTATAGGACGTAAATGCATTGAGTAAGCGTGTGTCTAATTTTGATTTTAATTATTTTCATTCTTGTTTTTCTTTTAACTCTTCTTTTTTATTCTTCTCACCTTGCAGTCTTAAAAATAAACAATACGCGGCAGTCTCTTAACTAATCATTTTATAATTTAACACTGACTACAAATTCTAATTTATTATTTCAAGTTGTGTTTATATATTTTTTAATTTGATAATGTATACTTTTTTATCATTTAATTTAGCACATAAATTTCTAACATGTATTATAAAATGTACATTTTGACATGTATTTTGTATATGTTTCCAATTTTTAAATAAGTTAGTTTTTATTTGGCTAATATGTAAGAAACTTCATTCTTTAATAAGATAATATTTAATGGTGTTTTTGCAGTCAATTATAGTATATAATGTATTTAAGAAAATAATTATCAGTGAAACTGACAAATCTGAATATATATTTATCTCGTCTATAGTACGAAATATATTTTAAAATATAAAGTACAATTTGTCATTAATTGAAAAGTCAATAGCTAGTGTCAGCTCATTGTTTATCTAAATCCATTGTGAATTATAAGATAACAAAATTTAAACTAATTAATAAATAAAAAATGTTAACTACATTTTTAGAAAATTCTTCTAAACTAATAATGGATAATTTGATAAAATAAGAAATTTTCATTTTCAACTTAAATGAGGTATGAACATATTTTTTTACCTAAATTTATAGACTCAAATAATATTTACAAAATGACTTACATTTTATCTCATTTTTAGTCAAAGAGTGGAACCAAACTTAATATTTGTTAAATACAAAATTTTATTTTATTTCACTTTACCAATTTTTAAAAGTTAGCAGGTATGAAAAATTAATCAATATAGATCTATAAGAAATTCAATATTAATATTTAAATATTAAAAAATACAACACATCAGATGCTCAACATAAGTAAATTACATGATATATTGTAAAGTAATAAAAAATAACAGAAGTACATATTTTTAAGAGTAAATATTTAAATATTATTTGTAGTTCTTATATTTTAATAAAATTTTTATTTTGATTTATATATTTTCACAAAATTTTTGGTTATTGTTTTTATTTATTAAAAAATTATCAAATATTAATTTTGAGTTAGATCATATAAATTAAAAAGATTAAAATTAATAATATGCTAAATATATGGAGTCTAAAATTTTAAAAAAAATATTTATAGTAAATAAAAAAAATTTAAATAAGAAGATTACAAATATATTTAAAATTGAATTTAATATATAAAACAATATTTTTATTATAAATTATATATTAGAAAGCAATATTGTATAATATTGAAAAAGATAATTTATTACTATTAATTTACATACAAATACTAAAAATTAGTAAATTAGATGACATAGTAGCAATTAAAATAAAAAAGAAAAAAATAACTCAAAAGTAAACGGCTAAAAATTTTCCAAAACTAGGAAGAACTTGAAAAAGGTGAGAGTATTAAACGGTCCTAGTTCTAGTAAATAGCATTGAAAAAGATGGACGAAAAGTCGAAACTACCAGAGGCTTTCGGGTGGCAGCTGCAGGAAATGACGAGAAAGCAACAAAATCTTTCCTATAAAAGCCAAGCGCCAAAGAATCTCTCGAAATCGAACACTACTATGCTTGAATACCGCGCTTATTCGTAATCATATTCTTCACCCTTTGCATCCTCACCGTTGTTTTCCGCGCTACTTTTCGCCCATTCCTCGCATCGTTGCAGCAGCGAACACTTCACAGCGCATCAACAAACAACAACTTTCTCAGGTCAAGATCGCGCCACGTGTCCTAATCCGACAATGGGACCCCCTCACTGCACCGCAAGCACAACCACATCTTAACCAAATGCTCCCACGGCAAATAAACGACTCCTCCTATCCGCTCACCGGCGGTTAGGGTTCCGACGAGTATCCGTCCAAGGCCCTAAGCTTAAACTTCGTTATCGTAGAATCCGCCAGGTGAGAGCCTCACCGTTTCAATAATGAACATCTAGCATTTTGATTATTGGTTATTCCGAAAATACGATACGATGTCGTTTTTACGACGTCGAAAGGGCTCTGTGAATCCCTTGCCAAGTGATTCAGATCTCAAGGAAGAGGATAAGAAAAAGAAGGAGAAAAAGGGAGAGAAGCTTAAGGAGAAGAGTGGAAAGATAAAGAAATGGACGTGCGTGGATAGCTGTTGTTGGACGGTAGGATTCATATGCTCCGTTTGGTGGTTTTTGCTGTTTTTGTACAGTGCAATGCCGGCGTCGTTTCCTCAGTACGTGGCGGAAGCAATAACGGGGCCGTTGCCGGATCCTCCTGGCGTGAAATTAAGGAAGGAGGGGTTGACGGTGAAGCACCCGGTGGTTTTTGTGCCCGGAATCGTCACCGGTGGGTTGGAACTCTGGGAGGGTCGTCAGTGTGCCGATGGATTGTTCAGGAAGAGGTTGTGGGGTGGCACTTTTGGGGAATTGTACAAAAGGTAGCTTTTTTTTTTTGGTATTGTTTTTGGTATGGTTTGATTTGATGTTGGGTTTTTTAGGTGGGGTATGTGTGGATTTAAATGTGTTTTGAGTGGCGTGTTTGAATTTTCGATTAAGGGGAAATAATGAGAAATTCTTACTTGAAAATGTTGTCTTTCTTGATCGGGAAGTAAGTAAGTGGTGTTTACAGCAAGAGATTAATTTGTGTTTGTTAAATGAATTCAGTTAAATGCCATCTGTTTGCTTGAATGGGTGTGGGAGGGGAACGGACATGGTGTTATTTATCGAGTGCCATATTTCTCGATGTTGAAACAATGGAAAACACTATTCATCCTTACTGGATTATTTGGACTGCCAATGCTTTTGTCGATGGGTCTTTTTTTCTTCTTTCAAAATTTTCTAATTTTCGTAGAGAAACATGCTGGAACATTGCAATCTACAGTTACCTGCTTGAATTTCCTGTCCTTCGTATCAGTAATTTTAAGGCAGAATTCTTACACACGCACACAAGCTGTTTTTGAGCTGGACCATTTTTGGGAACTTGTTGAAGTCCTGTCTGACAGATTTTGATTTGAATGTTCAATGATCATAGCCCTTCTGACGGTTTTCTTGCTGTGCATCTAACTGTCATTTTTTAATGGCAAATTTATGTCCGTCAAGTTCCTTTGTTAATGACTCCTAAAGAATTTTTTCTATAATGGTATATTTTGAATTTTATTTTGCCTTCTACAGACCATTATGCTGGGTTGAGCACATGTCATTAGATAATGAAACAGGACTAGACCGTTCAGGTATTAGAGTTAGGCCTGTATCTGGACTTGTAGCAGCTGATTATTTTGCACCTGGTTATTTTGTCTGGGCTGTTCTAATTGCTAATTTAGCTCGCATTGGATATGAGGAGAAAAACATGTATATGGCTGCATATGATTGGAGAATCTCATTTCAGAATACAGAGGTAGTTCTCTGTTTCTTACAAAGATATATGAATTTCTTCGTTCCCCTGTATTTTTATTGCTTTTTTTTCATTTATGGTACATCCTCAGATGGACTTTTTTTCCCTCCTTCATATGACCAGGTGAGGGATCGAACTTTGAGCAGGATAAAAAGTAATATAGAACTCATGGTGGCTACAAATGGTGGTAAAAAGGTGGTTGTTATTCCACATTCAATGGGTGTTCTGTACTTTCTGCATTTTATGAAATGGGTTGAGGCACCAGCACCAATGGGTGGAGGAGGTGGGTCAGATTGGTGTGCCAAACATATTAAAGCAGTGATGAACATTGGGGGACCTTTTCTTGGTGTTCCAAAATCTGTTGCTGGACTTTTCTCTATAGAAGCTAGGGATATTGCTGTTGCCAGGTTCTTGTTTTTACCACCATAATGTGAATGCTTGGTTCTTTATACGCTTATTTTTTTTTTTAAACCTGAAGTTTCTTCTGTGTCTCTTGACAAGTAGGTTTTGGAATGTGTTTTTCAAATAAATTATATATCTGTAGGAAGTGGATGTGTAACTTTTTTCCCGTTTGAATGAAAGTCTCTATTGAGTATCTCTATTCTGTTACCCCTTGAAAACTTCCATGTTTGGATCGATATTCTTAATAAGTCAATTGTTTGCTTGTTTTTACAAACTTCTTTTATTTCTCTAAATACTAATTTATAATGATGTTTTACTAACATTTCAAAAATGTGTTTCCTTGACACATATAGGGTTTTTTTCTTGCAAGTTTTGTTAGGGTAACATTTTCAATAATTTTCTATTGATGATATTAATATACAGTGAATTGTGTTAGCTGTGAATACATAATATATCTATATGAAGTCCTTATTCATGCATCTCTAATGCTCACATACAGGGCTTTCGCACCGGGTTTTTGGGACAAGGATGTTTTTGGTCTTCACACTTTACAACATCTAATGCGGATGACCCGAACATGGGATTCAACAATGTCAATGATACCAAAAGGTGGGGATACTATATGGGGTGGCCTTGATTGGTCACCAGATGTATCCTTTAACTGTGCTGCAAAGAAGCTCAAGAACAATCATACTTACAACGCATTTCAAAATGGCAAAGAGAATCTTGAGTTTATGAAAAATGTTAATTATGGGAGACTCATATCGTTTGGGAAAGATATTGCTGAGATACACTCCTCCAAGTTTGAGAGATTGGATTTTAGGGTATTGTTCCTTATACAGTGGGCATTTTGTTTTTAATGTTTAAATAATAGTATTTGTTGTCAATCTGCACAGGTAGACTTCATATTTTGTTTGTGGTTGAAATTGGCAGGGTGCTTATAAGGGTAGGAACCTTGCAAACACATCTAACTGTGATGATGTGTGGACAGAGTACCATGAAATGGGCGTTGAAGGAATCAAAGCTGTTACAAATTACAAAGCTTACACAACTGATTCAATTTTGGATCTGCTTCATTTTGTTGCCCCAAAGATGATGAAGCGTGGAGATGCTCATTTTTCTTATGGGATTGCTGATAATTTGGATGATCCAAAATACAAACATTACAAATATTGGTCTAACCCTCTGGAAACAACGTGAGGCTCTCTAATTTAAATATTTTCTTTTTCTCCGTATAAAAGATGAAGCTCAACTTATTGCTATTTATTTTCCTTCATAACAAGCCTTTGTGACCATTTTTAATGTTATACTACCTCCTTTCTCAAATATAAGCAAATTTAAATTGAGGCATGGTGGGCTAAAATATAAACAAATTTTAATTGATTTTATATTATTTAATAAAATATCTTTATTTAATTCAAATTTTATTTTTAATGATCTTTGTTATTTTTGAGATATGAGTTAATAATTTCATATAACTGTTAAAAAGAAAGAGAAATTTTCTTAAAACTAGTTATCAAAATTTAATTCTCTCCATTAAAATGCTAAATGAATTCTTAATTTTCACAGCTTGACTTTGACATAGAACATAGGAACTTGAATCATCAAATAATGACATTTAAATCTAATTAAAATGTTGAATCATCCTTAAATGATTTTGAAGGGCATATTAGAGAATATAGTTCTTTTTTCTTTATAAATTAAAAAATTAAATGAAATTAACCAATTTTTTAATTAATGTAACTTAGTTATTTTTTACTAATATTTGAGACCGGAGAGAATAGAAAACTAGCGCTCCAATCTAGTTCAATTGTGTGCTCGGTGGGTAAACAACCCTACTATTGCATAGTGCTTGCCTACTGTATAATTATTTTATTACCTGGATTGATGGAACTAATCGACTGTTGCTTATCCTTAATGCACTGTCATGCTATGTTTGAAAATATGTAGTTTCTATTATTCCAACCTGTGCTTTGTGTTATTTTTAATAGTCTGTCGTGCTGCTACAGATTACCTAATGCTCCTGATATGGAGATTTACTCTATGTATGGGGTTGGGATCCCTACAGAAAGGGCCTATGTCTACAAGTTAACTCCTCTATCCGAATGCCACATTCCCTTTCAGATTGACACCTCAGCAAATGGTGGAAGTGAGAGCTCATGTCTAAAGGATGGAGTTTACAGTTCTGATGGTGATGAAACTGTTCCTGTTTTAAGTGCTGGTTTCATGTGTGCAAAAGGTTGGCGGGGAAGAACCCGCTTTAATCCTTCAGGAATTCGTACATACATAAGGGAGTATGATCACGCCCCTCCAGCTAATCTTCTAGAAGGTAGGGGAACCCAGAGTGGCGCTCATGTTGATATATTGGGCAACTTTGCATTAATTGAAGATATTATACGAGTAGCAGCTGGGGCATCTGGTGAGGACTTAGGTGGAGATAGAGTGTACTCTGATATTTTCAAATGGTCTGAGAAGATCCATCTGGAGCTATAGATTCACATGGTAAGTTCACTCCTTGGACTTCTGGCATTAATTGTGGGCCTTGGCCTACGTATAGCTTAATTTTGTCAACTTTCTTGTCCTATCTTAAGTGCAATAACCAGTTGGCCTATTGACTTGTTTAATGCCTTTAAATTGATCTTACAAACAAATTTTTGGATCCTTAGTTCATACTATATTGATGTACACGTTTCAGTTGCTATTTTTCTGACCAGATTACTGGGTTGGCATCATTACTTCAGTACGTGATAGAATCCTATCCGCTTCAACCGTTGTGCTTTAAGATGGAACTGATGGTATAAGTTATGGAGCTGAAAGACCAGTAGCGATCACGACGACATCATGCTTCTTTAATTTTATCTATAGAATTTCATGGTTTTGGGACGGCGTTGAATCTGTTTACTCCCCCTATCCCCAAACAAAGAAGGAAAAGAAAGTATACCAAGCGCTTAGTTTAGGTGCATGGTTCATGCTTGACGAGGATTTTGTCGATTCCATTCATTGATTTGATTATTGTCAAGTGTATAATTATCTTATCTGCTCCTGTTTTCTCCCGCTAATTTTTTATATGTTACATGGGCTGCTTTGTCTATCCACAATTTTGAAAAGATCGAGTTCAAGCCTCGTAGTATACGGAATAACACTGGTGTAGTTCTGTTTTTCTTCAATCCTTCCAATTTCAATAATAATTAGTTCATAAATGCATGATTTTATTTTGAATTGAAACCGCAAGACTTGCTAAAAATCGGCATAACTTTGCTGTAGATTCTTCATCATAAAGCAAGACTGTTGGATAATATATAGGTGGTGACAAGACTTTCGAATGGAGTCTTTTATTCATTGTTAGCCTTTTCTTTGCTGTTAAATATGTATTAGTCTTGATAACAAATGCTTCAATAATAAATTTTAACTAAAAATGTGTTTAGATGTATTTAAAATTATGAGAATGAGTCTATTTTTATAATTTTTAATAATTTTTTAAAATAATATTCTAAGAAATTTATTAGTTTTTTAAGCATATATTATTGCGATATAGTATTAATGAGATTGCCAAAGAAAATGGATTAAAAGTGGAAAGTTAACTGTATATACCAACAATAATTTGTAGAAGAACAACTAATCCAGCTTAAAATTTTGTAACCTGTTGTGAAGATTTTAAGTAAATTCACAAAAGATGTATAAATTTAAAATATTTACTTAATAATAAAGCTTAAAATGTTAAAATTAAAATTATAGGGATTAAATTAGGTCATAACAAAAATACATTGTTTATTTGTATAATTAGTAGAGAAAGAATGTGTAAAATATTTAAATAAAAAAATACTAAAAAGTATATAAAGTATTAAAAAATACTTTTTTAGTTATTTATTTTATATATTTTTCTTTCCCAGAATATATAAATCAATGGTATATTACATTTTTGTTATGTTTTTATTAATTATCAGATTAAATTTTAAAATAAAAAGTTTAGTTTGAACAATTAAAGAATTATAATGATTAATTATAAATAATTAAAATTACAAAAACTAAAATTGCTTAAACTAAAACATTCAAATTTAAACTATATTTAAATCAATCTTTTATTGACATACACAAATAAATACTAATTAAATTTTAAATTATTAAAATATTCTGTACTAATACAAATTTAATACTTCATTAATTAATATCTTAATATTATAAAAAATAAAAAAATTACTATATAATATATCAACAAAAATTAGTATAAGTGATAAGTAACTTAGTATCATTTAAAGTAAAGTATTGAGTTTCACACTTTTCATATAAAAAAATCTCCATTAATAATAGACTCGTTATGTCAAAAGATTTTATTTTATTTCTTTTGCAAAGATTCATCAATTTGATTGACATGAATAGAAACAATTGCAAATTTTTTATTGTTATGGAAAAATCAAAATTCTATATTTATACTTGATACGTATTTATTTTATTTAAATATATAAACAGATAAATCGAACCACAAAATTGATTTAGTAGATAATGTATTCAAAAGACAAAACTTTACAACGCATAAATTAAAAAAGATGTCATATTCCACCAAAAAGAATCACAATTAATCTAAAATCTCTTTCTTCTTTTCCTTATTAAGGCCCAGATGGACGTTGGATAACCCATCAAGCTTTTCAATTGCAACAGTTTCACTCTTCATCCAGTCATGGCTAACCAAGAATCAACCTCCCCTGTCGGATCAAGTAAGGAAAGGATCACATCACTTTTTCTGTTCACTTTTTTATTACATCATTCTCTCTTTAAATACGTGGTTTACATTTTTTTATTCTCTTGTATTAATCCATGATTTTTAAAAAAATCTATTAACTTTGCTTTTGCAATAAGAAAATAAAAATAGCTTCCTTTTAAAAAGAAAATGAAAATGATTCGCAACCTGTCCTGATATTTTGCTCGTAGGTTGTTGGTCTAAATTGTTTAATTCCATGCTACCGACATTCTAGTACTTAGTATTTTTTTAATAAAGAATATAAACTTTAGTATAAATTCTCTTTTACATAGTAAACCTTATCCTCAACCAATTCAAGTTAATTCACGTAAAAAAATCAACCGATAAATGAAAGCGTGGAAAAAGTGACGTTACCAAACGTTAATTTTATCTTATTAAAATTATAAATATCATTGCTAACGTATGAAGATAGACTTGATCAGATTAACATAAATTTATTTGTTCCTTGTTAAGATAAGCTCAATCCACCATATATTAATAAATTACCCTGTGGCATCCAATGAAGACCCATTTGATCATTAAATGAAAAAGAGAGCCAAAAACACAAGAAAAACAAAAAACAAACCCGTTTGAGTCATGTACCAACCATTTTAGTCCGAGATTCTGATGAGTGATTGAATTAAAAACTGATTTACAGAAAGGGGATATTAGTCATTTAATGGCATAGTGTGCCAGAGACTGATAATGTGGAAGGTGGCGGGGACACTTTTGGAATTAAGAACACTAAACTATATCTATCCATATCAGTGCATTATATCAAACACAATACACGTACGCAGTGCAAATATAATCAGGTTGATTCAGTGCATAGGATAAACAAAATTATCATGCTTTTATTTTATCTTTTTGAATAATAAAATGAGATAATTCTATTCTGTAAAAATATTTAGATAAAACAAATCTTCAATGTTGTGTGTTATAAGAAATGACAACTCAAAAGTAATGTGTACATAAAGTATTAAATTTTTTTTATAAATCATGTTAATTGAAATTAATGTTTGATCTGTATTTTTTTTCACTTGTATTTGATTTAATTTAATGAGCCAATTTATGATATTTTTTTTATATTATTGCATAAAATGTAATATATGCAACAAGTCCACATATATTATTTTTTGAACATTTTAAATTTGAAAAATCAAATTTAATACAAAATCCATATTTAAATGACCGGATTCATTAGTAACAACAAGTATTTATCTCTTTCAATAAAAAAATATTTCCAAATGTTTCAGAAATTAATTTTAATATTCGTTATTTTATACAAGAAAATAAACATGAGCACATATTTAAATATTAATTATGAACTTTTAATTCATGGAATATAATGATAAATACAATTTTAGTATTTTGTATATTATTTCGTGCAATGAACGATTGTTGAGTAGTGTGGTTTTGTTAAGAAACTTAGGATATGGTTTTTGAAACACCGAGTTTTGTTACGAATGACGCGCGATAGTGGTGCGTGGGCTGGGTTCTTCATGAATATTAGGTCGCGTGGTTCCAGTTTGAAAACCACGTGTTATATTTGCGCGTGAGGAAAGTGGGAACAGTGAAGGGCGGCTGGGAGCTGAGTGAAGAAAAGCAAGGCCCAAGGCCCAAGGGTTGAGGAAGGGTGTAAGTGGGCCCACTCAGAAAACGACGCTAATTGGAAAAAAAACAAGCAAAGGTAGAGAGAGAAAGACATAGAGAGAGAGTGGGGGTGGTGGGTTCTTTGTGTTGTGAGAGAGAGTATTTATGAACTATGTCTTCTGCTTCATCAAAGCCAAAGAGGTGTGAAGAAATTAGAGAGAGTGAGAGAAAGAAGGAGCATTCTAGAGTGAGAAACAAAAAAAAAAAAAGAGCTTTACTTGAGTGAGGTATTGGGTGGGTTTCAAGAGAGGAGACATGCCCAAGATGAACCAACACTTCTACTACTGTTTGTTTCTTTCTTCATACCTTACCAGATCCCAAAGGTATTATCTTTCTTTCTCTCTCTTATTTATTCTGCCTTATCCTGTCTCAAGTAGCAACCTTTTCCCCTGTTTCCTCCTAACCCTCACTCTCTCTTTTGGAATTATTTGTGGGATCCAAGTTCTGAGTTTAAGTTTGCTATTTACCTTTTGCATGTGGAGTTTGAGGTCATTTTATCTTGTTAATTAAGAGGTTACTACTCACTAATAGTGGTATTTTGCAACCAGTTCTGGGGTAAGATTCTTTTTCCTCTTGTTCTGCTTACTATCTTCTTCTCAGTTTCTTCTTGATGGCATTCATGGGCATTGTGGACATGAGTTTCAGAAGCTATGTCTCGTGTACTGTGCATTGTCTGCGAGGAGACCTCTTTCTCCTGTATTTATTTTCCTCTCTACATTCCAAATGATTAAATACACCCTTAAGGGAAATTACAAAAAAGATATTATATTTGTGGCTTGATGTCATGACAATATTGTACTTTTTTCTCCTTTGGTTTTTGTTTTTCTACTTTTTATCATATACTGAATTTGATTTTAGAGGTAGAGATTGGAAGTTTTGAAAGTTGTTGATGCTATATTACTTATATGATATCCTAGTCATTATCTGGCTCCTTCTATATTCCTCACCAGGAAGAATGTCGTCTGAGCACTTCTTAGCGTCTGTTTGTTTGCAAGTTATGTCAAACATGACACGATTTCTCAAGTTTCCTCCACGGTTGAGACTTGAGATTCTTTTATATGTAATCAATGGAAATGAAAATTTTTTGCATGGGCAAAACTCTCTTATATTTTTACTAACTGCAAAACAATCAGTCCCTTAATTGTCTGCTTAATTTTAGGTTGCTCATTTTGTAGGATATGATTGAAGGTTTTGAGAATTAAGGCTTCAATACTGTTGTGTACATTTTACTCAAGGAATGGTAAGCTATATTTTAACGTAAAAGGCTATTCCTTTAGAATTATCCTTTTTTATAGTCTTATATATATACTTCATAAATACCGACTAAAGCTGCAATAATGTTGATAACTGTGATTTAGGTAGCAGTAGGACAGTGTTGTTGCGGCATAGTAATTTGTCTGAGAGTTGGCCATGGTGGCTTAGAGGTGACTTTAGTAGCATTGATGATGAGAAAATGAAGTTATTGTTGATATTTTGTTAAAGATTGGTAGAATTACTTTGATGTGTGGATACTTCATGGATGATGGGAATCCCAATTCCCATATGTCTTGAGGATCAATCCTTTTAAAAACTATTTTTCAAATGGGGAAAATAGGTATCTTGTATTATCAACATGATCAATTGTAAAAATTATTGGGCAAAGATGTGTCTCCAAAAATTTTACATTAAAAGGGCTTTAATTTGTTGAAGTAGTGAGTTCTCCATTCCAATGATAGTGGAAATTCTACACATTAATAGACCAGGGAACATCAAGTTCCTTGGATCAAATCTTTATTTATTTGTACTACTTGGGAATTGTTATTTATTATTAAAGATGAAAATTTGGTACACTGGGTACTTAGAGTATGTTTGATTTCCCTTTTAAAAAACAGTTTAGTTCTTAAAAATAAAATGTAGTACAAAGGAAATCAAACATGCTCTTGTTCTTTGGTCTTCTCCTTTTTGGTGACTTCCTGATTTGAGATTAAATATATTCCTTATTCTGGTGGCTATTTTGGACCCGTAACATTATGTCCCTCTCTCCTGTCCTTCTGAAATACACACTGTGTTACTTTCCTGAGGAGTGTGAATATGTTTTTTCTGGTGCTGTTTTTTGTCTTATGTATCATGCATTACGTTTTCACTTTCTCTAATAGGAATTTGATATTCCTTGCCTTACATTGCCTCCAATGGAGTCTAACTAGAAAGCATCCCTCTGTCAGGTCAAGATTGGGGTATTTGCTATGTGGAAGATTAGATGAAGCCGTTCTTGTTGAGTCATCCTGATACTATGTACAATTGTTCACAAGTTGATTGTAGTCATTCAATGGTATGTGAGGCTGCTGTTTATGGAATTGCTGCTTGCAGTGTTAATTATTGACTAGTTATTGTCCTCCCTTTTCAGGCTCATGCTCCTTATCCTTGCAGTGATCCTTATTGTAGTTCATTAGTTGCTTATGGACCACAGGCTGTTGTAAGTTTTGTCAAGTACATTTTAACATTTTGTAATGCATGCTCATAGTATTTAGATTCACTCTCTGATGCCTGTTATTGGTGATTTGAGATGTTAAGTACATTTCCTTTTTGTAGCATAGTAATTTAATATGATATCACTCTTTTTTTTTCAATTTTATTAGAATCAACCGCAAATGTTACCCCAGATGCTGGGATTATCGTCCACCAGAATTGCATTACCACTTGATCTTGCAGAAGATGGGCCCATTTATGTCAATGCAAAACAATACCATGGTATACTGAGAAGGAGACAGTCACGAGCAAAGCTTGAGGCACAAAATAAACTCATCAAAAGTCGCAAGGTATGCTTCATAAATACTAATATAAATGGTTATGCATCAGTCCTGTTTATCCTCTTATCAATTTATTGAACTCATGCATGACCATAAGTTATTTTTTTGTGGTTTTTATTCTTTGATATGAATATATTTCACCTGCTTACCTAATTTCTCTGTATAAATATATGAAGTAAGGGTCATGCTTGGTTAATGAATTAGAAGTTGAAGGTTTTCATTGGAAATAACAGGGGGAGGTGTATTGGTTTCTGCAAAGAATAAATTATTTTTGGTTTTTACAATAACCTTCGGACACTGGTTAGCATTTGTCATAAAGTAATAGTGACGTGAGTAATAATAATAGTAATAATCGTTTTGGTTGCAGCCATATCTTCATGAGTCCCGGCACCGCCACGCATTGAATAGAGTAAGGGGATCTGGTGGTCGCTTTCTTAGCGCCAAACAGCTACAGCAGTCTAACGGAGAGCTTGTCACTGATGCACATTCTGGCGCAGGCCCTGTCAATGTTTATCAAACGAAAGATGCAGCAGAGGTGGAAAGTCATCTCGTGAGAAATGGAGAAAATGCATCTTCTATCTCAACCTTCTCAGGCCTAACAAGGATGTCCAGTAACAATGTGAATTATAGGCAGCCTGAGCACAACTTCTTGGGGAACTCCCCAAACATGGGTGGAACATCGCAATGCAGTGGGGGACTCACCTTTGGTGGTGGAACTCGGCAATGTGCTTCTGTTGGTCGGTGAGAGGTGGAAGCTGGCAAGATCAAGTTCACACTGGTCTGGCAAATCATCCTTGGCTTAGTCACTTTAATGTATGTGTTTCATATGCTACAAAATGTTGTCTTTTGAAAGACTTTGCATTAGCACTCAGACCTTTGCCAGTGCTTTTGAAAGACTCTGCATTAGCACTCAGACCTTTGCCAGTGCTTTGCTGTGTATTTTTAAATTGCTCTTGCTTCTGTTTAACTGGATCCGAAATGTTTGTGCTTGAAAGTTTAACTTTTTATCCATGTATAGATGGTCCTTGCTTCGCCAATCCATTAATCCCCTATAAAGGAGAATGTTAATGCTGGTTTTTTGGGTTCATTTTGAAGGAAAAAAAATGTCAAGTTTTTATTAAGAAAGAAAAAGAGAGAAAAAGGAGGGGGGAGGAGACATTTGCATTACTCTTCTCCTGTTATTGTTTCTTTATTGAGGAAATTTTCAAATGAGTTGATATTTATTTTAGACAATAATAACTACGTTACCCAACAAGAATATAAATCAAATTCTAGTAATTGAAGCAAGCGATGTGAGACTTCCCAATACTCACCCTCCATAGTTGCCTGCGAAACTAGTTAAACATGGAAATCGGAGAAGCGATGACAATTGGGTATAACGTATGTTCTGATATTGTGTTAAATTGTATTTTGAAACTAATTGACATTAAATGAAGTCGCCCATAGATACATAAACGACGTCATAATAATTGAGGCAATCAAAGGGGGAACTGTCAATAATAATTAATGTGTTCTCAGTAAGATTTTATATATTCTTTTCTTCATTCATGTTAGTATTGGCTTTCTTTGTTCCTTTACCATTATTCTCAGAGGGTGGTAGGCATGGACTTCTTTTAAGTTCTTTTGTTTATAAATTATTAAGTTGAAAATGTTATGGCATTTGATATAATTTTTTAAAAAAGTCCCCAAAAAATACTATTAAAAATTGTTTTTGAATAAATATTTCTATAGAAAAAATGGGAATTTAAAATTTTCATATAAGGTAAGAAAGTCAGATATATTCACGTATTACTATATATATTTTTTTATATACTTTTTAAGCATATTAAACACATTTATATCATTTTAAAGAGTTTTGATTTAAAAAAGATATGATTCCTAATATATATGTGTATATTTCTATCATTTCTTTTAATTATTAAATAAAAATATTCAGTTTTGTATTAAGGTTATAAATATACTTTTTATTTTATACAGTAATAGCAAAATTTTAAAAGATATAGCGAAACATAAAAAGATTTTAAAATAATGGTTAATAAATATCGCTTTCATGGTTATCTCATAATAACATCTAAAATTAGAGGTGTCATATGTTTGATGCAGTTTAAATTGTGACCATATGCTAAGGCCCATGTTACGTTGAAATTTATGCTTACCAATTATGAGAAGAGGAATGATCTACTAGATTTTTTTCTCCTACTTATATACTTTAAATGCTTGCAGTATTCATATTCATGTGATCTATATTAAAAAGATTGTTGCTTGGCTCAATTTTTTACCTCCTTAGATATTGTGGGAACAATTGAGCTAGATAGCTTTTAATAATGTGACGTGAGTAACAAGATTTTTCTAAAGAATCATTCATAAAAGTTGTAATAATTTGTTGGGCAATATTAATTCCACCTAAACTTTAATACATTAATTATTAATCAACCTAAACGTATACCCAGTAACAAAGAAAACCACCATCCACTATCATGTATTTGGAGTATTTATTAAAATTTGTTTTATTATAAAAATACTTTATATCATCAAATTGATTATAACATTTATTCACACAAGTTAAAAAAAATTATAATAAATTAGAGAATTTTGATAATAAATTAAAAAAACATTATTCACTACTTTAAAATATTGTTTTTAAATAAAAAAACTAATGATAAAAAATACAAAATAATATATATAAATTAATATAAAATTTTGCTAAACTTAATCTTGAGGATTCTTAAATAGATTTTTTACTATATAAATAGAAATTTTTTTTATAAAAGAGATGCATATTTATTTGGTAAAGTTACAAAAATATATATTTATCATATTAAAATTATAATAAACATTTTTAAAAATGAAAATTTACCATTATTGATTGTTTATTCCTAATTGAAGAGCTGATATTAATATTTTCCTTTAGATCATATATATGATTTACAGGTTAATTAATTTTAGTTTAATACTTTTCTCCGTTTGGCATCATATCTTGATATTAATTACTGATTTCAAAAGATGAAAATCTAACTGAAAATTAATACGAAAAAATTCAACGTAAAAAAAAACATTACTGAATTTTAGGAATTCAAAAAATTTAATAAGGTACACACAGTATAGGAGAAGAATAGGAAAAGAAGTGGAACCATGACATAACATACATTACATACATACTCATGACATGGTTGGAATGAGTACGTGGGATATGGAAATGAGAAAGGGATGGTATGGTAAAACATAAACATAAGCATAAAAGGCATGGCATGGCATGGGATCCAAAGTGATTTTGTATTGATTCTGATTGGGTCGGTGTTTCCCGAGAAAGAGAAAGCGGCCCCAATTTGAAACTGCAATCCCAATCACTCTCTTTTTTCTACTAAACCTAAGCAATTTAATTCTCTTATGCCATTGGCGAGCGCATGTGCGAATTGAGGCAAAGCAAAGATCAGACTCTGAGAGAAGAAGAAAATGGTTTCATACGTCAACATCTTGCTGTACGGTGTTGGAGGCTTGGTGGTCGCTGGCATGGCATTGCTCGTCGCGTTTCAGGAAAAGCTCGTTTACGTTCCCGTTTTGCCTGGCCTCACCAAATCCTACGCCATCAACCCCTCGCGTCTCAGACTCACTTACGAGGACATCTGGCTCCAATCTTCCGATGGCGTTCGCCTTCATGCTTGGTTCATCAAACTCTTCCCTAATTGTCGAGGTTTCTTCCATTTTCCATTATTATAATTTCAGTTTGCGCAAATTCAGTGTTGGATTGGACTGTTAGGTGGTTCTGGTTTTGGATTAGGTTTGGAGTTACGAGTTAGGACTTCAATTGTTACTGGTTTCCACTTTAACTGGAAAAACGTGTGGCATGGCCGGCCGTAAGTGTAGATCGAAAAGGATTAGGGTGGTGGTTGCTGTGGATTGGATGAGATAGGATGTTTTATGCGCGTTGTGTGATGGAATGAAGTCGCGTTTAGTATGATGCAGATCCAATTGTCATGTGCTTCGTCTGGATTTTGTTTATGTCCTGTCTTAGGCTTGGAGCAACGAGTGTTGTTTTGCTTTGTGAACTTTTTTTTGTCTTGATTTAAAGTGAATGGGTACATGCACTATTGTTGATTGGAAAATCGTTGGTTGAAAATTATGATAAAATACATGTATAACTATTAACAAACTTTGAAGTTTTTGTAATTTGAACTGTTGGTTTTGTAATCAATGGCTGTAAGTTGTAACCGCATTTAATTTTCTTAAGTGCTCCTCCTCACTTTAACACTAAGCTGGTTGAATCAAGGCTCTTCATTTGAAACTACAGAATCTTTTTATGTTAAGGTTGCTATGAACATGCACATTAGACGTATGGTCTTTGTATTTGTTGTTTTTCTGTATTTAGCTGTTGTTCTAATGCAGTTCTTCTTTGTTTTGTTCCACTGTCAGGTCCCACCATTTTGTTTTTTCAAGAAAATGCTGGAAGTATCCTGGTGATAGATATTATGGGTTAAATCGTGATTATTATTGTTGTTCCATATATCTTTACTTGATCAGGTTCAATTTGCTTTTAAAGGCCTTGACTGCTGACTTTTAGATATTGCTCATCGTCTTGAAATGATTCGCATAATGTTGCAGCAGTTACAATGCAATGTTTTCATGCTTTCTTACCGAGGGTATGTGTCAGCCTTGGCACCTTAATCATAATATTTCCCTATAGCTATGTGTCAGGATAAAATGCACATGTCGCTTTTTGACTGAATTGGCACTGATGCATCATTCCATTAATCAGTTATGGAGCAAGTGATGGCTATCCTTCTCAGCATGGAATCATTAAGGATGCTCAGGTATGCTTGTTGATTAATACCCTTATTTTGGTCGTCAAACTTTTTGCTAAGAGTTATTCCAATTTTATTACCTCCTTGTACCCAGGCTGCATTGAATCATCTTTCCCAAAGGTCTGATATTGACACATCTAGAATAGTTGTATTTGGACGATCACTTGGGGGTGCAGTTGGAGCTGTACTAACAAAAAATAACCCTGACAAGGTACCCCCTGCTTAACTATGTATGTTAACTTTCGTGTGGATTTCAGTTGTCGCTGTGGATTGTAGCCAGAAGATAAATGTTTCTTTAGAATATTAATACTATTGTGTACTATAGCTAGCTAGATTCACAAGGCATACAGCAAGACCACATAATGTAGCTCTAAAGTAATTTGCTGAAGTATCTTTTGTCGTAGACAGATTCAGTTCTCATTTCATGATTATCAACATTATGTTAGAAAAGAAAATTGAACTTGTTGAATGAATCTTGTTTTTGATTACTGAGTCAATTTTATTGCTCTTCCCCCTTGTACTCAACCACACATGGAAAAAAATGTGATGCTAATAGGATCATAAATTCATGAATCTAGTATGCTTTCCAAATGCTCTTTTAAGTCATTTCCTCAAATAGGAGTGGAAATCTTTTCAGTATACATATAGGAAGCTTCTTTTTATTGCTATTATGTGTTGTGAAATAATCTTGGAATCCCTTCCTTCAGCATTTTTTTCTTTGTTATGTATATTTATTATGAAATGTTTTACTTAGAAGCATTGTTACGCCTAAAGCATGAATAAGATTCTTTAATACTAAAGGGGCCAGGTTTTGGCACTTATTTTGGAGAAGTATCCTTTTCAAATTTAATTTTTGAACAAAAAGAATACTTCAATTATTTTTTTTAATACAGTAATAAGTAAAATATGAGAGCTGTGAAAATGGCCACCATGCCTTTTCTTTCATTCAAAATAACTCCAGATTTTTTTTCCAGTTTACTTATGAAGAATCTCTTTTTTTTCCTTTGGTTTGTATTTGCTATTTAATTTAGTGAAGTTAGAATTCAAGCAGAGGCTTTACCTTGCAACATGTTAAAAGCTTTCTGCTTCTGAGTTCTGACATTTCTTCTATGTAGAAAAAAATTACGTGACTAATTTAAAGTGACTTGGTCTAAACAAAGACTGGTGCAATCTTCTGTTCTGAAATTTTATCAGGCATATTCATGTTATTCTCGGGAACAGTTTGTTTGTACCCCTTTAATCTACATTCTCTGTTGACTTTCTGTGTTTTAGGTTGCTGCACTTATACTTGAAAATACATTCACATCTATATTGGATATGGCTGGAGTTTTGTTACCTTTTTTGAAGTGGTTTATTGGAGGCAGCTGTTCAAAAGGTCCTAAACCACTCAATTTTCTTGTACGTTCTCCATGGAGAACTATTGATGTTATTGGCGAGGTGAGGATGCTGGAAATATATTTTGCCTTGTACTTTTACATCTATTGCAATTAAGTCACTTGGGAGTATTGACTTGCTTTTTCATAATTGATACATAGATGGTTGACTTGGGCTTAATCCTTTGTCTTTTAAGGATGTTAATTTTAAACTTTTAAGATCTCTCTCTCTAGAAAGGAAGATTGTATTTCTTTGCTTTTTACCATTTCTTCTATAAGAGTCTGGCTAGATTCACGTGTTTGTGCCCCACCTTCTATTAATATATTAATTTCAGATCAAGCAGCCTATCCTCTTTCTCTCTGGATTGCAAGATGAGATGGTCCCCCCATCACATATGCAAATGCTCTATGCTAAGGCAGCTCCTCGTAATAATCAGTGTCTCTTTGTGGAGTTTCCTACTGGCATGCATATGGATACTTGGCTGGCTGGTGGTGATCACTACTGGAGAACAATTCAAGAGTTTCTTGAACAGCATCTTCCAGAGAAAAGGGAAGACAGATCATCCAAAAATGAAAATGGTAATTTTTTCACTTCATGCTGTGTTTTAAAACTAAGATGGATGTATTCAGAAAGTGGGATAGTTTTTCCTTAATCAATTGCATGAGCATGAATAATATACAATTTTTGTATTTTTAAGATGTGGAAGTTTCCTTTCCTGTTTTGTATCATTCTTTTATATAGGCTCTCGTCTGGGATTTGTTCTTTTTGTGTTGTTCTCAAACTTCATCTAGCTTATGATCCATTTTTATCCAACACTAACTGTTACCAATCTCCTTTGTTGCTCTTGCTTACTTGTTTTTTTAATACTGCTGCCAGATATTGGGGCGAGGTGATTGGCTGACATTAGATTATTTCAATGATACTAATTGGCTAACTAAGGATTCAAACGGTTTCTGCCCTTTGAAGTTGCAGCCCGTAAGAGCTCCCTGTGAGAAGATGCTTCCTAGTTCCTACTGGGATGTGCTGCACCGCGTCAAGCTATTTCATTGGACAATTTTGATTGGGTTGTGGTTTCCAGAACTTGGAAGATGCCCAGATAATTTGTGATACCCATTTGCTATACTGTACGGCGTCTACATTTTAGATGCCAGATCGAATTTGACAAATGACATGTAGAATAATAATTATTCACCTACATGTAGTTTATGTACTATGCTTTTATGCTGCTGCTGTTAATTAATGGGTTCATGTCTTTCATAGCACGCTGAGACAGCGACGTCGATATCTGTCAGTTGATTCCTATTTTCTTTGATGTTTTATTCTTTATATAGAAGTTTTGGATGTCAAATTTAAATATTTATCTTTATGCACGGGCATTTGAGCAACCAGCTCACTGACATATCTGAGTTCGGATATTGTTTTCGTACAAGTTTAAAATTTGCCTTATTCAGCAGTTTTTTAAATGCCTGCTGTTAAATAAGGCTTTTTTGCCAAAAAAAAAATAATGTTTTTTAGACTAATATTAAATTTAAACTATTTTTTATTGTATTTTTTTTCACGTCATACTAAATATTGTACTTATAGGAGTGATGTAATTTATTTTTTAAACAATTATTGCTTTTTACCATACGATAATAATTTTCTTAAAGATATCGAAAGGACCGATACTCTTTTGAAAAATAACAAAACGTAAATATCTTACATGGTTGCTCCCAAAATGCAACTCTCACAGCTAACTGGGTGTGGAACTTCATTTTTCGACCCTCGAATTCATATGTGAAACAATATCTTTCGAGCTTGAGATCCTCCTCATACAAATCTTCCAGAACGTTTGACGAGATTCTCCTCCTTTTTATTATATAGAACCTCCGCAATATCTTGTTTTTTAAGGATGAAGGACTAGGAGCTTCCTGCTCATGACCTTGGTTGGCGGATCCATTTTGGTTGCTCACTGAGACAATAACATCAATGATTACAACAACAATAATAATAAATTAAATATTAGTTTTGTAGCTGTAATACTTAAAAATAATAAAAAATTAAGTATTGGAAGTGATATTTGTTTAAAAAACAATAAAAATTTATATCACTTTTGGAAATATGATACTTAATATAACGTGGTAAAAAAATGTTTCAGGCAAAAAATTATTATTTTTTTTACAAAAAAGAGACAAATTTATAATTAATGAATTATTTCCTTAGAATATGAAAAGGAAATAAGAAAGAAAGCAGTAGAGTAGAAAGTAGGAGACAAGAGATAATAAATGGAATATAAAATTTTGTTTGTTTGGATTAAGAGAAATAAGAAAATATAATATAAATTGAGTTTTTTTTAACTTGTTTTATATTAAAAGATAAGTATATTTAATGACAATTAAAACCTTTATAATTTAAATAAAACTCTGAATAATGGTTTTTTAAATCATTGTAATAAAAACTTCAATGAAATTTTCTCTGTATTAGAGAGTAGGTTTTAAACGCAGGCTCCGCTGGCAATAACTATTTGTCATCAATCGATCGTAAAGGTTTCATACTTTCATTTCATTTACACCTTTTGTAAATTAGTTATGATTTAATTTTATAAATGATTTTTTAACTTGTTAAATACTACGATGTTAAAAAAAATTTAAATTTTTTATTAAAATTTATGTATTTAATGTATTAAATTTTATAATATTTTATTATTTTAATAAAAAATTATATAATTTTTATTATATACTGTCAAATACATGTTAAAAAATTAGTTTTACAAATTACCCTGAGTGCTTTGTAATAGTATCACCATTGTTATTTTCTATACTTGTTAATCCTCCTTTATTATTACTACGCATTGCTATTTCCTTTTAAGGATATAAAATAAATTACGGTTAGTTTCTGTATTTTACTATATATATATAATTTATTTAATAATATAATATTATATATATTTATTGTATAAGTTATCTCTAATTTTTTACATAGATGTATAAATAAAAAAAGAAAAAAGTAATATAAAAATTATTTAATAAAATTTTATTAAAATTTGAAATATATGAATATAATTTACCTAAAATTTATCTATCTGGTTATCTAATAGTTTTTAAAACAATTTTTTTTTAAAGTTTATATATATATATATATATATAAAAGCACAAACTAACAAGGGATCTTATTCTTATCTTTTATCCAAAATTAAATTTAAAGTGCATTAAATATGTTTGGATTTAAATTTAATAATGGGTGGGTGAATTGATTAACCATATCCACTCACTCGCTCACACACACACAAATTGCTTTTCTCCGTCTTCCCTCTCTTTTTCTGCTCCTTACCGGAAATGCCACTTTCTGCTTCTCGCAGTCTTCTCTGATAATCCATCTCTCTCCCTCTCCGCAAATTACCTTATTCTCTCTCTCTCTCTCTCTACATCTCTTTGTGTTTCACATTTTTCCATTGTTGAAGGAGAGAGCTCCTTAGTTGTAGGGTCATGGACGGTGGAGCGCAGTACAACCCTCGCACCGTCGAGGAGGTTTTCAGGGACTTCAAAGGACGAAGAGCCGGCATGATCAAGGCTCTAACCACTGGTCTCTCTCTCTCTCTCTCTCTCTCACACACACACACACACACTTCGTAGTGTGTCACTCGCTCTTGTTCTTCCGATTAATTCTCTCAGTTTCACTTTAGGGTTCCCTGCAAACTTACCTGTTTTTATACATTCTAAAATTCAACTTTTCATTTCCTTTCTTGGCAGAGGTTGAAGAATTTTACCAGCAGTGCGATCCTGGTTAGGGCTTTTTTTTTATGGCCTTTGCTCTCTCATCGCATTTATTCTCTGTTAATGCACGTGTTTTGGGTCTGTGATTATAATTAATCGCCTTTTATGTGCGTGACTACAATGTGTGGTTTCTTTTCCTTGCTAGTTAGATGGTATTGTATAATAGGGCTATTGATATTTGTTTTTGGCATGTGGTTTGTTTGACAAATTTGTTTGTTTTGTTCCTTTTCTTTTTCGTTGTTTCCTATGCTCAAATTGTTGCATTATGTCGTAAATGATGTGTAGATCAGACAAGCAAACTACATTGTAATCTTATATCGACGCTTCATTTGTTCACTTGTTGTGCTTGTTGTGTTTGTTGTGCACCAGAAAAGGATAATCTTTGTCTGTACGGATTCCCCAATGAACAATGGGAAGTTAATTTACCTGCGGAGGAAGTTCCACCAGAACTTCCTGAGCCTGCATTGGGTATAAACTTTGCTAGGGATGGGATGCAAGATAAGGACTGGCTGTCTTTGGTTGCTGTTCATAGTGATGCATGGTTACTTGCAGTGGCTTTCTACTTCGGGGCGCGATTTGGTTTTGATAAAGCTGACAGGTATAATTCTGATTTCTGATCCTTCATTCTGTTGTATTTTGCGTAAGCATTCTCTAGGTTGGACAAGAAACGTTTTTAGATGCCTCATTTACTAGGGAACTTATGTCTCATTTTGTGGCAATGCTGTTTCGATTTAGTTGCTAGGAAAACATAATTTATCTTGGTACACAAGAAATATTGCTTGGAGAAGGAGATCAAGAGATTGTTTTGTTTCACCACTATTTGGATTTCTCTGCAGTTTTTCATGTCTTCTGAATATTTGTTTGATAAGCTGTAATGCTTGGATAAGCAAATTTTCAATGGAAAAGGTTTTTAAGTAGAAATAAAATACTTGCTTTTGTCTAAATCAAGTGAGAAAAGCATTAGCAAGGCAATATTCTTATGGTGGATTGTATTCATAGTTATCAGCGTGCAGTAGCGACCCCATAAATGCTATAACAGTATAGCGCACAGCGGGACAACCGCTATTCTGAATTTTTTTATACAGATTACATAAAAAGGTTTAAACATACTCAAAATTCATCACATATTCATAATTAAAAAAAATTCATAAGTATACAAGTGAAGGAGAGAGCTTAGACATAATAATGAGTCTGGGTCTTTGGGAGCAGATGACAAAAAAACGTCAGACTTAAGAGAACCAAAAAACTAGAACAAGGAGAGTTCTCAGACAAAATAAATAAAAAAATAATAATACAAAGTCAGTGACCAACAAAACACAGAGAGAGCAAATAGAAAAAAAGCAGAGTAAAAGGAGAGAAGAACAGCAACCATCAGGACAGTGAAAACAAAGGGAAAATAGGGCACTTGACTGAAAATGCAGAGTCAGTGGACAGAGAGCATGGGCTTGCCGAAACACACCAAGAGCTGACCGGAAAATACCAGGATGTGGCCAGAAAGTCATCACAGAGCAATGGGCTGATGAGTCGCACAGTAACAGAAGAGCAAAGAGAGAGGGTGCAAAAATCGGAACACGGAATGAAAGATTTTGACTTTTCTCCCTAGCCCTTTGGACATCCATTTTATTATGACCTGAAAATCGCAAAATACCCCTTAGCTAATGTTAAAGTTTAGGACATATCAAGTTTTGGAATGTCTTCCACATAGTGGCCCAGTGTGCGCAACACTGCAATTTTCATTGCTATAGCGCCTGCAACAGCGGCGACATTGAAACGTGATGTGACAACCTGAGAATAGTGGCCAACTAGAACTTGTCAGTGTCCACTCCACTCTGTCCGAATTCTGAAATTGTGCTTTTGCCACATCATCAAGTGTTGGGTGTCCAATGCTTTCCCAACCATAGTAATAACGATAAAAAACTATTTGGCTTAAAAAAAAATTAGTAATGATATTTTTATTTTAAATAAATGTAACTATATGGAAAAGCTCGTCGAACCTGTGCTCTGTTTTATACTAGTCTTTGGAAATTCTAAGTAATCTATTTCAGATTTTATATTTGGTATTTAAGGCATGGTTTATTTTATAAAAAATTGGGAGATTTGGTTCAAAAATTATATAAAAGCTCAAAATTTTTCATTCTTGGTAATTTGGTTTAAATAAAAACCAGTTCTTAAAAATTAGTTTTAGTTATAAATCAATTTTAAAAATTAGTTTTGGTTAAATATCAGTATTGTTTATAAACTGGTTCATATTTGGTTTGAAACTGGTTTAGTCAAAACTAAACTGATTATGAAAAAAATAAATAGTTTGGTTTTGAAATCCAATTTACATGACTGGTTTAGAATTGAATTTGGTTTGGTTACCAAACCAATCCATGCATTCCCCTAGTCATGATGAGCATACTTAGTCATGTAATTATGCAGAAGGAAAGACATCTTATACAGAATATTCATTTTTTATTCTAATTTTTTCTCTCTAAGGGTAGAATAGATTTAAAACCTTTATAGTGTTTAATTGATTCTATATGATGAGCTGTTAGGCATAAAATTTCCTTTTACATCAAGCCTCCATATTTTTGGATTTGGTTAACAGGTATAACGCCATAATTATCTAGGTCATTTTTTGGCGTGGTTTTTGGTCTCTAAATAGTGATGATGTACAAGTTTATGTGATATATGTCAACAAAATAGGTTCATATCATTCAAAGGTTGACTGTAGCCTGTGTTTCGGCAGATTTAAATTTATGATTTTATCACGGTTTATGATAATGTGCATTTCTCTTTGCAGGAAACGCCTGTTCACTATGATTAATGATCTACCGACAATATTTGAGGTTGTGACTGGAAGTGCCAAAAAACATGCCAAGGAAAAGTCATCCGTTTCAAACCACACCGACAACAAATCAAAAGCCAGTTCAAAAGGGGTAAAATAAGCCCTTCCTTGTATAACATTCTTGTCTATATTTTTTTATTTTCATAATTGCTCTATTTGAAAATGTTTGGACTCAAGTAAAGCCTGGTTGACGATAGCTTTTCACTTTTTGGATTTATAAATCTTTTCTTGCTTTTTACTTAAGAGTTGTGCTGCTGCTTGCTTATTAATGTATTTCATTTTTAACGTGTCATTTTTGCAATATTGTTTCCTTATTGGAACAAAATAGCGAGGATCTGAATCAGGGAAGTATTCCAAACAAGCAAAGGACGAGGAGGATGAGGGATTGGATGAAGATGAGGAGGAGCATGGGGAGACATTGTGTGGCGCATGTGGGGAGAACTATGCATCTGATGAGTTCTGGATTTGTTGTGACATATGTGAGAAGTGGTTCCATGGCAAATGTGTGAAGATCACTCCTGCCAGGGCTGAGCACATTAAGCAGTATAAGTGTCCCTCATGCAGCAACAAGAGAGCACGGCCTTGATATAAGCTGAGATGTGGGTCAGTTCTCACTCCTTGTAATTAAATCGTGTTGGACTTCTAACTTGTCATTAGCTTAGGCTTCCTTTGCGATGCCATGATGATGAGGCATATGTATTCAGTACTTTGGGTCTTGTGAACTTGATAGTGGAGATATTTTTTAATATTTGATAGTTTGCAGGTTCTGGACATGTCTCCAACCTTCATCCTTTTCTGGGATACTTCTAATCTTAGTATATGATATGGCACACAAGCGCGTGTGCACTCACATGTATGTATATGTAAATCATGTCTGCTAGCATGATGCATTGGATTGATCAGATTTATGGTCCACACAATGTAGCATTGGCATCTGCGCTGGCTTTGGAAAAATGAGAGCTCATTCAGTTTATTCCTTAAGGCTCCCTCCGAGGAGCCATTGGAATATGGAAAATATTTTGGTAGTGCTGTTTACTCCAATGGGTTTGGGTGGTTGCCGAAAAAAAGTGGGGTTGGGCAGAATAGGAGATTGGTTGGGCGAATGATCGAATAACGTGTTTAATTGTCTGATGCTTCATGCTCTGGCAGTCTGGCTACTGTAGTTCATTTGGCTGAGGGAGTAGGGGAATGGATTGGTAAGAGTGATGTGCATATTATATTGTGCTTTAATGATCTGCTACTGGAACTCGGTTGTATTCATTAATTTTCTTCTCATCATTGTGGTAGGGGGCTGAGTGTTGATTCATCAGTGAGTGAACATGGTCGTGAAGTCGGTGTTCTTTCGAAAGGAACCACAAAAGACTGCAGATATTTTCATTTATATGAACGAGGCCACAAGGGTGCTGGTTCATGCAATGGTATTCCACCTTTCGTGAACTGCAATATAATTTACTGGTTGTGATATACGAATACAACAGACGTATGTAGATGGCTTCACAAATATAAATATACGAATATAATTTAATGGTATAATACAAATGGCTTTACAAAAAAATGGTTTTTACAGTAAAATCTATCTCAATAATAAAAAATAATAAATAAATATATATATATATATATATATATATATATATATATATAAACACTGACAACCTACTGCCAAGGTCGATTCAATGCAAAAGTAGAATCCGATGGCTAAATGAATCAACGACTCCAAACATTACCTCTCACAAGGGTAAACCCTCAAGCAAAAAACCGAATCGCCCACTCCACCCACCAGTCAACGTATTCTTATAGTTTTATTGGGTATGATGATGTTGGGATTTCTTATGTGTGGATTAAGTGCTACCAATTCCTTCCATTTTGTTCCAGTACCATAAATACAGGATGATATGCTCCACAATGTATCACCAGATTGTACCTTTGTGGTGGCTTGAGCACTAGAATTAGAAGCAGCCTTTGATTTCAATAATGGGTTCTTATTACTTTTCCCCATCCCATTAGCAATCAACCAGCGGGAACCAGACTGTTGTTGGCATGGAGTGCCCCAGAGCTTCTTTCTGTGAGGGACGGTCTTCAGGCCTGCTACATGGACTTCTGCAATTCTGAACTGAGGAATGCTCTCCTCCTCAGCGTTTTCCTCCTCTTTGTTGGCCTTCATCTCCACACTTGCCACTCTTTCACATTCATCATCCTCATCATTATTGTTCCCCGCCTCAGACACACACGTGTAAATTTTTTGCTTAGGTGGGACAAACACTCTCTCGACTTGTATAAGCGCAAGCATTGGTGCTCCAACATGATAATAATTTCTCAAAGGATCACGGAGTTGCACCATTAACGCTACTGTGAAATTGTTTCCCAACAAACCACCCTTACTGCCAGGGCTTTTTCCTCGTTTCCTCTTACCCTTTAAACTCCCACATATTAAGTCAACAGAATTAGCATGATGGGCAGCAAGAAGTTTGGAAGTGTGCCCACTGATATTATCTATATCATCGATGTCACCAGAATCCAGCCTCATCCATTCATCAAGAGTTAATGATAGGCCCATTATCCCATCAACATCATCACTGTTGTCTTTTATATCCAACAACTGTAATGCAGCAGCTCCTTCCAGGCCTAGGGACCCATTAATATTGACCCCCGTACCTCGGAGAGCTGAAACATCCCCAAAGGATTGTGCAATTATATTTGATGGTGCATCCTCCTCCGACATCCCAGATTGTATTCTCAAACCCTCCAGTGAAAGTGCTTCAATTTTGTCCATAGCTAATGGAGTAAGATCTTCCAATGAAACAAACTCTGAGCCTCTCTCATTGCCAACCCAACTTGAATTTAACTTACCAGACTTCAGTCCACCAGTTAATGTTCCTTCCAAGCGCCTTTGCAGGCAAGTAGAATCTTGGCCCGTTACCGAATCATGTTGCAGATGGCATTGCCTAAATAAAGCCAAGCTAAATTCAATTTAAAAATTGTAAATTAATGGCCTTTAAAATCTAACTTCAAGACAAGTGCTAAAAAAAGGATAGACAAACCAAAGTTCTCCCTCCAAGACTGGCTTCGCTTCCCATGATATTTGTTGCATTGTCTTCCCTGTGATATCTTCCAGAGGCATTAACTTGTTTGCCTGCTTTGAAAGCTTCTCCAGTCCCACTGAAGCCAAACACTGCAAAATCTCCATTATCCCAGAACCCATTTCAGCAGGCATCACAAGAGGGTTAGAAACCTGCATGATTAAGCTCCCACAATTTTTACTATTCGTGAAAAGTGAGGGATTCATTGACCGTAGAAACCCCCCATCTTTTGTCTGAAGAAGATGACCTAACCCCTTTGCCAGAGGAGGTAATGTGAGAGGCTCTTCAGGTAGAAAATGTATTGGACTCCCAAAACCAGTAAAGTCTTTCGGTGGAGAAGGCTGAAAGGTCTTCTCATCCAAACCCCATTTACGCATTAAGGCTTCTGTTTCCAACTCTTCTATCATCTGTGCTTTCTGTTTGCCCCTCACATACTCAGACAGAATTTGATGCCCTTTCTGTTGATCTGGCAAAAAGGATGGCGGCTTAATACCTGTAGAAAGCATCCACTGCTCAGATTCAAAAGAAGCATCATAGCCACTGTCTACTTCATTATCATTGCCTGTGCCAAAATCAAACAAAGAGAAGCCCTCAGACTCAGCATCCTTCTCAAATTGTCTTAAAAGGCGCTCTCTTGGAGACTCAGGCTCGGTTTCAAAACTAAAACCCCTTGGACTATGGTCTATGCCTAGCATACTTAAAAATTCACTGGCAACTGATTCTGTAATATCATCCAAGCTACGTGCCTTTCTCATCTTACTTTCAGATTTGGCTTCAATAATTTTAGGAGATTCCATTGCCACTGTCTCAAACTCTGTGACTTTATTTAAAGCTGATTCTAGTTCTTGCAGTAGATGTTCTTTCGTGCATTCGACATCCTTTTCATAAGAAAATTCATGTACCACGAAACTGTCCCTAGAACTGTCATTCAGTTCATCCAGGGAATACTCTCTAGCACTGTCTGGAAAAGATAATTGCATACCAGCAGTATGAAGGGGGCCGATACCGTCAATTGTATGAGAATTAACAACAACTTTTACGAGGGATTCCTCTAGGTTAACATGTTCATTTGATGAAAATTCGATGCCCTGATCAACTACAGAAAATTCATTACCTTCGCATTCTTCATGATTTTCTATTCCAGAATCAGGTAAAGGACAACTGTCAGGCTCAACTGTCCCTATGTTTTCTAGAAACATGCTAAATTCTGGTTTGTCATGCACTGCACTGCATGTTTTTCCTTCAGTACCTGGATTCTCTTCTGGTTTTTCTTTTTCAATATCAGTTGAACAAACAGCCAGTTTCATCGGCTCAATATTTTCTTTAAATCCTTCAAGTTGAGGTTTGTCATGCTGAGGACTACAAGTCTTTTCCTCATCAAATTCCTTGCATAAAATGTCCACTAAGCTGGCTGCTGCGGACATTGATGATGGCAACACCTCATGAAGATCCTTTACCTCATCGACATTTTGAGATGAATAATAATGACCGGTAAAGCTCGGCAAACTTCCGGTACGTCTGACAAACCTGTTAGCCTGACTAGGTTTGACATCTGGGTCGATCAAATGAAAGCTACTTTGCCTGGATGTCATTACATTAGGAGCACCACCATGGTTGTCTCTAGTACCACTACTATTATAATCAACAACAACATACCCAAAAGTGACATTCATTACAGCACCCCTGGCCTTTCCTGATAATCTAAAACTTGTAGTGGACTTCCCTGAGCTTTTCTCCTCCTCAAGCTCTTCCAGTGTGAGAGGAAGCAACCTTGTGAGATCCACCCTGTGCTTCCCCAAATCGAGTTCCGGCGCGCCAAGCATAGAAGCATAGAGCAAAAAATGCTTAGCTTCATATTTTGCAGAATTGTGAGGTCCACTCCTACTTCCATATATTGAACAAGGGTGATTCAAAACCACCTCTTGAAACTCAGCTGCACCTTGAATCACTTTGGCTGGAGGGGTCACCAAAAGCACATCCTTTCTCTTCCAATACACACAAAGAAAAGAATCATTGAAACTTGAAGGCAAACCTTCAATCAAATGGACATGGAGAGAAAAACTACATTTGAACCTCCTACCGCGGGTGAGGGAAAGGGCCTCCAATGGCTTCCAACTCCATCTGGATTTCTTATCCTTAGACATTGATTTGGGATCATGTAAACATGATTTGTCGGCGGATTTTGAAGATGTTGAATTCACGGAAGAGCTTTTTTCTCTGTCCAGAGCTTTGTTTATGGTTTCAACATCTTTTAACAACTTGTTCTTCTCTTCCCCACTCTTTTTACCACCACCTTCAAATTTCGGCATTCTCTTAAAAATCAAACTAAACAGGACATAACCCAAAATTCATTAAATTAGAAACCCAATTCTTCAAACATGGAGAAAACAAATCAAAATACTAATGATGGGTTGCAAACGTGAGAAGAAGGTGTAAGCGAAATTGAAAATTCAAACCCTGTAACCATAATAATGATAAAAAACAAAAAAGCAAATTTTGATTGCTGGAATAGATTGAGAGATAAAGAGAAATGGGAATGGAAGAAAAAACGAAAAGGAAAGCATGCGAAGGGAACAGAGATTGTTATTTGTTTCCCCAGTCCCTGGGTTGCCGCTCCCTCTTTCAAACGAATGAATTATATAATATTAACAGGCAAAATTTTATTTTCAATTTATGCCCTTAGGCCTTATCTCTGCTCAATTCTTATTTTCATACTCTTCAACTCTCTCTATTTGTGTTCGTTACACCCATTTCCCTTTTCTTTTCATTTGTTGCAGCTGCCCGTCGGAGTTTTCTCGATTGTCTGTGTTTCAATAAAAATAAACACAACTTTAATATAATAGATGTGTTAGTATTAATGAGAAAGTGACTTAAAATTAAAAAAAAAAAAACTTTCATATTCATTAAAAGAAAATAATATACTTTGAGTATAAAAGATTTTTAAGCATGTTAGTTATTGTTGTAGGACTAAGTTATTTTTATCTATAAAAATAATTTTTTATAATAATTAACTGTAAAAAAATATTAAATTTTTCTATAATAATTGACTTTAAAAAAGTTATTATTAAAAAATTAATATTTCTTAAAAAACTGAAGCTTTAAAAAATTGTGAAACAAAGTCTACAAGCTTACAAACTGTAAAATAAACATGTTCTTAACTGTCCAACATGATCTCATTACATAATGTTAACACTTCACTTGTGCGTCTTGTTATATCAACTACATCTTCTCATTTTATTCCTTCTTTTCACTTTAAATTCTTTATCATAAATTTTTCATGCTTTTATATATTTCTTTAACAGACTGTACACTTCAATCAATTTCTATTGCATTAGTGTTTATATTTTTCTTTAATTTTTTCTCTCCCTAAAACTTTCCTTATGTAAGTTCATTCAGAATTAGAAACAGAGTAGTGCATCGTAAAAAAAAAAAGATGTATAAATTTTAAAAGAGTGAGGTTATTTTGAGAAAAGGTGCAACACAAAATGAAGAAAAGGTGATTGATTTTAAAAAATTTATAAAAATAATAATAATTGTGTTCACATAATTTTTGTTAATTTCACCTCAATCGTATATTTATTTTATTAAATCTATTCCTTCAAAATTCTTCAACATTGTCATTCTTGTGTTTTTACATAATTTAAAATAGACATATTTGAAGAGAAATTTTTAAGTAGTTCTCTAACTTATAATCTTAACTACTCACGTCTTGTCACGTATTTATTTTTTACAAAACAAATACATATATACTATGTTACTATTGATCAGGATTATAGTAGTTCTGGTTATAATTTTTTTTTGTATATTTTTATTTGGGATCCAATTATTTACACCTTGGTATATGTTTATTTTTATGTTTTTTACAAAAATTATATACAAGTTATGTTACTGTTTGGTTGAGAGCGTTAAAAAATTTATCTTTTGTATGAGACGTTTCAAATGGCAATGACTTTCTAATTCTTTCTAAAAAGTACGACCATGACTTGGGAGAAGTACCTGTGTACGGCTAACAAAAGCTGTTGTTGGATTGAGAAGAGTATTGGACCGATAAGTTAAAAACATGGATTTGCAATATATTAACAATATTATTATTATTATCATCATATTATTTAATTTAAATGGATGTTGGTAAATTTGAAAAGTATAATTAATTACTATATGAAATATTTTTTAAATAATCACAAGTGCAGTGTATGGAAACGAATCACATGCATTGTGGGGGGGAATATCACAAGTATTTAATGGGCATGTCTTTTAGTTCTGGGATCTTCCAGGTGTACTTGGATTTTCTAAAAGAATAAAAACCAATATTTTCTAAAATAATCCATTTTCCCTTGAAAATTTTACAAAATAGATATGGATATTCTTTCGGCTTACAAGAATATTCATATCATTATAAATTCATAATAAAAACTAACCATAAAAAATCAAGTTTCAAAAATTTTAATTTAATAAACTAAAATTAATTAAACTAAATGGAAAATATTTTAATGATAATTTCTAAACATTTTATTACACATTTGATTTAAATTAAATATTATATAAAAATCGATGCACACGTGTCACGCTGAGAAACCCATGTCTACCATAATGGTATTTAAGTCGGGCACATAAAATAAATGAATAACCAGAAAGTTCCATTCTAGAGTGCCTTATGATTTAAGTTAAGCTTTCATAACAGATTTGATTTTGCGGGAACTAACTCTCTCTCTCTCTCTTCGCGTTAGCGACTGTGTAGTAAAAATGTCCGACAACGATGAGCATGCAGCAGAGTATACGGATGGTGAATCGCCTCCGAAGCTGAAACAGAGGTTCAGAGATAGATCTAAGGTAAAGCTCGACCCGTGTCCTTTTTTTCATTTCATTGCTTCCAAGGTTGATTTTTATTTTTATTTTTATGTGGGTCTCTTTTGGTTTTTGCTAAATGAAGGAGATGCTGTCAAAACAAGCTGTGCAGACGAAGCAAATGCTTTCCAAACAAGCCGTTAAGATTGCCAAACAGGCTGAAGAACACGAAAGGTTCATTAACAAGGTGACTTTGCGTTTCCCATTCAATTTTTGGTTTTAAAATGTTTTTTTTTTTTTATATATAAAATACATATATTTTGGGGTGTTAATCAATTCGGTGGGTTTATTAATTATTATAGTACTAATCTTGACCCGTTCTTGTATAGTCTTGTGTTGTTTGTGTATCTGACTGTGTCAATATTGAACGTGTTTCAATTGTTTATAATTCAAATGTTAATGTTCAGGTGACTCATCTTTTGGGGGTTCTTGGCTTTGGTGGGTTTTGCTTCCTCTTGGGGGCTAGTAAGTTGATGAGTCTCACTCACTAGTGCATTTGCAGCGTTTTGGAATGTTTTTCTTTTCGCAAATTCATTGTTTTTTTTTTCCTTCTTGTTATTTCTGCCAGGACCCCAAGACATTCCCTATGTATATTGTTTGTTCTATGTCATTTTTGTTCCTCTTCGTTGGATATACTATAGGTTCAAGAAATGGCATTACTATCTACTGGTAAGCTGACATATCTCAAATTCTGTTCTTGAACTGCACTGCAAATGTATAATGTATTTGCTCATTATTTGATTCTGGAAGCTTATATTTGTATCTATGATGAGTTTAGCTTTCGCAGACACAACTTTTGTCTTGTGGTGTTCACACAAGATGAGATTCATATCATGAATGACAGGTACAAGTCTGATATATATACAGAGTGTGCAACGCAATTAAAGCTTGCAATGACAACCATAACTATCTTGCTAAATTAGCTGTCATATTTTGAGTGACTCAAAAAATTCAACTACCTGTAAATAATTAATCTGTAATTATATCAAATTTTGAATGCAAAACTGCCAACTGCTTTATTGAAGAGTACAATTTTTTTTTATCATGAAAAAGAGTACATTTTTAAAGTTGAATCAGGCCTTAAGGCACAGAACCCAGCAATAAAAAAATATTCAGGTTGAGGTATTGGGTATCTATAGAATTGAATATGTAGCCTTAGACAGAGGAGGTGATCCTTGATTATGCGTACGTTTCATTTGTTGTCTAATACCAATGATGGATGATTAGTTGCACATTATAAATATTTGCTTATCATTTTTTTTGTCTTATATCAAAAGGATGGTTAATTGAATTGTGAAATGCCAACATGATTGGGACATGTGATAGTTTTAAAAAAAGATGACTTTTTTTTCTGTCCTATGTTTCAGGACTTTTGCTATTATGCCAACACAATCTTCCTGGTTGATCTTCTTTTTTATCCAAGGAACGAGAAGCTTTTCATGGTTTGTTTTTCTTTTGCTGAGGTAAGAGCATTATCCACTGCAATTTGACTCCTTGACCAAAGAATGATTCATTTGTCAACTCCGTCATATTCAAGTGCTTCTGCAGGGGCCATTAGCATGGGCTTTGATTGTTTGGCGCTGCAGTTTGGTTTTCAGTTCTGTTGACAAAATTGTCAGTGTTCTTATCCATCTTTTACCTGGTAAATTATACTTCCATTTTCATAGGTTGTCCTCTTTTTTTTTTCCTGCAAGAAATGACATTTTGGAAAACTGTAGGCTTTTCTACCATGATAATTATTGACTTTTTCCTGCAATAGTCAAATATTGGGTGTAAGGTGTGTCTGTTTTTATCCAGAAGAGTATGTACAGTGTATGTTGTATGCATATTTTGCGAATATATGAAAGATATCATATCATATAACGACATCCTTCTTTTCAAATCAATATTAATTTCATATTATTTACTCTTTATTCTCTCTTTTCTCCCTTCCCAACCTAAATCTCTATAATTTTAACCTAGTATTAGAGTGGAACAATGCACTGTGACCTGTCCTGTTTCTAGGAGATATACTTTTTTATTAAATATTTATGGTACAAAATAATCTTCTAGCTTTGTGTGCAAATTCTATTATCTAGATGATATTTCTATTCAAAGTTCATAAGATTCTGGAGTGGCATTAGCCTTGTTTTCATCTTCCCTTTTTCTGCATCTAGATCCTCATGTTAGAAGAAGGAAGTTTGAAGTGAAAATACTGTTCAAGAATTGTATGCTGGACACGATCAGTGCAGTTGGTTAGCATTGTGAGGGGATGGGGCATGCATAAGTTCAACTTTTAAATTCGTTCAGTGATGAGATGATATACAGGAGCTTTCCTGTTCAGAAGTAAAGTAGGACAATTTTGTGCAATCTCTGAATATTGTCTAATCAGACTTCACAAGTCAGAACTCTGTAATATATATGCTCGTGTTTCTACATGTTTTTATGTCAGACACAGCTTGCTATTTTTTGTCTCACCATCCTCTTTGAGGCATTTACATTGATGTCCACCTTAGTTGATAATCCATCCTCATCCCATTTTATATTAAGCAATTCCTCTATGTTGGGGTGTTTTTATTTCTAAGCCCATGCTCCCATATCCACTTGAAGTGGTTTCTTGATTCAGACTATAAATTGTGAACATATTTGATTTTATAGCAATAGCTTGAACTTCTGCATATATTTCACATTGTTACATATATGCAACCAATGGTTTGAACTTGTGACAGATTTGCTAAATTTATGTTTCTTGTCTATCTCTTTGACAAAATAGTTCTATTGAGCTTCTATGTTAGTTTGACATTGTTAGAGATATTTGACCAGGGATTACATAATAGATACACCAAGTCTATGTTTCTTTTTGTATATATTTTGGTTTTATTATGCCTTCAACACAATAGTTTTTTCCAGGACTGGTTTTCTTTACCATTCGATGGTGGAATCCTGAAACCTTTGAAGCCATGCGTCCAGAGGGAACTGCTCAAAGGGCTACATGGCCTTATGTTGAAGATAAATCCTTTCTTTGGACATGGCTGTTTCTTGTGCCCTTAGTAGCTTACACTTTGTGGCAGGTTCTATATTTTCTAATCGTCAATGTCTTACGCCGACAAAGGCTACTAAGAGATCCTGAAGTCATGACTTCCTACAGGTAATCAATGAGGAAATGAATACACTTCCCTGCCCCTTGTTTTGGTTCAATTTCCTTTCACAAAACTCATAAAAATATGTCATCTACTAATCAAATAGAATTTCTGATGAAGATTAAAACGTCAAACTTAGGATCTGCCCTTGACTGTTCTCATTCTTGACTTCCATTGTCTCACAGGGAACTCTCGAAAAAAGCTCAGAAAGCAAACAACATATGGTGGCGGTTAAGTGGGTTGCTAGGGGATCAAAATCGGTTGCTAATGTACATTTTTCTTCAAGGCATATTTACTGTGGCAACCATGGCTCTTACTGTCCCCATATTCTTCTCATATGAATTGCATGTAGTTTTCCAAATACTCAAGGTTTCTGCCTCAGTATGGAACGGAGGAAGTTTTTTGTTAGAAGTAATGCCTAGACAGGCAATTCTCAAGGAGAAAAAGAAATCAGAGATGCAACCACAATCATCATTAGTTATGGAAAATGGTCGCAAGTTAAACAATACTGTTGAGATATCTGACTCCTGACTCACTGAACTATCCACATATTTTGTTGGAGTTGTGATTGTATTTGTTTAATTGATATGGTTCGGAAAATACGAGTTGGGTGGGATATACAAAGCATATTTCTCTCTCGTCTCATTCAACATACATTCCTTCAATTGGATACTTCGTAGTTTGTACAACAAAGTCTTGTGAGTGTCCATATTTGTTTGCTGTAGTTTTTTCTTTTCGCTGTAGAATTTCATTTAGCCGAAGTTTCACAATAGGATTTGTGGATCTGTTTGTAAATGTTTCATTCTGCTTTCTATTTATGCTTCCACACCTGAAACTCCTTTTCAGATAAAAGAAACGTGATTTTATACAGATAGTTTATGTTTAGTTGTCTAACATCAAGAGAATCTAAATTACTTTCTTTACTTTTTCATTTGGATTGGAAATTTCATGATGTTTTTTTATTACGAATTTATTCTTGGAATAAAATACTCCAAGCATGTATCATCTGACTTCAAGCTGCTAAAGACTTGAATGTTACAACCTCTCTTCTAGTTGTACCAAATTAGATGACAGCTATCTTTTGCCCACTCCACACCCTCACCATCCCAACTTTTGTGCATTATCTGGGACCTTGCTAGTCCGTATGAGTATGATTGGGGAAAATTGGTGGGGTGGGGACTTTTGGGAATAAGGATAATGGTAGTAGGAGGGTTTTTCACCTTTTTACCATGGGGTTTGAGAGGAGAGATAGAGGTCCCAAATATTCATTTTTTCCCAAAGGTATTAAATTTCGCTGTACTATAAAATAAAAAATATTATGCATTATAAATCATTTAGAGAAAATTATTTATATAAACAAATAATTTAAATTGAAATTAAATTTTATGAATAAAATGTTGATGACTTAATTTGTACATTAGTAGTCACTATATAATTTATACAAACAATAAGCATAATTTAGAGATATAAATGAAAAATGTTAATATTTCATTAGATTAACAATAAGGATGTGTATGTTATTTAATAAATAATACATTTTATTTTCTTAATTTTGAATTTCACCTACATGTCACAACAATCTATTTTTAAAATTTTTATTTATTATTTTTCTCTCCATCCAAATAAGATAAATGTGTCTGTATTTTCCCACTTCAAGAATAAATTTGAAAAAAAAAATTATACGTTTTTTCCTTACATAATCTTTTGCATTTATTTGCAGCAATGAATAATTTCTCTATATTATTACTTCACTATGTTTAATAACTTAATAAAATTAATAACATAATATAGGAATTTTTTTCTCCTGAATATAAAATCAAAGGAAATGCAATTGTTTTTTCCCTCTAACTAAAAGGTACGATGATATTATATGTAATATTTTTAATATATAATGTAATTAATATCCACAAAAGAATTACACTATCAAACAGAAAATTTCAAGAAAAATTAAAGGAATCTTACATGCTCTTAGAATTGTACAGTAAATGACAAAATAAAAGTTCCACGGCAACAAAATAAGGTAACTCAACATTTCTGTCGTATATTAGTCATTTCAGTTTTATATGCTTTGGTACCTAACAAATGAAAATAAAATTCAGATTTTCATAAGCCTTTGGTACCTAACAATAAATTTTGTTTTAAAGTACGCTTGTTGGATGCCCTGTTACCTGTACTTTTTATTTTGAGTGCACTGCAAAAACGTTCTCATTTGTTGTGTCTACATATTACCTCTGATTTTGGAAGTAACATGCTTCATATTATTTATTAAAAGAACATGGAATTATAGAAGGATGTGATAAAATGTGATCATAGTATTTAAAACGATAATGCTGGCCGAACATTATGCAAGGCAAGCATGGACTGACTTGTTTATTCACCTAATTGTACATTGCTTCTTTTCCACACTTGCCATATGTAAAGGTCCTCATCACCAACCACTATCATCAATTACTCATTTCATAAAACCTTGAAAGAATAGTTCCAAGGAGAAGTACGACAGAAGTTATTATATTGTGAGATTTAGAAGGCAGTTTCTAGATGTAAAATGCAAGTTGAAAATTTCTTGTGATAGTCCACATAAGTCAATCCTCCAAGCATAATATTTCAAGATACAATTAACTCTAAAAAAAATGAAACTCAATAAATGATCTCACGTCTGTACAGGTGCACTGAGTCATCTTCCATTATAACTCAGTCATTCAAAAAAAACCTATCTTTAAGTTCAAATTTCAAAAGAACTAAAGAAAGAAAGAATATTGCACGAGTAAATACAAATAGCAATCACACGAAACAAATATGCCCTATAAAATACATGGAGTCACTAATTGCACCCACCTATAACACTTAAAAACCAACCAGATGAGAAAAAAAACATGGCAGGTGTGACAGTAGTGCCTGGACACCTGCCTTTCACCTATGATCGCCATTTGTCACGTGACCCGCATCAATTGTGACATGGCTTCTTAACAAAACCCCTCGTGTTGATGAAACTTGAAGGGTAAAAATGAATTAACCCAGGCAACAAACCAATATTAGAAGCCTGAGTTGGCTAAATATACTATACACGTGACGAAAATGAAATTATATGCACATCTAGGCACCTGCAACTTTGTGCAATGCCCTGTAGAGAGCCACAAGATGGAGCATCAGAGCCAATCATCACCGGTATTTATATCACTCTGACCGCGCTAGTAAAAACCCAAATCCTGAATTTTCACGTATCAACGGAGGAGGATCCACGTCCGCTACTTCTACTTGTTGCATTGATTTGGAAATGTCGTCCACGGAAAATGGAATGCTGATCCCATATTCAAGGTTTAGGAAGAAATGATACAACAAAGACCAAGACAAGCAATAGAGCATTAAGGTTATATCTGGGAGTTGAGTTTTGAGGGGAAAGAAGGGACATTTTATTGTTAAATTAAAAATGTTATATACTATTTATAAAAGGTAATTTAAAAATTTAATATATTAAATTTATATTAACCTATTATTTTTTATTTCAAAAAGCTATAAAATTAGATTATATTTATTAGAAATGAAAGTTCACCCTTTCTACTATTTTCCTCTAAAATATAATTTCCAAACATACCCTAAACTGTTTGCTAAATTTGATACCGTACCTTGAGTCATCATCTAATAGGAAAGAAGTGCTGACAGCATTATTAGAGTCCTCAGACATCATAGCTCTCATGCTTGTTATAACCTGCATATAATCAGGGGAGGTTTTTTGAGATTTACCACATTGCAGGTGCTCTGCCAAGGTAAATTGTACAGAAGCCGTGCACATACAACTAGTACAAGTAGTACTAACAGATAAGTAACACAAATTTGCAAGGTTAACTTACTTCTGTAGACACACTGTGAGTGCCGTATTTGTCATCCCAGTACATTGTACTTATCCTGTATAACTGTTGTATACTGAGAACCTGTAGCATCAAAATATTATACTTACTCAGAGAATCAAAGGGAAGTGTGAGCTCATAAATAGTAGAGAGATAGAATGATGGCACCCACAGGGCAAAGCTCCTTAGTGATTTCATTCAGGGACTTTTTGGGTTTTTGATGTATCACCTGATATTGAAAATTGTGTCATTCCTTTACTCGATAACTAATATTGAATTGCATCTGAATTTGTATAGAGTGACTCTTACCAGGAACCCAACAGCCTGCCTGATATGTTTCAGTTCCTCCCAAGCTGAGCCAGTATACTGTACAGAATAGTTAAGGTGAAGATTTAAAAATGGAAAAGATAAAAGATCTGAAATAGTTGCTTGGTGCTTACCTCCTCTGTTGCCTCAACACACCACTGCTCTAATTCAGCTAGACCTGTTTTCACATACTCCCCATTGCTGAACGAACAACACTCACGACGCAACAGAAGACTGCAGTAATGATCAGATTAAGTCAATGAAAATGTCTGCATTTCACAATATGACATGCAGTGCAAAGGGGGAGAGAATTACCTATTGAATAATTGAACATTGATGAATGAGAATATTTGAGTGAACACTTTTCGGACCAAGAAAGGGGGCGCCTGTTAAACCAGACCTTGATAGGTTAAGACTTGAGATCATATATTCATATTTAGGCAACAAAAATGTAGACATTGGAATTGAAACTCACATAGTTTGCTTTCATTATCTTAAGATAATTGTTTAAGCTTTTCACAATACTTTGCCAGTGAGCAATTAAAGCTTGCTGAGCAACTGCATTAGCATGTGAGCGTCCTTTTACTAAACTTTGACGTGAGGTTCTTGGAGCCTGTAATCGTTTTATCATAAAGAAAAGATAAATAACCAAAAATAAAAACATCCAGAGAATTTAGCTTGTTTATTACTGGGTAGCTAAACCCTCATGTGACTGCTGCGTATAGACAAAGCACATGCACATAATCAACTAGTGATTTAGGTTGCCATTAGTAGACGAAAACTTTTCCTTTGTACCCAATCCCTTCCTAATTAATCATGTGAGAGGAAAATGTTTTCTTTTCTAATTTCAGTAGTTACTACGTGCACAGTGTCTCCTTCACATATGCTCCTGTGATATTTCTATAAACTTATATTTTGTCTGATTTGAATAAATATTAGTTATGATTCTTGTACAAGAAACATAAATATCAGATGACATTCACTTAAAGCCCACCCACATATGATTTTTTAATTTCTATTCTAAAGCCCATTAACCAATGAGAATTTCACAAAATTTTGATTGCCCCCACCCAAAAAAAAATGAAACATAATTATTTACCTGTATACACAGTCCAAGTAACGGAGATATCTCTTTTTTCAGGTTGTCTCTTATCATTCCATATATCTTCTCAAGGAAGGCAGTAAGCTGTTGCTTAAATAACAGTGCCGGATATTTTGCTTCTACTTGTCGTAAATCATCCAGTCTATTAAGACCTCGACCATTTAGAAATGATAATCCAGCACTTTGAGGAGATGCCCTTAGCCCCTAAAACACAGAAAACATTCAAATTTGTAAGATAAATAAAATCTACATAAATTTCTTCAAAAAGCAGTTGCTTCATACTTGAGACATTCTTCCAAAGAGAGAAGACGATGCTGTTCTCCGCCGTTGAGGTGTTAAGCTAGCAGCACCACTTGCTTTGAGGGTGCGTTGGAGTAGCAACAATAAAGTAGATGTATTAGATAACCAATAGGCTAACACATCAGTATTATCCTGGGCCTTCAAAAGTGCAGAACTCGCTGTTAGTACCATGCTTTTTGTATTTCAGAAATTGATGCAAGTACTTTAAAATGCAAAACCACTGCATCAAGAATAATATACAATTATTCAGAAGAGTTAAGTTACCTCAACAGCTGAAGCTATTGTTTGAATGATACGGTCAAATACTGTGGTCC